TACGTAGTTATTTCTATGTTGTCAATATAACCTTCCACCATGTAATTTTGATCTCTTCTGGCGTCTTTGCGGTCATCTGCTAATTTGGTCTATTGCTGGTTATAGAGGGATTGAATGGCGCTTTTATACTGACGCATTGCGTCCTTTTGTTTTGTTTTGTTTTGTTTCTTCGTCTTTTACTTTCTTAGAATGATATATTCTCTATTCTTAAATCTAAATCTTTCTGAAATGAAAATTTCTTTTATAAATATTTATGAAAGAAAAAAAATGTTCTGAAATCAAGGAAGAACTAACCGCATATGTACTTTTTCTGTCATTTAGTTTTGTTGCCGGATTGGTCATTGATAGATTGTTGTGAAGAAGAAGTATCAAGTATATAACCTGCAATTTGCAATTTCATTAGTTTCACTTGGCTTTTGAAAACTGTTCCTGTTTTGATTGCTATCATATAAATGGATCATTGCCCGGTTAGCTGAACTTCTAAATGAGGTGGGTCCCAAAAATTGAAACTGGGTTTGTTTGAATACAAAGAGCTACTTTATTCCGTAAACTTAATGATAGATATTTTTCCTTCTTGTTATGATCTTCGATGCCCAATAACCTTTATAATAACTGTGATAAGTTTTTCCTGTTTCTTGAATGCAGTACTGGAGTGAAGAAAGAAATTCTTCTAGAAAAGAGATTGGTATTCTTCTCTCTCTTGACCACTGTTATACCCGTACACGCATATGCCTGCACGTAAACCTCACTTATGTGCACTTTATAATCAAAACTAAATAAATTTTCTGTTTTCATCCTTTAATCTTGTTAGATTATATTGTTTATTTATTTATTTTGCAAATAAAATTAGTGAAAAGTTAGAAGGCCGTGATTTCTTGACTAATCAAGACACTAATCCCTACAGGTTAGGCGAGAGGATGTTTTCTGGCGAATTGATGTGAAGAGCTGCAGGACAAGCCCTTCAGATAAAGTGGTCGTTCCTGAATGCAATCTGACTCATACATTGATATGGCCAATACATGTACAAGCTGAAACTGACAATTCTTTCTCAGAATTAGCTTCACCTGCCCCTTCTGGCCAGAAGATTCCTCTGTACCGCTTAGCCCACAGCCGAGCTGGTGATAAAGGAAATGATTTAAACTTTTCTCTTATCCCACATTTCCCCCCTGATGTTGAGAGGTTGAAGCAGATTATCACGCCCCAGTGGGTAAAAGCAGTGGTCTCTCCTCTTTTGAAGTTGTCTGCTTTGGACTTAGATGCAGGAAGTGAAAGATACAGATGGATGAATGATAATGTTAAGGTAGAGATATATGAAGTCAAGGGAATCCAGTCGTTGAATGTTGTTGTCAGAAACATCCTAGATGGTGGCGTCAACTGCTCTCGAAGAATTGATCGCCATGGAAAGACCATTTCAGATCTCTTTCTCTGCCAACAAGTAGTATTGCCTCCATGATCGTGTCTGCCATTGGATGACCTTGGCCTCATGAGTTTTACCCATTACGACAGTTTCCTTATTTTTCTGTATTTGTCCAGACTAAATCCCCTAGAGGGCATTAGTTTTCATTTGTTGTTGAGAGCAGTAATAAGGTTTGATCATCACAAAATATGTTCAAGCCTGGAACTTGCTTTGCTTGAAGCAGGCTAGTATAGTCTTTTTAACGTTTTTTTTTTTTTTTCCCTTGGGTAATAGTCTTTTTGATGTTGAAAACTTGAAATTGAACCAATGGGTGGAAATGGAAGGAGCACATAAGCAGGAGGATACACCTGATATCAGTTTACATATTATTTGACATTTAATATGAGTGGTTTAAATTTTATTATTTTATAATTCTTAATTACTACTTTTAAATTCACAGTTAAAAATTATTATCGAATATATGTGAGAGTAAGTGCAAATATAAGACGTTTTTAATTAAATTAGTAATATAGCGTAAAATATATCAGAACGTAATACTTATGTTAAGGATACAAAATAAGAATATTAAAAATACAAAATAAATTAAAATTTTGTAAACTTCAATATACTGTTTTCGAGAGGAACCCGGTGCACTCGCGCCATTTTAAAAGGACAATTATTTGGGCACAACTATCATTTCAACCTTAAACTACACTCTAAATTTAAGTATCCCTGTTGGCGTCTCAGACTCATTGATTTAATTACTTATGTGACAAGGGTTTAATTTAATTAGTTATGTTTAAATGCATCATTCTTTAATTGTGGAGCCTTGAAAAAGTCAAAAGGAAGCAACCCTTCATTCACTCCAATCAATTGGATTGCATCCACAAATCACGCCTTAAGTTTTCCATCTTTGTCTCAAAATATTTCCTAACACATAATCTAACCCAATCAACCAATGGCTCTGTTTTATCGTTCCATTTTGTAGTATGAGTCCTGTCTCTTTCAGCATCCCTTCAATCCTCAGTTATATCGTTTGGGTCAGTTAAGGAACAGCAGAAACACACATACAATATACAGTACATATATTTGTACGCACGTTGTAATTTGTTTGTTTAAGGAAGAGAAATGGCATTTACAGGAACATTGGATAAATGCAATGCATGTGATAAGACTGTGTATGTGGTGGATCTGTTGTCTCTTGAGGGAGTTCCTTACCATAAATCTTGCTTTAGATGCAGTCACTGCAAGGGGTTCCTTTCGGTATCCTCCTTTGTTTTTATGTCTGTACTATTTCTTTTGCCGATTTTATCCTCAGTTTCATGTCTTTTTCTTCAAAAATTGATGAAATTTAGTTTACATGTGAACTATGACACATCTTTTAGTCTTAATAATTAGAAGAAGTGGTGATAAGAATTTGATCTTTTTAGAGGTCCTATTGAGCTGGAATCAATTTGAGTCAAGTTCAGTAAATTCATAAAGAGGATGAAATTCTCAGAATCTTGATATTTGAAAGTTATATTTAAACTGCAATGAATGTGAATCAAACAAAGTTAATATGATGGGCAGATGAGTAGCTACTCCTCAATGGATGGAGTTCTGTATTGCAAGCCTCATTTTGAGCAGCTTTTCAAGGAATCTGGAAATTTCAGCAAGAACTTTCACACAGGTAATGACAACATGATCAATCTTTCATCTCATTTCATTTCTTTCAGTGTTAAGCAGTGCAGATTATTGCTTCCATTCATAAGTTTCCATTTAACTGACAAACTTTTTCACAAACATTGCAGCAAAGTCTTCTGAAAAATCACATGAGACGGTATGCTCGATATCCTCCCTTTTTTGTATGCTTTTTCTAACAAACTCTAGGATATTCTTGGTAGAAACAATATAAGAGCCATCTGATATTATTATTGAAGAATGAGGGTTCAGAGTTTAAGTTTATTTGCTGTCATGATAGTTAAAAATTGATTTAGTTGACTGAAAGAAGCTTATGGGCATATGGCTGAAGGTATTTGTATTTGTTTTGAGCCATCCGTATATAATGTAAAAACTCTTTAAGAAGTCGCAAGCCGTGAGTAGCATGATTTATTCATCAGACTCTGTGCAACACATTGACCCACTGTAATCGTTCATTTGCAATACTCTTGCTGAAATAACCTTTTTTCTCCTCTTCCTGGGATGTGAACAGAGCAAGAACTCAAATAAACTCTCTTCATTGTTCAGTGGAACCCAGGACAAATGTGCAGTTTGCACTAAAACTGTCTATCCTCTGGAAAAGGTTTGTAATTTCAAATGCTTCCCACTCAGAATTGTGATGTAAACAGGAAGAAAAAAGTTGCAGGCCTTGTTAAATATAAACTTGTGTTTGTTGTTGCAAAAGGTGACACTGGAAGGAGAATGCTACCACAAGACTTGCTTTAGGTGTGCTCATGCAGGGTGTCCTCTCACACACTCCTCCTATGCTGCACTTGATGGTGTCCTGTATTGCAGGCACCACTTTGCTCAACTTTTCATGGAGAAAGGAGATTACAACCATGTCAAGCAAGTCACTGCTCACAAAAAGAACACTGCTTCTCATGATCAGTCTGACCACCTTGCAGATGGCTCTCACTCAGATGAACATCCATCTCAGGACCAAAATGAGGATGACACTAAACATGAACAACAAGATGCACAATCTTGAATATAAGTTGAAAATGAAACAAACAATGAAGCATATAATTATTTCTTTGAAAATTCTTGCGTATACTCTCTCTAGAGTCAATCTAGCTTCTTTTCCCTTCACTTCTCTCCCCTTCTTTTCTTTTTCAAGTTCTGTACCATTGATTAAACTGTACAAATTACACAGAAGCGATAAAGATGAGAGTAAGAAGTATAGAGAGCATTGATTTTTTGTGAAGTAGTGCAAAGAGCTATTGGATGTTACTGAAGGGAGGTTGTTTCAGCACATTGTAACACTTACAATATCCACTTCTACTGAATTTTACAGGCTCATTGTACAGCTAGCTAGTACAGCATATACACTTAAGGATTTCTCGTACTGCAATTTTTTTCAGGAGTCTTTATGTTTGGGGTTGCATGACCTTTTTGGCTTGTAATTTTGTATTTTTCTTAATCAAAGAGGAGATAAGTTGACCCTTCCTCCCCTACTGTGCTCTTAGTCATGTATTATTTTCCTTCACACACTCACATAGAATATAAGTTGACCGAATAACCGAAATATTTTTGGAGGTTGGGTTGTAAAAAACCATGATGGATTACAATGTCGTGCTATAATCTGAATTTTAAATTGTATTGAACATTGGAGTAACATTTAGGTGTAATTTTTTTTTCCTAAACTTCATGCATAAAAAAGAAGTTATTTTCTCCACTGATTTTGAATTAATGAAATTACAACCTCACACTTGAGAAATATTTAGAACTGAATTTAAAATTTTAAATGAACTTAAAATGTAGATGCTGAGTATTAGGTAGTTATGCGGTGGTTTTTTTTTTTTTTTTTTTAAATTATGCTTTATTTAAATATTGCCGGGTTTCTTGGAGGTCCGGGAACCCTTATGCCACGTACTGTTATTTCATCAACGGGAACAACCCTACGCTCTAAACTTCTCCTTGCCGTTTTCTTGCGCGCCTCGCCTCTGTCAAACGATGGCTAGTGTAGTCGAAGATCCCCATCTTCACAATGAGGAAGCTAATGAAGAAGTAGAGGATGAGCTGTCATCGTCTTCAGAAGACTACGACGACGACGACGACGGCGCATATGACTTGGATGATGAAGAAGTGGCAAATGGATCGTTTTCGCTCAATTCCAGACGTCCCAATGCTCACGGGGGCCATCATTCGAAACCCAATTCATCTAGCCTCCAACCTCTCTCTAATCGAAACCAGAAGTTCTCTCATCATATACGGGCTTCGCCCTTAGAGGTTTGAATTTTCGTAGGATTTTCTTATGCTTTTCTGCTCCAGCGACCTTGGAAAGACTCTCTTTTTTACTCATCAATTGAACATAGGATAGTTCTTTAGTCTACGTCCGTTATGGTTTGTTTGAGGTCCATTGGCATTTTCGTTTAAAATTTTTTTGGCGCGTTTGGGATAGCTCTTTTTTCTTGAAAAAAAATTTAATGGTTACTTTGAACATATTTCTTATGTTTAAATGTTTTTATCCTGGGACATCGCATGTAAATGCGTTGGCTTTCATAGAGTGCTTTGAGGTGGCGTGCACTGACTAATGGCATCTTGTTTCTTTGTGTGGGCCGGTCTTTCACACGTGAGCTATGGTTTTAATTTCTCCTTCAATGGGTAGTCTAGCTTGGGGTTTTTACTTGTGATTATGTTGAAGAATGTGGTTTTTCACCTGAGATTTACGTGCTTGTGATGTATTTGTGGTGCAGGAGTGGGAAGGCAGATTGAATGTTGGCATGTCTAACTCTGTGACGACAGCAATTCGTGAAAGCGTCAGAGGGACGACCATTGGTAAAACTAAAACGACTGAGAAAGCTGATCGTGCCACTGTTGAGCAGGTAAGCATTTATGGATGAGGAACTTTGGAAGAAATTTTATGACTTTTGATACCAAAATTTGTTTAGCTCTACGTCTCTCTTTGTAAACAAAAAGTTTGTGCCTCTGAGGTATTTACAGCTGATATGCGGATTTGATGACTCACAAGATTCAATCATGGTGGCCTAAGCCCTAAACTTTAAAGTTCATTTGCAAAGAGTGTGGTGGTTATATGTTGTACTTGAGATAAATATTCTTTTTTATTTTGGAGATTGAGATTTAAAATTTTTTGGTCCTGTAATGTGATAAGGTCCTATTTAATACAGTGAAGTAGTGAACTGGCTATATCTGCTCGTTTTATTTTCTGCATACGCACATGTTTCAGGCTTACTTTTCATTTCATTCCTTTATTTTATATGTTATATATTTCTGGGGCTTCTTTTGTCAGAGTTATTTAGCTGCCAAAATGTAGAATTGTTTCTACAACTATTTAATGCACAACTAATGAAATTTTCTCAGGCAATCGATCCTAAAACCCGCCTGGTTTTATTCAAGATGCTGAATCGAGGTCTCTTTAATGATATTAATGGCTGCATTTCGACAGGGAAGGAGGTATGAAATATACCAGAAGCCTTCCCCTCATATTTTTAGTTTGTCTGATAATTTGTTTTCTATGATAATTCTCTTTGGATTATTGGATTGTGTCATTATGCTAGCATTTTTTCCCCTTGTATCTTATTGTTTTCTTGTTTTTTTGCAGGCAAATGTTTATCATGCAACCAAATGTGATGGTCAAGAATTTGCAATTAAAGTATACAAAACGTCTGTTCTGGTATTTAAGTAAGTTCTAGCTTCCCTTACCTGTTGTTGCTATTGCAGCCTACATGTTAAATGCTTAGTAAGTACTCGTATTCCTGTATGAATTGGGGAATATGAACTGAATTTTATGATTAATATGATTTTAGGGACCGAGATAGGTATGTACAAGGAGACTATCGATTTAGAACGGCTTATGGTAAGCACAACCCTAGGAAGATGGTAAAAACATGGGCTGAGAAAGAAATGAGAAACCTTTTAAGGTTTGTTTTGTTTTCCTATTTTCATTTTGTCATTTTTGGTTATGCTCTTAATTGAAAGTTGTGAAGAGGATGCAATTTGGTCTATTTACTTGAGTCTTTATTTTTATCTGTCTATTTTGTGTGCAGGCTAAAGGCGGCTGGACTTAGGTGCCCAACACCTTGTCAACTAAGAAAGCATGTTCTGGTCATGGAATTTATAGGTATTGCCTTTTTGCTTTTTTTTTTTTTTTTGGTGAATTGATTTTGTGTTTTGAAAATGCTGTTTGGTGGCTTTTGTCTTGTGTTGATATAATTAAGATTTTTCCTACTTGGTAAGATGATGCGTGCTTAATTGACATCAATTACCAATTATGTCAAATAATGGTATGCAATATGTGACCTAAAGAAGTAAAGAATAGTTTACTACTTGTTTTACTTATTAGAGCAATGTCAAGCTTCTTTTGGTTATCCTTAATTAAAATCGTTGTCAAGAATATATATATATATATTTTCCCAATAGTGCATATGATCTTATTATGGCAATACAGGCTAAAACTAGTGTCTAGCTGGAGGAAAGGAGTACCTTTTTGTTTCTCTTTGTTGAAGCTCTCTGTTTATCTTGTGTGTCACAGGAAAGTCTGGTTGGGCTGCTCCTCGTCTCAAAGATGCAGCTTTATCTCTGGACAAGCTTCGTGAAGGCTATGTTGAGGTATGTCAAGTGAATACTTCAATTTATGGTTAGAGTGAAAACGGGAAAGTGGAAAAGAACAAAGGATTTGGTGAAGATAAAGTCTATTTTTTATTTCCTTCTTTCTTTTCACTTCTCATTTTCCACACGCCCTTCTCGTTTACAACCAAACATAGCCTATGTCATATCATGTCATGTTTACAGTATTAGAACCGTACTCTTAGTTAATCTCTCAAGTGGGATACAGTTGGGTTGCTTCAATATGAGCTTCTTACCTGGCTACCTGAAAGCCTGTCTCTTTGGAGGTTAATCTGAGGATCCTTAATAGGAAAACTTGTCAAAGACAATTTCAACCCAAAGTTTAAACTATTAAGTGAAAGCCCAAGAATAACTTTATTACTCTGAAAAACCTCCTTAGAGAGTATCATTTAGGGCTTCAAGCATGGACAAAGCATATGTCCACTATACTTGGTGTTAATGCTTAACTTGTTTAAGAGAATAAAGTGACAGTGATAGAAATATTGACCATTTAGTCAAAGGGACTTTGAGACCATGTCATGAATCATTTCAACTCAATAGCTTAAGCTCAAGGAAAAGGCCATGAGTCAATCAATAATTTTGCTATAATCTCTGGCAACTCTCACTGGAAACCCCCCCACCCCAAAAGGAAAAACCAAAAAAACAAAAAAACCACCTTTTCTAAAGGAAAAAAAAAAAGTCACTGAGAAAGCCTCTGAGCTGTATTCTGTGCCTACCATTTATTGAGGTTGAAATGATAATAATAATAATAATATGATTATATGTTTTCAGATGATTATTGCTATGCGAACATTGTATCAAAAGTGCAAACTGGTGCATGGAGACCTCAGTGAATATAATATACTTTATTTTGAGGTAAACATCTTCCCTGTAAACATTTGACTATCTTCATCTATATTTGTCAAAAATTAATTCTTCTATCCATTTGGCAGGGTCACCTCTATATTATTGATGTGTCTCAAGCTGTTGATCTTGACCACCCTCATGCCCTTGATTTTCTACGTGAAGATTCTATTCATATATCTGTAAGTTCGAGCTATAAGTTACTCTCTCCTCTTGTTCTACCCCATCTTTTGTGGGGATGATAAGGCAAAAGTCATGATTATGTTGTTGGTTCTCAGGCCTTTTTCAGAAAGCATGGCGTTGCTGTAATGACAATAAGAGAACTGTTTGATTTTATTGTTGATCCATCCATCACTGATGATTCTGTGGACAGTTATTTGGAAGAGGTATTTGTCCTTTATTATTTAAATTGTGTGAACAGCTTTATCTACATATTATAATTTTCCAATCTTTCCAGGTGCAACAAAAAATTTTGGCCAGAGGAGACTTGTCAGTGGAGGATGAGATTGCAGACTCTGTTTTCGTGCAGGTAACCAGCATTGTGATGTCATTTTTACGACAAATTATTTTTGTCAGATAATTTCTCATAATAAGCCTATTGCTATGACTAAAAGACCTCTGGAAATTGTTGTGTACATTTCTGTCAATTATTCTGTTTTGTTGCTTTAGGAAAAATTAATCTTTTGGTCCTCTAACTATTAATTTAGTTATGGCTCAGTCCTTCAACTGTGACTCGTCGCGACTCAGTCTCTTAACTTTTAACTCGGTTATGACTCAATATTTAACCTTTTCCCCTTCAATAAATCAATCCTTAACACAGCTAACTCCCTTTGAGTCGTCACCCACTCTCTCCCCTGTTTCCCCAAGGTATGCCGGAAACAGCCCAAGCCTCCCAAGGCTGAGCTCTGGAATCGCAGCATAAGAACATACATTGCGACTCTTATAATTTTTTTTGTTTTTTAATGAATGCGTCCTTTTAATTTATCTCACGATCTGTCTTTACCACCACTACTTGCAAATTCTATATATGCCACCTCTTGCTTTGCAGACTTAGTCAACACATTAAAAATGGGATCCCAAAATTATTTGAGGATCCCTATCTTCTTGCACACTACAAAGCTGTGAATCTAGGAATTGTCTAGTGGCCACCACTCCGCCACACACACACATACATACTTCCGAGTTGGAGCTTGAACTGTTGGAGCAACAAAGTTCTCCAGTGTGATGTTGTTTTCTGAGGAAACAGGGGAGAGAGTGGGTGATGGAGTGATGAAACGTGGAGCTTATTTGGAACCTCATTGGCTGCATCTTTTGCCATATAGGATTACTGGGTGATGACTCAAAGGGGAGTTAGCTGTGTTAAGGATTGATTTATTAAATGAGAAAAGATTAAGTACTGAGTTATAACTGAGTTAAAAGTTGAGGGACTAAGTCGCGATGTGTCATACTCAAGAGACTGAGTCATCAGTGAATTAATAGTTAGAGGACCAAAAGATTAATTTTCCCTTTGCTTTATTATTGTTGCTGGTGTTGTTGTTGTTGAAATCTTTGAACCTGATAGTGATATGGATTGTGATGGATGCCGTAATAGAAATTGGGAAATTGTATGTATTGAATAGGATTGCTCTTACAGATAGCAAACATGTCAGAAGTTAATCAAGAAACTAAACATCCCCCTAATTCTACTCCAAATTTCATTTCCTCTTTTCTCTATTTTTCACCCTTTTAAACATCAAAGCTATCCACACCACTTACCTGTTTGTAAGCTCAAATCTCTATATTTATGTCCATCACTAGATCTGTTTTCTTGTTTCCATAAGGATTGGACATCATATTTGGAGGGATAGTTTTCAGGGTCTGGTTGCGCAATAACATTTTTCTCAATTTTTGTTATAGGCTTACATTCCAAAGACACTTGATGATGTTAAGAATGCTGAGGAGGATGTACAACGAATAACCAGTGGCAGGGACACTGATGATTTGTACTACAAGACCACTACTGGACTTAAAGAGGCTCTGTCAAGAGTTCAAATTTCATCAGAAAATGTCCAGAAAGAGCAGGAACCAAAGCCTGCAGGTGGCACTATTGAAGACAGCGTCGGGGATGAAGATAGCCAAAGTGACTCTGAAGAGAGTTCATCTGCTGAAAGTGAAGCAGAGGCTACTGTGGATAAGAAAGCCGCCCGGAAAGAAAATAAGAAGAAAGTGAAGGAAGAGAAAAGAGAAGCACGGAAACATAAAGTGCCCAAGGCTGTCAAGAAAAGGAAGAAGAAGTTGGCCAAAGCTCAAAAGAATAGGTGAGCAATGTGGGATGGCCATCACTTATCTGTTGCTCTAGTAGTTTATTGCCGTTGGAAGTATATAAGATAGAGCTATATACTGGGAGTTTTCTTCAGTGGAATTCAATTTTGTACGTAGATGCTAGAAAGCAACATAGCATAACTTATGGGCAAAATGCAGAGAGCCCATCTCTTTGTTTATGGTTTTAAAATTCAGAGTTTCATTTTGACACACGTCTACGTTCTGAGTGAAGTTGCTTTAAATTTATTATTGTTCTCCAAAACATTCTTGGTTGTTCAGATAGTGGTTATTGCTGCTAAAAAGTGGTGCGTGTGTAAATTCTCGCCTCCAAAACGTGAAGTATGGACTGTTCTTGAAAATGTTGCTGGCTACTCCCCAGTCAAGGCCTATTACAAATTTGTTACTTAAACAATGTGATGGCTGATGGGGTTTAATGGGCATTGACATGATAGAAGAGAGATTTTTTGTGCGTTGAAACCCCCCCGGGGGGGGTGTCTTCCAATGAAGTTATTCTGTGATTCATCATCGACGAGAAGATTGATTTTGGCCTAGTCTTCAGAGTGCTTAACAAGGGTCTGTTTGCTGGGAGGAAAACGGAAGGAAGGAAAAATGTAAATGAGCTTAATTCAAAAATTTGCAGAAGCAGAGTTAAAAACTTCTGAGTTAATTTTGCTTTCTCTTTTGTCTAATATATTTTTTATAATCAAGATTTTATAACCTCATTGTTTTTTTAATTTTTTAAATTAAGTTTGTTAAAAGTTTCCTTTCCCTCCTCATATTTCCCTCATACATACCAAGCATAAGGTAAGGGAAAGTTTGTTTCAAGTAGGTACTCAAAATATGAAACCATAGTAAGGCTATATATGTAGGTAACAAAGTGATGTTAAAAATAGTTGAGGAATCTGATTGATAAAGGTTCATCTTTGAATTAATCTCGGGAGAAGCTGCAGCGTTATTGTGGCTAGTGGTTTGAGGGAAAAATCGAAACAACTACCGCCGAGTTTAGTGGTCTGAGGACTGAGGGAATATGGTATTAAATTGAAAGTAGATAAAACGAAAATGAGTCCAAAAAAAAAAAAAAGATAAAACGAAAAACAGACGTCCGACCTGCCGGATTCGAACCAGCGACCTAAGGATTTCTGGAAGGAGTTTTCCCCACTACAGTCCTCCGCTCTACCAACTGAGCTAAGGTCGGTTTCTTGTGAGCGTCCTAGGAATAACATTTATCATATATTACCAATCTAATCTAGTTAAAAAAAATTAATCAACATCGAACAAGTCGCACCAACATAAATTAAAAAATGGTTCTTTCTTAGAATGAGAATTAATTGACACAGCTCCTAATGTTTTGTTCTATATGTAGATAAAATTTTAATAAATTATTATAATCAGATATGCAGTGTACATTAACTATGCTATGTTTTTTTTTCCTTTTCCATTGATTGATATTATAAATACTTGAATAATCATTCATAAGGATTATGATATATATACCGCGAAATAAAATTTTATAAAAGTTTATTATCTAGATATGGAAGGTTTTTCCCTTAATTATAGCCACAACCACGACATTGATAAAGGGCAGAGTTATTTCTTATGCATTTATAAAAATAATTCATTTATTTAATAATTAAAATTTAATATGTAAAAATAAAAAATTTGTTATACTACTCTGTTAGTTATTATAAAATTTTTTTAACTAAATTACGCAGTTTAAGAAAATAGTTAAAATTAGGTAAAAATAATTAATATGTAGAAAATATAGTTTTTTTTCCAAATATACCCCTATATATAAATAGATAAATGTAAGAGAGTAATAGTGAAATAAATGAAAAAAGAGAATATATTAAATACATCAAATTATGAATAAAATAGATAATACTGTATTAAATATTTAAATAAACTTAAAGGGGACCTTATAAAAAAAGATAAACATATTCAAAAAATTAAATCTTATAATAAATGAGGGAGGGTGCATGTGGGGATAGGATGGAAAAAAAAAAAATAGTCTAGACGAGATCAAAATGCTTTTAAACCGACATCACAAGTATATATTTCTCCGGTCCTAAATATAAAACTTAATTCTTGAGTTGGTTTTGCTTCTAAATATAAGACTCATTTATCATATTTATTAATTTTCTCTAAATTATCTTTATGGATACTCCCTCGATTATAATCAAGTAAAAGAGGAAGAATGGGTATTAAGAAAAATGATTATGATATTTTAGGAAAAATGTGTCACTTTTCTTATAATTAACTAACTTACCTAACTTTCTTAATCTAATCAAATTAGTTGAATGAATCTTATATTAAGTATATAAACAGTATTCATTTTTAAGCTTGGGATGAACTCGAGGGAGGTTGCTCCCTGCTAGTGTTGCCAATGAGGCTTGCGAATGCAAAGCCCATTGCCCGCCGCTTCGGCACCTCCACTGAGAACGCCCGACCGGTCAACTCTGTCAAAGAACTCCATGGCCACCTTATCAGAAAACACCTTCACACAAACCCTCCGTCCATGTTCGAAATTATTAAATGGTATGCACTATCCCCTGCAAATTTACTCAGAGTGCAATTTGCATTTGACCAAATCAACCACCCCACTTTGTCGCTTTGGAACCTCATGATCCGGGGTTGGTCACACAGTGATCAGCCAAGGGAAGCAATTCGTATGCATAACCGTATGCATCACCAAGGACTTCACGGTAATAATTTGACTCTCATTTTTATTTTGAAGGCTTGCGCTAGAGTTTCTGATGTGTTATATGGTAAATTAGTGCATTCCCACTCTTTCAAGCTTGGATTCGAGTCCTATCTTTATGTTTCTAATGCCTTGATTCATATGTACGCTTCATGCGGCGGTTTGAATTTTGCACAGCAGTTGTTTGATGAAATGGATGAAAGAGATTTGGTCTCTTGGAATTCGTTGATATGTGGATATAGCCAATGCAGTAAATTTAGACAGGTTTTGGGTATTTTTGAGGCAATGCAGGCAGCAAATGTGAAGGCTGACGCAATCACAATAATGAAGGCTGTCTTGGCATGCTCTGTTTTGGGTGAGTGGGATTTGGCCGACTCAATGGTTGAGTACATTGAGGAAAATCACGTGCCAATTGATCTCCACCTGGGGAACACCCTGATAGATATGTATGGACGACGGGGTATGGTTGATTTGGCCCAAGAAGTATTTGATCGGATGAAGCATAAAAATACAGTTTCTTGGAATGCGTTAATTATGGGTTATGGAAAAGGGGGCAACTTAGTAGCTGCCCAGAAGTTGTTCGATGAGATGCCACAGAGAGATGTGATCTCATGGACTTCCATGATCACTGGTTACTCCCAAGCCGACCAATTTACAGAGGCAATAAGACTTTTTAAAGAAATGATGGCTGCTGAGGTGAAGCCAGATGAAATTACTGCTGCTAGCGTGCTTTCTGCTTGTGCACATCTAGGATTACTGGATGTTGGGTTACTAGTTCATGAGTACATATGTAAGTATGATGTAAGAGCTGATGTTTATGTTGGAAATGCCTTGATAGATATGTATTGCAAATGTGGAGTGGTGGATAAAGCATTGGAGGTGTTCACAGAGATGAGGATCAAGGATAGTGTGTCATGGACTTCAGTGATCACAGGCCTTGCTGTGAATGGTTTTGCAGATTCTGCTCTTGAACTTTTTTCACAAATGTTGAGTGAAGGTGTTCAGCCTTCTCATGGGGTATTTGTTGGCATTTTGCTAGCCTGTGCTCATGCTGGATTGATTGATAAAGGATTGGAATATTTTGAAAGCATGGAAAGGGTTTATGGACTGAAACCTGAAATGAAACATTACGGATGTGTTGTGGATCTTCTGAGTCGCTCTGGCAATTTAGAAAGGGCTTACGACTTCATAAAAAACATGCCAATAGTTCCAGATGTTATAGTGTGGAGGATATTACTGAGTGCTTCTCAGCTTCACAGAAATGTGCCCATGGCTGAGATTGCCTCGAAGAAGCTTCTTGAAGTGGATCCTTCTAACAGCGGAAACTATGTACTATCTTCTAATACTTACGCTGGCTCGGATAGATGGGAAGATGTTATTAGAATGAGAGGAATGATGGGAGAGGGTAATGTTCAGAAACCATCAGGTAGCAGTTCCATAGAAATAGATAGCTCTACAAATTCTCGTGATACCTGTTTTATTTGACAGTAAGAAAGGAAAAAATGTAAATTGACCGATACTTATAAATTTAATTCATTTGTGGGACAATGTTAAGAATGGGCGCCGTGAAAATCTGAACCTGCCCTTCTTGGCCTTATCAGTTGGTCAGGGTGGTGACTTATTTTCTGACCTGAACTGTCGTTACTATTTACTGAGAAATATTATGATCAAAATCTGAATGCGTTGCTTGACATGGATTGGAAGCTAAATCTCTGAATGGATCAGTGGTCTTGTCTCGTATAAATCAGCTTTAGGTGCTTAGTAACAAGCAAAGAAATCATTTATTGCAAATTCTAGTTCATATAATGCATTGCTCAAGTCATTTGGAGATAGTTCTTTTGAGGTTTCCAGCTGAAAGTGAATGCTCATCAGTTATGAAGCCCCGATACTTCAAAAGCTACGTCTTGCCGTGTTTGCTTCGTTTCCGACACTCACATCTGATGCGACAATTCTGACATATATTTTGTGATATCACAATGTCCGTACGGAGTTCTGTATCATATCGGTGATTCTTAGTTCATCATTCAGTGAATTTAGCAACCCATCCCCATACTTGATCCCGCAAATTCATAAGTTAAATCTTTTACCTGATACCTCTAACTCATCACAACATTTTCCACCAAAGCCCTGCTTCGGTCCTCCACAAGTAAATCAACTTTGGTATCTAATGAAAATTACAATACGTGCGAAAAACCTACAAAATCTACACAATAAAGACACAAGCCAAAATAATAATAATAATAATAAACACTGAAAACCTACCAAATATTGGAGCCGGGAGACGATTTTGAGCAAGGGCTAATCATTCGATTCATTAATCATAGGGATTCCAGTTATACAAGGAAAAATCATAGGTCTAGCAAGCCTTCAACAATTACATATAAACCGAATCGAATAAATTTATTTGATAAAAGTCATTTGCTGAGATCAAAATGATGCCACATCACTCCGAATGAAGAACAGGCCAGAGTGACCACCATGAGGTAGCAGAGCCAACCTCACAACACTTTCAGCACCTTCATCCACAGTCAAGTGACCGGTGTTGTAATTTATATCTGTTTTCACAAAACCTGGGCACACAGCATTAATGTAGAAAGATGGATACTTCTTGGCAAGAATCCTTGTGTAGGCATTCATGCAAGCTTTGCTGACTATATATACAGAAAAGCCTTTGGTCTCTAACGAACCCTGTTTAACATCTTCCAGAAACTGTTTCATGACCTCATCCAATTTTTCTTCTGTTAGATTTTCGGCATCACTTAGTACTTCTTTAGCCCACCCACTTGGTATGTTCTGCATTAGCATCAGCAACAAAAACTATGCTCAATGTCATTGATAGATAAGAATCTAATCAATCCATCAATATTTATAATACGCTTGTTTTATGTAGTATGATTCATTCCTCAGTTTTCACTTACTGTCCACATTGTTTACATGTGACACAATATCACATGTACCTATCAATAATTCGTTATGATGTTTCGTCATTTAAAATTTGCTTGCAACAGCCTAGCTTCCGTACCAGGTTACAAAACTTGTATTTAGTTACCGTTACATACCTCTAACTTCCCCATTGAGGAGGAAACATTAACAATCCTGGGTGAGTCTGACAACTCAAGAAGGGGAATTAGTGCAAGACACATCTCTTTGGCACCATAGTAGTTTGTTCTGATACCTGCTTCTGCAGATTCATAATCTTGAGTTATGATTTTACTCCAATCAATAGGAGTCCCCTTCTCCTGCAGTGAATGATAAGAAAGTTATGTACTGTTTTACTCTTGATTTGTGCAAACTTGATCCAAAATTTACCCAAAATTAAGTTCTTGAACTTTGAGTCAGTATTCAAAATGCAAATTGCCTTCAATGATGTGTAGGAAGACGACGACAAAAACACACGCAAATAAAATGATGTTTAGGGTAAGACGCTTAGGCCTGGACTTGAGCTTAACAGCTAAAAGCCTATGGAGCTTTAGCCGAAGCCCTATTCACAAATCGGTATGGTTCAGAAAACATACCCGAGCAGTTACTGATGCAATCAAACCATCCCTATCAACGTGTGCTCCAGTAATTCCAGCATTATTAACCTACAAAGGGTTCAAACATATATCATCTTCTATTTTGGGAGGTAGATCCACTGGGGAAGAGGAACTATGAAATAATGTGGAACTGAAAGACCACGTAAGCATCAATGAATACAAAACGTAAAAGGGGGGAAACAAGAAGTTAATAAAGCCTTTGGTATTTCCAATTTAGGGAAGATGTTATTTGAGAAAACTAAATAGTGAATTGGTGTCAGGCTGGGTTAGATTAGGTTCTCCAGAGCTGGATGCTGAAGTTCCAATATCAACACCATAATGAATAAGGTACTGATAATAAACAGTAGTGGAGAGAGCAGAAAGTCCCTCGTTTTTGGATAATCATCGGATAATGAAAGCAATCTTGCAGTTTTGGAAGTATGACTTAGTTTGTTATTAAAAAAAAAAAAAATTACCCCACGATTGTGACTCTGATCAGTTTGTTCGGATCATGCGACTCAGAGGTTAGGACTCGTAACTGGGTCTCTTTTGAGCCCAGTTGACCACACGGCAGGTTTATTGTCTTTTCTATATCTGGCTTGAAATTGGTGCCTTTCCATTTGATTAAAGCCTTGTTTGATGGTCAAATAAAAAATGATTGCGCTTAGAAATGTTTTCTATTTATTAGGTTGGTCTTCCATTCCATTCTTGCTTTTCTCACGCAGTAGCAAAGTCAAATCTACTACGATTTTCCTTCTATGGGGTAAAATAGCTTCTTTTCTGGACGGCTGCACTTTTGATCTGAATACGTGTGGGAGTGGGACTTTGGTGCTTGGCAGTATGAGATTTTCAGCGGAGAACAAAATAGTAGAAAACAGAGCCAAATAAGAGTCTGAATGTAATCATACCAAGATATCAAGTTTTCCAAACTTGTTTCTGATGAAATTTGCAAGGGATGACACACTAGCAGGGTCAGTCACATCAAGCTGATGAAAAACCACTTCGCCAGACACACCAAATTCTGACCCTAACTTCTCAACGGCGTCAAGGCCCTTCTTCTGATCTCTTGCTGTTAAAACAACAACTATTCCATTACAAGCCAATTGCTTGCATATCCCAAAACCTATTCCTTTGTTTCCTCCTGTGACCACTGCATACCTGCAAATTGCCAGTCATAGAATTTCATACTGAAGACACATGATGTTACAAGAAGGAGACGAATCAAAGCTGAGGAAATGGGCGACCTTTTTGCTGCTTCTGCCATCTGTGAACGAAGGACACAAGCTCTTTGAAAATTGAAAAAGAGACCACGAGGAGCGAAGTCACACACAAGAAATGCACAAGGGATCTTCCTCGGTGCTGTTACCTGCTTGCCACAGTATGGCCAAAGCTTCAGAAAACGGAAATGGCGAAGACAAGAGCTGAGATAAGGTAAAGGATGCGACAACATTTTAAACCTCCAAAGGGAGACGTGTCCTTTAAAGGAAGTGACAAATGTAACCTGACCAGAATTGCCACTTGGTCCTTCAATTAGCCATTAATCGGTAAAGTTGTTACTGCTCTTTAAGGAACATGAACTTTTTTAGGTTTTTTTTTTAAAAAAAAAAAATTCTGCCTTTCGAATTCGATTGAATGACATTTATTTTATACCTCATCAATTTTTTGTCTTTGCTCAAACCCGAACTAATAACATGGGATGTGAGATAAATGTATAAAAAGAATGGTTAGTTATATATTGTTCACCAAATTTTCAATTGTCGACATGTGACAAGAATAACTGGGATTCAACTTCAAAGATTCTTTATTTTGTCATGACTGTTTAAGCTGGACTTAAAACACTTTATTTTGTCTCTCACTGCTGAGGTCTGTGCTTAGATCAAAATGATGCCACTTGATTCTGATTGAAGAAGACGCCGGAATGAGCACCATTAGGTAGCAGAGCCACCCTCGCAACACTTTGAGCACCTTCATCCGCAGTCAAATAACCAGTGTTGGAGCTTAAGTCTGTTCTGACATAACCTGGGCAAACAGCATTAATGCAGATGGATGGATGCTTGTTGGCAAGAATCCTTGTGTAGGCATTTAGGGCTGCTTTGCTCATTGTATACACTGATGAATCAGTAGGCCAGCCTTTTGTTTCTAAGGATCCCTCTTTGAAATCTTCAAGAAACTGTTCCAAAACTTCATCCAATTTCTCTTCCGTCAGGCTTTCAGCATCATTTAGTACTTCTTTGCTCCACCCGCTTGGTATGTTCTACAATATCAGCATGAGTAACAAAAACTGTACTCAATCTCATCAATAAAAAAGAACTTAATCACATATATACTATCAAAAAAAGGAAACTCTATAATATTTTATTCTTATTTTTCCATCTGGAATTTGTTTAACAGTCGACCATCTATAAGGGGTTCCGCAATGAGTACCTCCAACCTTCCCAATGAGGAGGAAACATTAACAATCCTTGGTGAGTCTGATAACTGTAGAAGGGGAATTAGTGCTTCACACATTTGTTTGGCACCATAATAGTTTGTTCTAATAGTTGCTTCCGCAGATTCATAAGTTTGTTTTGGTACTTTTCTCCAATCAACAGGAGTCCCTTTTGCCTGCAATGGATGATAACAGATTTGCTCTTGATATTTGAAAATATGTTCTAAATTAAATCAATTAAATTCATGGTTCCTATTGATAAGTGGTTGATGTTGATACCAAAGCATTCCTATCAATATGTAATCCCGCAACTCCTGCATTGTTAACCTACAAAAGAAAAAAACGCTCATTGCCATTTATTTTAATATATATGATCCATCGGGAAGAAGTGTAAAGAAATAAAGTATGACTGAAAAGGTCAGGTAAGCAGCTGTAAAACAATGATTTTTTCTAATGTGGCAAAAGCAAAAGCCATGATTTTTTTTCCCTTTTATGAACTATCGACGGAAATTGAGGATTAATTGGCATCAGGAATGCATTCAAATTCAGTTATTTAACTTCTTGAAGGAGGAAATGATACTATACAACCCAAAGAGGACAAATAGTAGAAGTATTTGGTTGATGTCGACAGAAAAAATTGGGTTCAACAGAGCCGAATAGCGAAATGCGAAAAACAAGGCACATACAATGGAGAAAGTTGCTTCAATGGAGAGCAAAAAGTTCAAGTGTGTCTCCCAAGTTACCGTCGCATAATCAAGAAAAGTTTCCGGTTTCAAGAATATGACGTATATGCTGCTGCACAAAACCAGCTTGATGCATGCTTGGTTAGCATCATACGAATACGAGGCTAGGATGCGAGACTTGGTCTCCTTTTGAGCCTATTTCGTCACGCTAAAAATCTATTGTCTTTTCAAAAGTCAATTTACGATTTAAAGCCTGATAATCAGGCTTTAAATGCGTACTACTCAAATCATACGATACCGCCGCAACAAATATTACTCCTCCGGTCCTAATTATAAGACCCAATTGATTTATTTGAGAAGATTAAGGAAGTAAGTTAAGTTGGTTATTTATAATAAATAAGTGTTATCATTCCTAAAATATCCTTACTAATTAAGTATATTGGCTAAAACTATCATCATTAGAAGGATTATCTTGGAAAGAATGCATAAATATAAGAGACAAAATGGATTGGGGTCTTATAATTAGGACCAAATAAAAAGTCAAATGGGGTCTTATAATAAGGACCGGAGGAGTACTACTCAAGTCGATCAATAAGTTTTTTACTTTATGTTAGAGATTACATTTTTGCTTTTTTAAGTACGGCAAGTTTTCTATTTATTGGTCTTAAAATGTGTTTTATACTTTTATTCAAATTAATCCTTATTCATTGCCTTTCTCCTGAACTAGGAAAAGCAATTATAGTAAAGAAGAAAAAGCCTTATGGTTGGGGGAAAAAAAAAAAAACTGTTCTTTTTATATTAAAAAAAACACTTATTTCTTTGTTGGAACACTTACTAATCTGAATATATGTGGGATTTTTGTGCTTGACGATCTGGTGGTATCAACAAAGAGCTGAGAGTAGTCATCAGAACAAAATAAAAATACGATGAGCCATATTCATACCAAGATATCAAGTTTGGCGAACTTGGTTGTAATGAAATTTGCAAGAGATGAAGCACTAGCTGAGTCATTCACATCGAGCTGATGAAAATCCACTTGGCCAGACGCACCAAACTCTGACCCTAATTTCTCTACAGCTTCAAGGCCATTCTTTGGGTCTCTGGCTGTCAGAACAACTCTGACACCATTAGAAGCCAATTGCTTGCATATCGCAAAACCTATCCCTTTATTTGCCCCAGTGACCACTGCATACCTGCAAACGACATGAAGAATTTTATGCGAAAGAGACATGTAGCTGCAGGAAAGAAATGAACCGAAGCTTTTGAAATCGGTAACCTTTTTGTTGCTTCTGCGATTGTTGAAGAAAGAACACAAGCTCCTTGAAAGGGTGAAGAAGACATAACAAAAAGAGAATGATGGGAATTAAATTTTACAGACTCTTCGTTTGTATAGAAACAGAAATGAAAGAGCTTTTGGATTTTGACTATTGTTTCGTAGCCAAAGTCCACAAGTTCTGCCGTTTATTTGGGCCGGGGTCGTAAGCGAGTTTGCGTGTGTGGCATAATAATTCCGTACTCTTTGACTACGCATCAGATAGTCCTGATAGGGTGAAAATGGCATAAAAGCAGAAACCGCTGCTCGGTTGGACCCGAAAATTAACGCAGGATCAAGTTGTACTAAGACAAATCTAAAAGGTGATTGACCAACTATTTGAACTGAATCACACAAACATCTCCCCCCCCCCGGGCCGTCTCTTTTCCCATCCGTGCTGCATCTTGATAACTGTTAAACTATTTTCGCAGCTCTGTATGTACAAATAGCTAAATCTTTTTATTGGACCATGCTGTAAAATTTGAAGGAGAAATTGATAATGGAACATGAGAGTTTGAACAACTAGATTAAAAATATGCAAACTAAGATGATTACTTGGACTATTAGAGTATAACTAAACTCTGTTACACAAGCCGTTACTTAGCAGCTAAATAGAAGTGAAAGAGAGGCACATGGTTGAACTATGAACGCAAGTTAAGAAATGAAAAGGATGGCCATATGTGAATGAATGGGCAATGCTTTCAAAAATGAACCAAACTGACTGGTTTAGCCCGAAAATTGGTGAACTGGTTCAAAAATTTCACAGAGCCCATCACTTTGCTATAAAATTAGTCGAAAGTTCGAAAAATGGAAAAATCGGGCAAGCTATTATTTCAACCAGTTTGAGTTTCTTTCTTCCGGTAGCTGGTTGAAAATAAAATCACTTTTAATCAAATTATATATATAATCACTAATTTTTTTATTAATCATATGATGAAGTGCTGAAAATAGATTGTCTGTAGAACCTCTAACTACAGAGTACAGAGAGACTTAATAATCTAACTATTAACGATGTTTGTTTCCAGATTCTTCACTTGGATAGAGGTAGAATTCACTAATCTTTTGGGAAATATAGGGAAAGAAAACACAAAGGAGTGTATGTTACACATGGGGGGGAAAAACAATAACAATACATTAACTGGGATAGAACGAAGGAGAGTGTACGTTACAGCAACAATTTATAACTAAACAGCTAAGCCAAGTAATTAAAGTATTCTTAATCCAAAACATACAAAAGTTGATGCAAAGTCAAGAACTTGATTAGAATGGTATTTCTCCATCCTTAGTAAAGAAGAGGCCAGAAGGTGCAGAATCTGCCAGAAGGGCTATATTTGCAGGAGTTTCAGCAGCTTCATCAACACTTAAAGTGCCCATATTATTGGTCATATCAGTCTTCACAAACCCAGGACACACACAGTTTATGTGAACATTAGGGAACATGGAAGCTAGTAATCTTGTGTAGGCATTTACAGCAGCTTTTGAAACTGTATAAGCTGAAGCAAAAGTAGGCCATCTTTTCATCTTCAGTGACCCTTCTCTGAAGTCTTTGAGAAAGTCCTCAACCACTTCATTAATTTTTTCTTTGTTCAGGCTTTCTATGTCACTTAACACTCCTCTAGCCCGCTCATTTTGTATGTTCTGTAAAGAAGATTAAATGATTTCGAATAAATTACTTAAATTTATAACCATTTTGTGTAAAGTTATATCCTTTAAAAGAAAATGAACAAATGAAAATTGTTACCTTTAACATGCCGGCTCGAGAGGAAACATTGAGAATGGTGGGGGAAGAGGACAAATGGAGAAGAGGAAGAAGAGCTTCCACAGTTCTTTGTGTGCCATGGAAATTAGTTTGGACACACTGTTGAGCCATCTCATAAGTTTGGAACCCTACTTCATCCCAATCAATCTCTGCACCATTTCTCTGCAACACTCAATTGTTAATTATTACATTCATTCCGCTATTCACAGATACTGGTGATTTTGACTGAGTAATAATAGTTGATTCCACTAGTGTTATGCTTGTGCATGAAGAAAACTATCATTCAGAAAGCTTTACAGCCATTCCATCCAACCCAACTTAAAATGAAATGCACACTAAAGAGGAAATCATAGCATAAAGCCAAGAAATCAAAATTTGAGTACTTGAAATAGAGGGTGGGAGGGAGGTAATTGAAGCTAATTACCTTTTTTATCAAAGCATCAGGATCTGTTATTTTGCCACCTGCAGCACCAGCATTGTTCACCTGCGCCAACATGATATGGAGACAAAATCTGGTTGGCTAATCATTTGTCCACTAAACTCCAACTAGTTTCATATCTAATTACAATTACTCACGATGTTTAAATATGATGGTATGCTGAAGTGTTTTAGATTCTGTCTAAATGTTTTAAAGCTGAACCAAAGATCAAGCAGACATGGCATTTTGATTGAGTCAGAACCCCTTCAATCATGTGGTCGTTGCAAAAGAAAGACATAGTACATGTTAGAAAACGCATTCCATGATGCTTCAACTTCATGGAACGTGTTTCCAAACACAAATCACAGTAGTAATTAGATCCCTGACCCCCAAAAAAAAAAAAATCATTTGGAAGGGAAGACGGTGTCGGACAGTTAGAAACGTTGGTTTTATTATATACTCATTTGTTAGCTGTTAATTTGAGTTCCAGAATATATTAGCATTTGATACCAAGATGTCGAGTTTGCCAAAGGCGGTGGTGATGAAATGAGCTAAGGAAGCAATGCTTGAAGGATCAGTGACGTCAAGCTGATGAAACAGCAGAGAGTCTGACGACACACCAAACTCTTTGAGCTTCTGAACTGCTTCCAATCCTCTCTTCTCGTTTCTTGCTGTGAGAACCACCTTCACCCCTCTTGCTGCCAACTTCTTGCATATTCCATACCCAAGCCCCTTGTTGCCTCCAGTCACTACTGCATACCTGAAATATATATATATATATATATATATATATCCACAAAGCTAACTTGCACGAATCACATCAAAATGTTTACTTGGTAAATAAGATTCAAGAGAACTCGGAAAGTTATTTCGAAGATATACCTCATTTCTTTTTCTACCTCCATTGGTGACGATTCGAGCTCTCTTCGTACGTGCAATGACAGAAACAATGAGCAGGGTCGTGTTTTCTTTCTTTAAAACACAGACACACACACACATATGAGCATGCATACGTTCATAAGCCCTGTGAAGAATGGTCGGATCATTGATCACAATAAATAGTGTAGCTGTTTCCATCAATCTAAGAGATACAGGAACAAAAAGAAGTTGACTGTCAAGAGGAAATTGAAAACTGAGAATTAATTTATTATCTATTGGAGCCGACTACGTGATTCTATTTCCATCATTGTTATTGTAGGTCATTCATTATTATATATGGACAAAAAAAAGGCTTAACAAGCAGCTTCTTCTTGGACTCTTGTAACTGTAGCCGATTAAGCTGTGATTGAGACATATTTTACTTTATTGTTCCACTCTTTCAAGTGTTTCAGAAACAGGGGTTACCATTTTCCGGGAACAACTTGATGATAAATGACGCCGAGCAAAGCTATAGTTCAGTAGGATTTCATTGATTAAACTAGGGTTAATATAATTTTTTTCACAAATTTGCTTTTATTTTAATTTTGGTCCCTCAAATTTCAAATCATTTTAATCCTTTAAATTTCATTTCATTTAAAATATTAGTACTTATAATCCAATAAAAACCTGAATTTTTTTCCTGTTAAATTAAATAAGAAGCCAATTCAAATTTTGTGGGACGAAAAATGAAGTTTGCTTCTTCTTTTTTTCCTCGTTCGCAGCATTTTAAGCAAAAAGAGGCAATAAAATCACGAAGAGGCAGGGATTAGTAGACGACAAGGCACATATGTGGCTCTTTACTCTGCTCTTGTTAGCCATGTAAGACGGAGCAGACCAAGTTATAACGCAAACTCGGCCAGAAAAAAAAAATAAAAAGGTTATAACGGAAACAAATATTCAAATAATAGGGACTATTTTTAACAGTGTAGGGAGGAGTTATAAAAAGAAATTTACAGAAATCAAATTTTAAAATGAGGTAAGATTCAAGGACCAAAAATATATTTTTTTCCTATTTTATATTACGCTCTCTAAAATTCCTCAATGTAAATACTGTTCGCTAGTTGGTATTTATTTTAAAAAACCTACATCATCTTTCTAACATCATAACACTTAGAAATGAAGAAAGGCGTTGAAACGGGTTATAGAAGTGTCGTGGAAACGAACACCAAAATCACCCTGTTCTAGTTTTATTTTTTGTCCCATACCAAAAAATTTTGAAACGGGTTTATCCCATCTCAATATGACCAGAACAAAAACAAGCCAGCCGGGGGACAGGATTATTTTAAACACGCCTATTACCCATGAGGCAAAAGATCCTCTGATATTCGAATCTGGGGCAGTTGGTTAAAATGTTTTGCTTTCAATCTTTTCTCTGGGCTTTTCCTTCTTCGTTAAAAAAAAGTGCAGTTGGTAAGACCAACTTCATAAAGTCAAGGGATCCCCAGAGAGCATCCCGGTCCCCGAGAGAAAGACAGGCATGTTTCAATAAAAGTACGTCACGTGTGCTACTCATTGTCATTTGTCAATCCATCCTTTAAACTATCAAAAGAGAAGACATTATCTTCAAATTTTCTCAATAAACTATCAATAATGACAGAAAAGATCGGCCCAAGTGAAAACACGAAACCAAATAATCTAGGCAAGACTACTTAACACTTTCAAAACCAATTAGAGCACAATAAAGTCCATCAAAACAAGTAGAACCATTTAATGTATGGACGTAGAAACGATTTGATGTACTTTACAAGACTGGTTTTAACATCCAAAACTTGAGAATAAGGCTGCAATCAATGCAGGTCGAATTTTCCGGGATAGGCATCACGAGTTACTAATTCTTGCTCTGCCATAATGCTGTGAAACATACACGAGGTTAGGCATCTGTTATTCTAATTCTAAAAGACTACAAACAGCAAAGACGAGGCCTTCATTTTGCCTTGTGTGGTTCACCATGTTTGGCACTTCAACTAGAATCCCGGTCAAGCTGCATTTTCTTCATTTTCTTTTTCAAGGCCTCCTCAAAGTCGCTGCTTGACAGAGACAGAAGCTGGTTTAGCAGCAACTTCACACCGCACTCTTTCATTCGAGCATATCTCGGTTTAATCCTCTCTTCCAAACTGTAACCAAAAAACTGAGGGAACTTGACCAGCTCTGGTTTAGGGTAGTCCATGGTCAGAAAGAATTCCCATTTTGGGATCAAATTATCAGCCAAGCTAAATGTATACAATGATCCATATCTTGAAATCATGGTCCCAACTTCCTGTACGGTGTATCCGCTCTCTAAGAAAAAATCTGTTACAGGCTTTAGATTGGCCTCAATGCTGAGACCAAAATTTTGTGGACATCGAAATAGAAGAATGCCAACATCAACTCCCAAGGAACGAAAGTAATTTGCTGTTGGTCTTAGCTTGTCTTCCACATTGTAACTGATAATATTGGGGAAGCGAGTTAGGATCTTGCCTATGTTCTCCTCTGAGAGACCTATTTCATAGAGGAAATCTACACTTGTTTTCACCTTTTGCTTGCTGTAAGTTAGAAGAGCTGGAAATCTGTATATCACCTTTGCCCACTGCTGCTTGTCTACACCAAAGGTTTCCAAGAACTTCATGGTGGGTTTAAGATTCTCGGAGAGACTGATACCACATAATTGAGGCCTTTTAGTGAGAATGATGGGAATATCTTCTTTTGGAACTCCAAGTTCTAAAAGAAACTCAACAACTGGTTTGATTTTTCCTTCTAAGCTATAATAGGCAAATGAGGGAAATCTTCGAGTAATACTCTTGATTTGCTCAATTTTCATTCCAAACTCCAAGAGATAGACAATATGAGGACGAAGCTTGCCAGCACGGTCTATCTCACTAACTTGAGACATGGCTTTCGTCTTCTTTGATTCCACCAATGAACTAGGAATAGAAATTGGCGCTCTAGGCTTTTCCTTGACAGGAGGGTTTGGATAGTTTTCCACGAAATCCATCAAAATGTCTCCATATTCTTCAAAAAGGGATTCAAGATAAGGAATCAAGGCATCTCTAATCTCAAGAGTTGTAAGTTCTCTTCCTGTTCATGTCAAGGAGACTAAGATTATTAGGACTAAGTGGAAATTAAAATGAAATGAAAGTGCAAAACTAAACAATGTTGCAATCGAACCTACTAGGTACCGAGATTTATGTTTAGAGTGAATCTTCGATACAAGGTGATTGACGAAAACATCTGACTTATTGATGGTTCTTGCTGCAACTGCATTACTCAAGCCTTGTTTCTTCAAAAACAAGGTTAATACAGCCTTTGCTTCTTCCTTTTCTGCTGCTAACAGGGTTGGAGGCACCAATTTTAATGACCGATCTGTACCAAAGATCGATATCATGAATGGACTCTATTTAATAGATTAAAAACCAAACCTCAGTCACGACTTTAAAGTCAGCAAATAAATGCTTACCATTCTTCGCTTGGCAAAAGAAAACCCTTGCAATATGATGAGGTTGACTCCTGATGTAAATTAACAAAAACATCAAATAAGTACAACATGACATTCAGAAAAAGTAATAAAAAGCAAAATGAGGACCCACACATCTTCCACTGTACTTCTTTGAAACATAATGGCACAATCACGCTATTTGGCCACGGTGTGTTGAGTATTTAGGACTTAGCAATGGTTCCACACTGACAATAATGAAGTCCTTTTCCACAACCAGAGATTCCATATCAGCAGAGAAGAATCTTAACCTTTATACAAGTGCCTCCGGCTGGCATTAATTTACACCCTTTTAGAGAGTATCACTTCCACGTATATTCCAACCGTATACTGTAAGCTCGAGTAGCTATGAACGCATTTTTAAGAACATGATTTTTATGAGATTGTAACACGTATAATTGCGACTTAATCAACTCTGAATGTGCCTAAAATGAATTCAGCATTGCCTAATGCTGGTTCCTTGCATGTTCATCATGATCTTTTCTATAACTCTAGTTTTATTACCTTCACATTGCCATCATCTCATATACCAAGCATCTAATCCTTTCAAACCACTCCAGTTCAGTGCTTTGGTTTTTCAACCGCTTAATAAATTTCAGGGGCATATTAATAGCAGCTTCAACCATTCTGAGTACACATGCTTACCATTTAGACTATAAAGAAGAGACCTAGAGAGAGGGAGAGATGTTAGGATTACATTGAATAGCATTGAGCTGAAGAAGTAGTATTTAAGTAAAAAGACCCATGTTTAGGCAGAAAAGTGACGTGAAGGCCCTTAATATATCTCATCTCTCTAGAATCTAAGGCCTAACAAGAAAAAGAGGGAGCTGCTTGCAGATGCAGAAAAGGAGTACATTACACACAGGAGCATGCTATTTACAAGATATTGATGGATGCTTGCGGATGCAGACAATGGTAAAGAAGAGAAGGATCACCTCTTGCTAGTGTATACTCTTGTCCAAGAGGAATGCTGGGCCAGGCGATTTAGATAAGGAATCTCCATACTGGCTACTTCAGTGAGTAAACGGTTCAGCTAATAGAAGCTCAGGAAATATCTGAGGCAGTATCTTGAAATTCTTGCACAGTCACTGTCACCGCTGTCGCCTCCGGCGCCGATTCCCTCTTCTCCTCCAAGCCTCAGCCAACGGCGACGTTGCTGCCTCGGACCCCCTCACGCCTGGCTTTCCGTATTCCAAATACTGACGGTAGCCACTGATTTTCTGTCACCGCCGGCAATGATTCCCTTTCTCCATCAACCCTCTCAGCGGCGGTGATGCACCCAAAACAATCGGCCCCGCCAAGTCAGCTACCCCACGTTCATTTATCCAAACCAGATCCAGCGTAATCCATCTGGGAAGATAAGAGATTATCAGTCATTTTAGTCTTCATAAATAGAAATATCCTTCCGGAAAAATGACTCTAGTCCCTTATCCATTGAAAAGAAAAATGTTCTCACTTATTAAAGTACTGAAAAAAAACTTAACCTCTCAAGTCTCACCTTCGAGTCGCCAGGGCCAGCCGCCACGTCAGAGCGTCCCAAGAATGGTCTCTAAGAGAGTATAAATGTATAATAATACAAAACATTTTATACTACTACCTGCTTAATATAAAAACTAGTTTAATTTTTAATTTGATCCTAAATATAAAATCTTAATCTACTTTATTTCTTATATTTATCTAACTTTTTCAAAGTAATTCTTGTAATTGCATATATTAAATATTCAATTTAATAGTAGTTTTAGCTAATATATTATTAGTAAAAATATTTTAGGAAAGATAACACCTAATTATTATAAATAAATAACTCAACAAACTTCTTTAATCTATTCAAATTAGTCAAATGTATCTTATATTAAGAATCATAAGTAGTATGTTTATAGATTAATACAACTATTTAAAATTTTAATCACGTGTGATGCTAAAAAGAAACTATTTAAATATATGTGGATAATACTATTTCAGCTCTTTACTATAAAAGTTAGTTGATTAATTTGAGTAAATTAAAGAGGTTTGTTAAGTTAGTTATTCATAATAAATATATGTTGTCTTTCCTAAAACATCCTTACTAATCAGGTGTATTAGTTTTAATGTTTGATGAAACATTTAATATGTACAGCTATTATAAGGACTATCTTGGAAAAAAATGAGTGAACATGAGAGACAAAGTAAATTGAGATCTTATATTTAGGATCAAATTAAAAGTCAAACTAGCTCATGTATTAATTATAGGTAATCTACTACCTCCAGTCCTTAATATAATACTACCTCCAGTTTTAATTATAAGAGTCATTTGACTAATTTAAAAAGATTAAGGAAGTAAGTTGAATTAGTTATTTGTCCTAAATAGATGTTGTCTTTCCTAAAATATCATTGCTAATCAAGTGTATTAACTAAAACTATCATTGTTAGAAGGGCTACTTTAGAAAAAAAAATATATAAATATGAGAGACAAAGTAGATTGGAGTCTTATATTTAGGACCAAAATAAAAATTAAACAGGGTCTTATATTAAGGACCGGAGGTAGTAGTTTGTTTGACTTTTATTTTGGTCCTAATTATAAAACCCCCAGTACACTTTATCTCTCATATTTATCTATTTTTTTTCAAGTTAGTCATTGTAATAATAGCAGTTCTAGCTAATACACTTGATTAGTAAAAATATTTTAGGAGCAACACTTATTTGTTATAAATAACTAACTTAACTAATTTTCTTAATCTATTCAAATTAGTCAACTAACTCTTACACTACCTCTTGTCCTTAATAGAAGACCTTATTTGATTTTTATTTTGATCCTAAATATAAGATCCCAATCCATTTTGCCTCCCATATTTATGTATTTTTTTTCCAAAAAAGTCCTTCTAATAATAATAGTTCTAGACAATACACTTGATTAATAATGATGTTTTAGGAAAGATAACACCTATTCATTACAAATAACTAACTTAACTTATTTTTTTAATCTTCTAAAATTAGTTAACTAACTCTTATAATTAGGATCGAAAGTAGTATTAAGTACAAGAAGTAGTATTAAATTATGTATGCCTTTGTCTAGTATATGCTTTGATAAGTACGTCCGAGAAATTTAAGTCCGGTTACATGAGGTTGCCGAAAATTGGGTTTCTTCTGGGACCCGTAGCCACACTCTATTACATCCCCATAATATATATGCTAAAAATCTTAAATTTATCGTACACTAAAGTTCCTGGCTAGCTGCAAATGCAAAAATCGTAACGAGTACTGAATAAAAAGCACATGGCTAGTTAATCGTAAAACCCCCAAACTCTTGAAATAATGCTTTCACATGCCATGTTCTACAGCCAATGGTGCTCCCATGATTTTTGTCTCCACACACACCCTTGACATATAGCCACCGAAAGCTAATATATATTCACTAATATTTGTTCTTATCATTTGTACGTGATTCCTTGTTAATGAGATTCTTGAACTTAATCAAATTCATTCGTCATGCCTCTTGAATGACTGCTATGATATGCTTCATTCTAAGCTATAAAGTTTTGGCACTTGAAACCACACTTCATTACATCCAAGCACCTTAAAAATTAAAATACTAAATCACTCGTACACACTTAAGTTGCTGCATAATAAATATAGTAGTATAATCATAATAAGTCAATAAAAGTACACACATGTAATAGACTTGAAATCAGGCTGATGATGAGACATGGAAAACTTGAGGATCACAATTGAAGTCCAGCGGTGGGACTGTAACTACGTTGTGGAACGTGCTTGAAGATAGCCCACAGAAGATCCAAGTAGAGCGGAAACTGTGCCAAAACAAAAAGGGTTACAGGGAGGCAAGTCACCACGTAAAGTGGAAGAGCAAGATGATGAAGTGTATCCTTGAGCACGAAGAAATGTCCAGCACAGAATGACACCAACATGGAAGCAATCGACACGAACAAGGAAGTCAAACCTATCATTAACTTCCTCGGCAAGTCTTTGTTAAAGTCTTGCTCTTGAAATCGAGAAGTGAGAATAGATAGGAACATCACCAGGGCCGTGATGGAGAAGCCCAGTGCCATGAGTGATGAGATGGCGAACAGTTGGAATTCTCGCCTATCTTCAAGGATTGGTTCGCCTGTTTCTGGGATGAATCCGCCGGGCACAGTGGCTGCTGTGGCAAATGCCACCGTGGCAATTAGTGCCGCCACCACCGAACATGATTCTGAGGTTTTGTTCAGCCACTCGGAGGCCGTTTTCGTGAGGTCCTTGTGAGTATTGGTAAACACAACATCTGGGGTTTCATTCTTATTGTTGTATCGAACAAAGAAATCAGGTGGCATTGGCTTATTTACGAACTGCATCAGAAATAACATTCAGATAATCATAATTCAGATATTACAAGGAAAAACAACACGCGCGCGTATCTTGTTATTATTAATTAATTACCTTGTACCACTTGAGTTCCCATTGCATTTGAAGAGCTTCGCCAGGAATGAGCCAAGGCTTGTGCTCACGAAGTGTGGCTGCCAAGTGCAAAGCACTGTTTCCATCCTTATCCATCTGATGAAATAAGCTCTCTTTATAAATAGCCTTCTTCAACAAGAACTCATACACATAAGGTTGCCTGAATTCTACTGCTAATAACACGATGTTCTTCTTATCTTCATTCATATCGTTAATGGCCACAGGAAATAACTCCACAATTTTCTCTATTATTTCCATCACACCATTCTTTGCAGCCACTAATATAGGAGTCTCTGTTGTCCTCCTTTTAGGATTCTGCTCATCATTACCGTTGTTCTCGGTGTTCGAAGGTTTGATTGATACTCGTGGGATGCCATCGGCGTCTGACCACTGCTTTGGATAGCGTTCGTCTTCTTCGGGGTTCCTCCCATCATCCTCATACTCATACATGGAAGCGTGGCCAAGAAGTTGTTCGACTATCTGAACAGACCATGTATGGTTCTCCTTTTTGCGATATAACTTCCCCAATTCCTCTGATCCTGGGGAAATTTCGAAATATATAATAAGCATATATGGATTGTGAGTGTCATGTGCCATCATATATATTTAGCATAATTTAAACATAAATAAGCATATATACCTTTCCCCAAAATTATCAGAAGCACCAGATAAAAGAACCTGATCAAATCGCAACAGGTTTTATAATTAACTGGAAATAGCGGATTTGCCTGAGCTCTGTCCACGTGTGATCCTAATTAAACAATGGTATAATAGTTTAATTTGCAATAGTACTCACACGTGCTATTTTAATTAATGCCAAAATTCAAAAGATCTCTCACCGCCCGCTCCGGGATTTTCCGCATCAGCTCTAGCAGGTTTGCGTACAACTGGAAATAGAAAACTCAATAATTTAAGTCCCGGTTACTAGCAAGATCTCAGCTAGGGGATGGAGGGGGTAATTACCAGCAGTAATCACTTTTTTAATTAGTTGGGAAACATCCCACAATATTTTGCAGTTGTCAGGACAATCACGGCTGTCGCTGTCCTCGACTGCACGTGTGCATTTCTGATGTTCATATGCTGGATTTTCTACCTTAAGCTTCTCAACTTGTATACCTTCAACATAGTATGCATATATTACAAACATCATGCCGATCGATGAATCAGTCAAAAAGGCTTCCTTTTTTTTTTCCCCCTTAGTTAACTAAGCCTGCATGCATGAATAATGACACGAATTTACATACAGTGATAAATGAGGGTTTCCATCCGTCCGAGGCGGCTTCCGCTCCTGAAAGCACTGGGCTTTGATGCTAGCAAATGCAGAGGAGACGATCCTTCCTCATTCACCCAATTCGCAAGCTCTTTATACAGATGAACTATTCGAAATGCAAGATCTATATATATATATATATATATATATATAGCATTAGTTAAATAATGTTACAGTTGACTGGAATAAACAAACATATACATATATATTAATGGAGAAGCTGGCTAGTGGAAATGAAAGAGTTAACAGAGAATGAATTGAGACGTACGAAAGAAGTCACCGTTGATTGCGCAGTGCAGAATAGTGTCACCGTTGTTCCTTCTACAGTTACCATAGTAGGGAGGGGCGGTGGTGAGAGGGTTTCGGATGTAATGAAGGCAAAGAAAAGCATGTTTTCGGCCATAGAGAGCGGCCAAGAAGAGAGGCGTCTCGCCGTCAACGTTACGATCATCCACCAAGGTACGCTCCACGCTAGCAATGATGTGACACATTCTGGCATTGCCCATGTAAGCTGCCAAATGCAAGGCGGTGTTGTTTCTATTATTTGAAGTTCGGAAAGCCTCTTTATTCTGCGACATGGCGTCGACCATCTGCTTCACCACGTCCTCCTTCCCATCAGAGACTGCTATGTGCAAAGCAGTTTGTCCAGAGCGAGTAATTCTGGCATTGTGAAGCGTCGCATCTTGCTTGTACATATCAATGACCTTGCCCCATTCCCCTTTCATGGCGCATGAGAATAGGGTCTTCTTGGTGCTCTCCATGGCTTTACGTAGTTTTGTTTCCACATCAGTGATTGCTCCGTTTAAATACTGATGATCACCTTAAGAGACTGATGATCCATCTACTTTTATTGGCCAGAGTTGGCTGGGTTATCAAGTTATTCCCCAAAGAAGGAAAAAAGCAGAAGAATATCTTATAAGCCACAAAGAGAAGATAAAAAAGGCGTAATGTATACTTGTGCGTTGGGAATTCCAAAAAAGAGAACAAAGAAGAGTGTAATTTACAAAAGCCCAGCATGTTGGTGCTTTTTTGTTTAAGGTGCTTCGTGGTGGGGAGCAATCGTGAAAAGCATGAGATAAGAAAGTGAGAAATTATTCAATTAAAGAGAGGGGGACAATAAGAAAGAAAGAAGTTTGATAGGGCAGGTGGGACACGGCAGTTCAAATATTAGTCATTAAAGCGTTGTTAATCACATCTTAATCACCAATCAGGTTCAGGCGTTCGCGTCATAAGCTACTCGTGGTCTTTCCAAATCGGGAATAACTTTTGGGAACTGACACCTTTTGTTAAATTAAGAGTTGAGACGCAAGCTTGCTTTGTGCCCTGCAGGGGGTAAAAAAAAGCAAAAGCCTCTCAATCAGTCGTGTCACACGCCTCTGCTCTTTGGCTTCAAATCCTCCAATTAGAAAAAAGAGCCTAATTAAACCATCGCTACTTTTTTTTTTTTTTTGGTGATCCACGCATAAATAACCTTGGGTTTTAAGTAACTCTAAGTCGCTGACCATGCTCTTCTAAGTCCCCGGTCATCAACTCTACTACTGCATCTTCATTTGCATTTGCATTTGAATGCTCTTGATGTAAAACTACTTAGTTTGGATATATTAAGAGAAGTTGATAAGTGAGTTAATTATAATAAATGTGATGACTAAGATAATTATAATAAACATGACGTCATCCCTTTAAAATATCTTTACAAGTTAAATAAATTATTTTGAAAAGAATTAAAAAAACATGAAAGATAAAATGGGTTGAAGGGAGATCGTAATCAACTAATTTTTTTGCTCATTCTTATATGACTTCTTTTTTTTTATTAAAATTTTATAACTTTATTTTTTTTAAACCGAGCTCATTAAAACTTTTTCTCCCCTCCTCTGATTCTCCCATACTAAACATAGGTAAGTGAACTAAATTTCAAACCAGCTAAAGCATAGACATTGTCATTCTTAATGTCTTGAAAAATACTCCCACGACGTAACAGACCAAAATATATAAAAAGCTTAGTCTGAGGAGATGTTCAGCGTAGCTTGAATCCATAGCTCTTGAGGCTTGACGGACACCGACTTGACTCAAAAACTCGAGTTCCTCATGGCTTTTTTTTTGAGACTGCTTCACGCTCAGGTATAATGGAATAAAATATACTCCTCCGGTCCTTAATATAAAATCCATTTAACTAATTTGTTTAGATTAAGAAAGTTAGGTAAGTTAGTTAATTATAAGAAATGTGACACGTTTTTCCTAAAATACCATAATCATCTTTCTTAATATCTCATCTTTCTTTTCTACTTGATTATGGTTGAAGGAGTATCTATAGAAGTAATTTAAAGAAAATTGATAAATATGAGAAATAAGTCTTATATTTAAAATAAAAACTAACTCACCAATTGGGTTCTATATTAAAGACCGGAAGAGTATTTATTATCAACATAACAAAATTATTGTCTCCTTACAATCTATACGTAATATGTAATGTGATTGATTTTTTTTTTTTCCAAGTTAGATCTAGTTGTATGCTGAATCAAAGACAAGTCATCAGTTACTAACGTTTCGCTTGCAAATTAACAAATTATGAGTAGAGATCAATACTAAGGATTCTATAAAAAGAAAAAAAAAACTTTAAGAGCTCAATTAAAAATGAGATAAAATTATAAGAACTTGCATGTTAGTTTTTTCTTATTATTATCATTCATGATTTTTAAGAGTTTTTTTTTCACCTCTCCATTTTTAAGAAATTGAGAAATATGATTATGCTCTTTCTTGAACTAATTAATGCTTAACAGTTTGTAATTAAGACTCAAATCATATTTGAAATTGTCGACTACTCATTTTTCGATAAAAAATTTTCTACCACTCAAAAATATAATTGAAACTCTGTAGTTCTTCGATTTTGGTTTTTTTTTTTTTCCCCCTTCCCAAGTCATTCCATGCCTCCTGAGTGACTTCTCATATGCTTATAAAAAGATAAAGTTTGACGCTAGAACGCCTAGAAGCCACACTTTACCACATCCACTAAGCACCTTAAAATATTAAATTACTCGCACATTCAAGTTCCTACATATATAATATATAATCATAATAAGTCAATAAAAGCACACACATGCGATAGACTTTAAGTGTTCAATTGTACACTGATCAAATCAGGCTGAGACATGTTGAAGTCAGGTGGTGGGCCTGTAGCTACGTTGTGGAACATGCGTAACGGTAGCCCATAGAAGATCAAAGTAGAGTGGAAATTGTGCCAAAACAAAAAGGGTCACAGGGAGGCAAGTCACCACATATATTGGAAGAGCAAGATAATGAAGTGTATCCTTGAGCACGAAGAAATGTCCAGCACAGAACGACACCAACATGGAAGCAATCGACACGAACAAGGAAGTCAAACCTATCATTAGCTTCCTGGGCAAGTCTTTGTCAAAGTCTCTCTCTTGAAATCGAGAAGTGAGTATAGATAGGAACATCACCATGGCCGTGATGGAGAAGCCCAGGGCTACGAGTGATGAGATGGCGAACAGTTGGAATTCTGGTTTATCTTCAAGGATCGGGTGGCCTGTTTTCTCGAAGAATCCGCCGGGCACGGTGGCTGCCGTGGCAAAGGCCACCGTGGCAATTAGTGCGGCTACTAGCGAGCATGATTCTGAGGTTTTGTTCAGCCAGTCGGCGGCCGTTTTTGTGAGGTCCTTGTGAGTATTGGTGAACACAACATCTGGGGTTTCGTTCTTCCTGTTGTATCGGCCAAAGAAATCAGGCGGCATTGACTCATTCACGAACTGCTTCAGAAATTACGTCCAGATCATCAGAACACAGAAGTTACAGGAAAAAAATCAATATATACATATATATATGCATATTTTGTTGTTATTAATTACCTTGTACCATTTGAGTTCCCATTGCATTTGAAGAGCTTCGCCAGGAATGAGCCACGGCTTGTCCTCACGAAGTGTGGCTGCCAAGTGCAACGCACTGTTTCCATCCTTATCCATCTGATGGAATAAACCCTCTTTGTAAATATTCTTTTTGAGCAAGAACTCATACACGTGAGGTTGCCTGTGTTCCACTGCTAATAACACTATGTTCTTCTTATCTTCATTGAGATCGTGAATGGCCACCGGAAATAACTCCACAATTTTCTCTATTATTTCCATCACACCATTCTTTGCAGCCACTAAGATAGGAGTCTCCGTTGTCCTCCTTTTAGGATTCTGCTCATCGTTACCTTTGTCCTTGGTGCTGCTAGGTTTGATTGATGCTGCAGCGGTGTCATCCTGTGACGACGTTGTACTATAGCCTTCGTCTTCTTGTGGGTCTCTCCCATCATACTCGTACTCATACGTGGAAGCGTGGTGAAGAAGTCGTTCGACTATCTGAACAGACCATGTATGGGTCTGCTTTTTTCGATATATCTTCCTCAATTCCTCAGATCCTGGGGAAAATTCCAAATGCAATCATTAATGTTGTCCATGTGCCATCATACATATTTAGCATGAAATGCGTCAAACATAAATAAGCATACATACGTACCTTTCCCCAGAATTATCAGAAGCACCAGATAAAAGAACCTGATCAAATTGCAACAGGTTTTGTAATTAACTGGAAATAACAGATTTGCCTGACCTCCGGCCGCTCGGGATCCTAATGAAGCAATGGTATGAGAGTTTTCAGTGGTACTCACACGTGCAATTTTAATTAGTGCTAAAATTGAAAAGATCTCTCACCTCCCACTCCGGGATCTTCCGCGTCTCTTTCAACAGGTTTGCGTACAACTGGAAACAGAAAACACAGTAATTTTAGTCGCGCGCAATTATATGTGTCAACAAGTTCTTAGGTAGGGCATGGAGGGAAAAATTTATATAGATGGCGTGGGATTCAAATGTAATTAAATTTACATACCAACAGAGACCCCTTTTCTTATTAGCCGGAAAAAACCACACAATGTATTGTAGTTGTCAGGACAATCGTGGCTGTCACCGTCCTTGGCTGTTCCTGGGCATTTCTGATGTTCATCCGCTGAAGCTGCCGCCTTAAGCTCCTCAACATATATACCTTCCAGACAAACAAACAAATAAACACGGTGTGTGTGTGTGTGTATCAATGCATATATGCATGGATGAAGAATGGGACGAATTAAATGCTTATATACAGTGATAAATAAGGGTTTCCATCCGTCCAAGGCGGCTTCCGCTTCTGAAAGCACAAGGCTTTGATGCTAGCAAATGCAGAGGAGACAATCCTTCCTCATTCACCCGATTCGCAAGCTCCTCGTACAGATGAACTATATGAAATGCAACATCTATATATATATATATATATATATATATATTAAATGATGTTATAATAAACTATGTATATGTATAATGGAGAAGCCAGCTGGGTAGTGGAAATTAAAAGGGTTGAGGAAGAATTCACACGTACCGAAGAAGTCACCGTTGATTGCGCAGTGAAGAATAGTGTCACCATTGTTCCTTCTGCAGTTAACATCGAAGGGAGGAGTAGTGATGTCAGGGTTTCGGGTGAAATGAAGGCAAAGAAAAGCTTGTTTTCTGCCATGAAGAGCGGCCAAGAAGAGAGGCGTCTCGCCGTCGACGTTGCGATCATCCACTAAGGTAGGCTCCACGCTAGCGATGAGGTGACACATTCCGGAATTGCCCATGGAAGCCGCCAAATGCAAGGCAGTGTTGTTTCTATTATTAGGAGTTCGCAGAGCCTTTATAAGGTCCTCTTTATGAGGTTGTTTCTGGGACATGACGTGAAGCATCTGCTCAACCACATCCTCCTTCCCATCAGAGACAGCAATGTGCAGAGCAGTGTGTCCAGAGCGAGTGATTCTGGCATTGTGAAGCCTCGCATCTTGCCTGTACATATCAATGACCTCGCCCCATTTCCCTTTCATGGCCCATGAGAATAGTGTCTTCTTGTTGCTCTCCTGCTCCATGGCTACTTTAGGTAGTTTGTGTTGTGGGTTAGTTTCTATTCAGTGATAGCTCGTTTAAATACTGATCTGCTTAGGAGATTTTGATGATATGATTTACTTTCTTGGCCAGAGTTTGCTGGGTTATCAAGTTATTCCCCAAACAAGAAAGAAGGCAAAAAGAATATTTTACGAGCCAAGAAAAAAAAAGGAAAGAAACTATGTAACGTCACTATTTGTGCGGTGGAAATTAAATTCCCAGAAAAGAGAATAATGAAGAGTGTAATTCACAAAAACTATTGGGACACGCATTGACATGTTGACGCTTTTTTCGTTTTAGGTGCTTCGTGGTGGGAGCAAATCGTGAAAAACATGAGTGAGTAAAGAAGTGAAAGAGCTGGGCAGAAAGGAAGGAAGGAAGGAAGGATATATACCATATAGAAGTATGGCAACAGCCCAAGGGGCACCTGGAAACTGAAGCCTTCTTTTTCATTTTGGAACATGACATTACTTTAATGTTAGTTACTGCCCTCGTTTCTTAAGGTCTAGTTTGTATGAAAAACCTATAAATTAGATTTTATATTAAGAATTGGAGATGACATTAAACTGTGGTTAATCACATCTTAATTTGGTTCAGGCGATCAGGTTTAAACTCGTGATCTTTCCAAATCGGGAAAAAAAAAGAGGCAACCCTGGGCGCTTAGGCTTTGGCCCACTCTAGCCTGCAAAAAGCAAAAGTCGCTTGTTTTTTTTTTTTCCTTGGGGTTTAATTATACCATCACTTTTTGCCCCCTTTTTAAACGATCTAATCATAAATTAACTTGGATTTCAAAGTAACTCTTAACTCATTTAATAAGTTTCCAGTCATGAACTCAATAGCACCTTCATTTGCATTTGGATTTTAATATATTCGTCTCGTTTGGTCTTTAATGAAAAATTATTTAACAAGTTTGAGTAAATTAAAAAATTTAGATATATTAGTCAATTATAATAAATGTGATCCTATCACTCTAAAATACTTCTATATAATATTATTATATCAATTTATAAGTAAAGTAAATTAATTCAAAATAATAATAAATTGATGCAGATTTAATTAATTATTTTTTTGTTAGTTATTTATTTTGTTAACTACCCACTAACCCATTTATTGATTTCTCATTTTAATTATTTTATTTAAAATTAGGGTATAAGTACCCTAGGTTTCTATCGTGTAAGCAAACTTGGCTTTTGACGTATCAGATAGTTTTCTTCCATTCCCGTTCTCGTCTTTGCTCTTCCTTTCTCTCTAATATTCTTTCCTGATCTCCTTCTCTTTCCCTTTCTCTCTTTTCTGTTTTATATCAATTTTGGCATTAGAGCTAGGCTGTGCTTCCCTGTGCCCAATTTCTGTCAATCCAAACCATCCAAACATGCCCTTAAGTTCAAAAGCTACACAGTGTCATTGCTCTCCAATTTCCGCTGCCAATCGCCTTTGTCCATTCACTCCCAGGCCTCCTCTCACTGCGCCACCACCGTCATCGTCCTCTTCGGCCAATAACCATCCAGACCACTCAGTTTCACGGTGAGTTACTGCCGGAAAAAATCCACTGCGCGAGATCACCGTCACTGTCACTTTGAAAGCTCATAACTCTCTCGTCCGACCTTTGATTGGCACGAAACCACCTCCATTGGGTTCACAAGGAGGAACACGGCCAGACCTAGAAATTTCAAGGCCAGCCGGTGCTCCATGCGCCCCCACTCACCGCAGTGATCTCCATGCACTGCCTCGTTGCCAGCTCGCCCAGATTGCGTTTTTCGCCGTTTTGACCCCGTTTCGCACAATTTCTTCCACCAACGACCCTCCCAATGCTAAGAGCAATCACCCAGGAGCATTGGGTTTTTTTTTTGGTGTCGTAAAGCTGTGCCGGTAAGGCTCAATCGACCCTCTAATTAATTACTGTGACTTTTTTAGCATACTGGAGATTACTTTTATTGCTTTGGGATGTTGTTCTTGCTGGATACCACTACTGCCTATATATATATTTTTGGTTATTTATCCCTGATTATTATTTTATAGCTTAAAAAAAAGGGACAAAAAAGGACCCAAACAAAGGAAAAAAGGAAAAAAAAAAAGAATTTATTTTCATTTTATTAGTAGCTTCTTTACTTGCTTCATTATTTATTGTTAGCTTTCGCCTATCTATTACATGACTATTCAGGTTTAAACTCGTGATCTTTCCAAATCAGGAAAAAAAAGGGCAACCCTGGGCGCTTAGGCTTTGGCCCACTCTGGCCTGCAAAAGCAAAAGTCGCTTTTCTTTGTTTTTTCCTTGGGGTTTAATTATACCATCACTTTTTGCCCCCTTTTTTAAATGATCTAATCATAACTTAACTTGGATTTCAAAGTAACTCTTAACTCATTTAATAAGTTGCCAGTCATCAACTCAATAGCATCTTCATTTGCATTTGGATTTTAATATATTCGTCTCGTTTGGTCTTTAATGAAAAATTATTTAACAAATTTGAGTAAATTAAAAAATTTAGATATATTAGTTAGTTATAATAAATGTGATCCCATCACTCTAAAATACTTCTATATAATATTATTATATCAATTATAAGTAAAGTAAATTAATTTAAAATAATAATAAATATAAAAGACAAGGTGAATCAAAGTCTTGTATTTGAAACAAAAACTTATTATCTCATAATTGGCTTTTATATTTAGGACTAGAGTAATATATATTTTTAATTAAATTTGTGGGTAATTTATTTCAAAAATTACAAAAACCTCATTTTCAATGAGTTTGTAAACACATTGTAAAATCACTTGAATTGAAAATACTAATATTAGCAAGGTGTTCACGTTTGAGATAAATTACCTTTGAAGAAATTGTTGAACTTCTTTCGGGACGCGGATGACCATCGATCTTAACGATAACAACATTTCCCATAACTCTACAAATATTGATGTCATGATTATATTGCCGATTATTACCTCCATTTCTTAATATAAGAGATATATAATTAATTTATAGATATTAAGAAAATTAGTTAAGTTAGTTATTTATAACAAATACTCCTCTAATCCTTAATATAAGATATATTTAACTAATTTGATTAAACTAAGAAAGATAGGTAAGTTAGTTAATTATAAGAAATATGACATGTTCTTTCTAAAACACCATAAATCATCTTTCTTTATATCATCCCTTTTTTACTTAATTATAGTTGAGAGAATATCCATAAGAGTAATTTAGGAAAAATTGATAAATATGAGAAATAAGTCTTATATTTAGAATCAAAATCAACTCAACAATTAGGTTTTATATTAAAGACCGGAGTAGTATATTTTGATTTTTCTAAATTACCCTATTTAACCATATGTATTAGAATTATCTTTTGATTAAAAGCTTTCCTTAATATATGTAATCAATAAGTATAGTTTGGATATAAATTTGGAAAGTAAAGTTATATTTAAAACTAAAATAATAAATTAATTATTTAATTCCTATATTTAAAACAGAAACAGGAGTTAGTAGGTATTCTTGTTCGCAATAAAATTAAAAGGGTGTTTGGATGAAACCAAATCATGATTTGGAGAATAGCTTCTGGAGAATAGATTCTGAGAAGAATAGATTTTATGAAAAATATATTTTGTGAAAAAATGATTCTGATAAAGTGAAAGTGTTTGGATAGTTGTTATCAGAAGCATTTTTTATATGTGCAAATTACTAAAAAAAGTATAAATTAATATGATAATTACATAAAAGATAGATTTTATAATATATTTCAATTTGAAGGAATAAAATTGTTAATAATATATTTTTTACTAACATAATTAATAATATATAAGATAATGTAATTAATAAATAATTAATGTGTATATATATTTATAAAATATAAGATTAAATATGTTTAAAGAAAAACTTACAGTAACATATTTCAATATTCCAGTTCTTAATATGTCTCTTCTTCTTTTTTTTTGGGGGGGGGGGGGGGAAGTTCTTAATAAATTTCCAACAAACGTATACTTGTGGAGGTGCCTTTTGGTGCAGCAGATTCGGAAAAAAGAAAAAGGAAGGAAAGATTTTATTCTGTCCGAATGGCTTTGTCACGGTCATAGAAGATTTGGGCCAGAATAGGGGCCCAATGAGGAGCCCAGGAAGAAAGGAGAGGGCGTGAAGTGAACTATGTGGAGTCTTCTCTGCTCTATCTCAGTGATTGGATTTTCTAATCTCTTCTCTACTCTTATTCTGTATTTCCTAATTTCTATTGAATCAGAGTTATGTTATTTTTCTTTTTATATTGTTGACTCTGTTGAATATATTGAACTTGAAATTTCCACTATAAATGGTTCAATATTATTGACGTGAGTTGCATTATCTGAGGATCATTTGTGTGATTGTTACAGGCTTCATATAGAACACACACATAGAATCAACAGTAGAATTAATGTAAAACAGGCAGGCATAAGAGAAGACGATACATAGAATCAATAGTAGAATTAATGAACAATACTTGCACGTAACAGATCAAAATAAAAGCTTAGTCACAAAGCAAGAGCGAATCTGAGGAGATGCACGTAACAGTTGAGAATCAATGTGTAGCTCCGAGTCATTATCTCAGTCTTCAAAAGCTTGAAGACACCTAGTTAACTAACTCGGAAACAAGGGTGCCTGTTGGCTTTTTTTGGGACTGCCTTACACTACTTGGGCACAATAATGGCAGGCCATCCTTTATTATTCTCCGTGTAAACCCCCCCCCCCCCCCCCACACACACACAACAAATCAGAATCACTTCTGAAGTTAGTTAGTTGGTGGCCCTTTTGGTACGTTGTGGAACAGGAACAAAGGTAAACCTTAAAAAATCAAAGTGGAGCGGAAACTTCGACAAGACATAAAAGATGACAAGGAGGGAAATCACGGCATACAGAGTAAAGGCAGCATTGTGAAGTTGATGCTTGAGCACGAAGAAATGTCCAGCACAGAATGACACCAACATGGAAACAATCGACATGAGCAGCAACGTCACACCCGTCAGTAACTGCATGGGCAGGTCTCTGTAAAAGTCTTGCTCTTGAAATCGAGAAGTAAGTAATGATAGGAATGTCACCACCGCCATGACGGAGCAGCACAGGGCTACCAGTGATGAAGCCGCGAACACATTGAATGCTGTCTCATTTTCCAGCGTTGGATAGCCGGAATCTTGAGCGACGCCACCGGGCACGGTGGTTGCTGTGGCGAAGGCTACTGTAACAATTATTGTGGCCACAAATGAGCATGATTCTGAGGTTTTCCTTAGCCACTCGCCACCGCTTTTGACGAGGTCACCGTGAGTTCTGTTGAAGACTTCATCTGGAGTTTCGTTTCTATTATTGTAGAGACGTGTAAAACCAGCCGGCAGTGACTTTTTCACAAACTGCACGCATCTCCAAACATTACAAGGTCGCTCAGAATTGAGATATTCTAGCAAAAATGAATTTTTTTTTTAAAAAAATGTATCAAGGCGAGTGTGGGTAAGGAATTCATGCATGTTCTTTGAAGTTTCCTTTTCTGAAGTTCACAAACTTGTTCTTTCTGTTTTTTTTTTTAATTTTTATGTGAATAGTTTATCAATTACCTCGTACCACTTGTACTCCAATTGCATTTGAAGAGCTTCCCCACTAATGACCCAAGGCCTGCTGTCACCGAGTGTGGCTGCCAAGTGCAACACACTGTTTCCATCCTCATCCACCTGATAGAACAGGCTCTCTTTGTAAATATTCTTCTTCAGCAAGAACTCATACACCTGACGTTGCCTGTGTTCTACTGCTAATAACACTATGTTCTTCTTATCTTCATTCACATCGTGAATGGCCAATGGAAAGAGCTCCACAATTTTCTCTATCATTTCCATCACGCCACTCTTTGCTGCAGCCAGTAATATAGGAGTCTCCGTTGTCCTCCTTTTAGGATTCTGCTCATCATTACCTTTGTTCTCGGTGCTCCTAGGTTTGATTGATGCTGCAGTGGTGTCATCCTCTAACGAATTCCTATTATAGCCTTCGTCTACTTGGGGTTTTCTCCCATCATCCTCGTACACATACAAGGAAGCGTAGTGAAGAAGTTGTTCGACTATCTGAACAGACCATGTATGGGTCTGCTTTTTTCGATATATCGCCATCAATCCCTCAGATCCTGTAGAGTATATAATAAGCATATATGTAAATTATGAGTGTCGTGTGCCATCATATATATTTAATTAGTACGAAATGTGCCAAACGTAAATTAGCATATGTACCTTTCCCGAAAATTGTCAAAATTATCAGGTAAAAGAACTTGATCCAATGGAGACCAGTTTCGTAATTATCAGGAAATAACGGATTTTCCTGACGTTCGTTGACCACTGGTGATCCTAATTAAACAATTTTACGAGAGCTTTCACTCGTGATCAATTGTACGTGCTCAAATATGCAATTTTAATTAGTGCCGAAATTCAAAAAACCTCTCACCTCCCAGTACTCCGGGATCTTCCGCATCTGCTTCTACATGGTGGGCCAATACTGGAAACAGAAAACACAGTAATTTAAGCCGCAATTATATACATATGCCAACAAGATCTCAGCTAGGGCATCGAGGGAAAAATTCACATAGATGGTGTAAGATACAAATGTAATAAAATTTATATACCAACGGTGACCGAGTTTTTTATTAGCCTGCAAGCATCCCACAGTGTTTTGTAGTTGTCAGGACAAACATGGCTATCACTGTCCTCGACTGCCTTCCGATATTCATCTCCTACATTTTCTATGGTCTTGAGCTTCTCAACATATATACCTTCAAGACAAATTAAATGCCGATGAACCAATCAAATAGGCTTTTTCCTTAGTTAACTGACCATGCATATGAAGAATGACGCAAAATTAAATGCTTACATACAGTGATAAATGATGGTTTCAATCCGTCCAAGGCGGCTTCCGCTTCTGAAAGCAGTAGGCTTTGATGCTAGCAAATGCAGAGGAGACAATCCTTCCTCATTCACCCAATTCGTAAGCTCTTTATATAGATGAACTATTTGAAACGCAAGATCTATACATACACCATAGCATTAGTGAAGTGATGTTATAGTTGATTAGAACAAACAATATAACGGATCGGAGAAGCTGGCGAGCTAGTGGAAATTAAAGAGTTGAGACTGAATTTAGATGTACCAAAGAAGTCACCGTTGATTGCAGCGTGAAGGATGGTGTCACCATCGTACCGTCTACAGGTACCGCAGAAGGGAGGAGTAGTGATGGCAGGGTTTCGGATGCAATGAAGGCAAAGAAAAGCTTGTGTTCTGCCATGGAGAGCTGCCAAGAAGAGAGGCGTCTCGCCCTCAGCATTACGATCATCCACTAAGGTAGGCTCCACGCTAGCAATGATGTGACACATTCTGGCATTGCCCATGACAGCTGCTACATGCAAAGCAGTGATTTTTCTATTATTAGGAGTTCGCAGGGCCTTTATAAGCTCCCCTTTATTAGGTTGTGTCAGGGACATGGCGTGGACCATCTTATTCACCACGTCCTCCTTCCCATCAGAGACAGCAATGTGCAGAGCAGTTTGTCCAGTGCGAGTGATTCTGGCATTGTGAAGCGTCGCATCATGCTTGTACATTTCAATGACCTTGCCCCATCCCCCTTTCATGGCGCATGAGAATAGGATCTTCTTGTTGCTCTCCTGCTCCATGGCTGCTTTAGGTAGTTTGTATTGTGGGTTAATTTCTATTCAGTGGTAGCTCGTTTAAATACCGATCTGCTTAGGAGATTTTGATGATATGATTCATTTTCTTGGCCAGAGTTTGCTGGGTTTTCAAGTTATTCCCCACCAAAAAAAAAAGAGCTTAACTATATGCATGTTTTTGTATATTTGTGGTGGGGAAATTCTGCAAAAATAAGAGCAAATAGGAGTGTCATTCACAGCGGAATCAACATACTTGGTGGTGGGGGAACAGAGGTACGGAAAGCACACGTGGCACTTGGATACTGACGCCCGCCCACATCCAATTTATTAATTACACAATAATTGCTATGAAACTGTGGATAATCAAGTCTGTTTTAATCAGGTTCGCGTCAAAAAACCGATGATGTTTATTCTTTCCTTCCTAAAGAGCAAGCTAAATTAAAGGAATTGAAACTTGTTGAGAGAGACAAATGATGCTTCATTAGATTATGATATACTCCTCCGGTCCTTAATATAGGATTTAATTCTTGAATTAGTTTTGGTCCTAAATGTAAGACTCATTTCTCATATTTATTAATTTTCTCTAAATTATCCCTATGGATACTCCCTCAACCATAATCAAGTAGAAAAGGGAGAAGGGGTATTAAAAAAGATGATTATGGTGTTTTAGAAAAAATGTGTCACTTTTCTTATAATTAACTAACTTATCTAACTTCCTTAATCTAATCAAATTAGTTAAATGGATCTTATATTAAGGACCGGAGGAGTACTACCTCTGGTTCTAATTATAAGAGCCAGTTGACTAATCTGAGGAGATTAAAGAAGTAAGTTGAGTTAGTTATTTGTTTTAAGTCGGTGTTGTTTTTCCTAAAATATCATTACTAATCAAGTGTATTGACTAGAACTATCATTGTTAAAAGGGTTACTTTGAAAAAAAAATGTATAAATATGAGAGACAAAATAGATTAGGATTTTATATTTAGGACCAAAATAAAAGTCAAACATGGTCTTATATTAAAGACAAGAGGTAGTAGTACTGCAGCCTATACACGTGTAGTGTGCCGTCATATATATTTAGTACTCCTCCTGTCCTAATTATAAGACCCAATTGACTTATTTGAGGAGATTAAGGAAGTAAGTTAAGTTGGTTATTTATAATAAATAAGTGTTGTTATTCCTAAAATATTCTTGCTAATTAAGTATATTGGCTAAAACTATCATTATTAGAAGGATTATCTTGGAAAAAAATGCATAAATATAAGAGAAAAAATGGATTGGGTCTTATAATTAGGACCAAATAAAAAGTCAAATTGGGTCTTATAATAAGGACCGGAGGAGTATTAAATATTCAAATGTATCAAAGACAAATGAGCATGTATACCTTCGCGAAAATTGTCAGAATTACGAGAGAGAGGTGCCTGCTGCCCTCTCTCTCCTCCCTCCTTCTCCACCATTTTCCCTTCCTCCCCAAGTATTTTTTTTCTCTTGTTTCTTTTGATTTTTAGATTTTAGATTCAATGAGTGACAGTTGATATCTTATGGGTGAAAAATGGAGCTATTCTCAATTTTTTATGATTTTTCAAAGATTTACATAAAAATCTGTGCTCTTAAGAGTTTTCTTTTTTCCTTTAAAAATTCTTTGAAAAATCAAGCTAGTCCTCCAGGCATATGGTTGCAGTGGAATATACATATATATTTTAAAAAAAGGCAAAAGAATATATTTAGAAGTGATATTCATCGTTTAAGTATATGAAGCATAAGAATATTAAGTTAATTAGTATTAGCGGTAATCTTCTTTAAGTACCGATCCGCAAGAGACTGACGATCTACTTTACTGGCCAAGTTTGCTCGATTATTAAGTTATTCCTCAAGCAGATGGCGCCGGAGGATGCGTAAAGGAAATTAAAGCAAAAGGCAAAAGAACATATTACATGTTAAAAAAAATAGAAAGGATCGATCGTAAAAGGACGACTGAGTTGTTGGAAAGGAACATTTAACGGTGAAGTTCAGTCTGGTATTAAAAAATGAGAGGTCATGTATTGCACTGTTTTGTACGTTTCCGGAGTGACATTTCCCTGAAAAAATACTTTTAGATAGCTACTGTTTACACACGAATACTTTCAGAGCAGGATTGATCACCTCTAATTCGATATGTGTGTGTGTTGTGTCACCTTGAAGTTTCATTAAACGATACTCTCGCCCTTGTAAGTTGCAGGTCATCAACTCTATTCCTTATTCGTTCGCTTTTGGATTTTAGTATATTTTTCAATTAAATCGCAATACACAGGTGAATTTTAAATTAATTTATAAAAGTAAAATAAAATATTAACAACAATAATTTGTTATAAGGTAAATTAATCATTTAAAAAACCCGTATGCCATACGTTCATTTAGAAATATCTTAAACATACAGGCCAAATAAAAGATTCTAATTTTGCTCTTAAATAATTATTAAAATGCCATAAACGTACATTAAAGCAAACTAATGTATACCTCATGCAACGAGTCTGAGAAATAAATCACATTGTTCATAATTTATCTATCGGAGTTTCCATATCATATCTATAAATATAAATATTAATATAGATACGGTCCAATATCCAACTTCTTCTAATCTAATAAATGAAAAAAAAAGAGAGAAGGAAATATGCATGTTGATCAGGGACCCTCTAGCAATAAAATACCTGATGCTTGTGGTTTTTAAAGTTAGTCTTGAATACTACCTCCAATCCTATTTATAAGAGCTAATTGACTAATTTGAGGAGATTAAGAAAAGAAGTTAAGTTAGTTATTTGTAATAAATAGATGTTGTATTTCTTAAAATATCTTTACTAATCAAGTTATTGGTTAAAACTATTATTGTTAGAAGGACTATCTTAGAAAAAAAAATATAAATATGAGAGACAAAATGTATTGTGGTCTTATATTTAAGACCAAAATAAAAGTTAAATAAGGTTTTATATTAAGAAGTTGAGGTAGTATACAACTTATTTTAAATTATGCCGCCTTCACCATGACAGCCGCTACAGTGCCCAGTCCAGTCAAACCCTGACCCTCAAATATGAGCCACCATTCCAAACGGTCCGCCATCTCCTCACTCATAACGGCCATGGTGATGTTCCCATCCATAAAGACTTCAGGGAGTGTCCTTACTTCATGGTGATCCTGATTTCCTAGGTCTGATTTGATTAGTTTTTATTCAACACTTGCGTTTATCGATGTGTGTACTTCTATTGACTTGACAACATTATATTATGTACACAGCAATTTGCGAGTACGTGCGAGAAATTTAAATCCGGCGGTCACATAAGGTCGCATGCAGCAAATTGTTTTTTTTTTCCCGGGGTGGTTTGCCTCCAACCACATTTTATTACCTTCACACACATTTAAAAAATCGTAACAAGTTCTAAATTAAATAAAAAGTACATGGCTAAACGTAAAAGTGAAATGAATATAATTAAACCACGCTTTATTAAATCCACGCATCATAAAATATATCTTAGGCTCATGTCGGGATGAGGAGCCCTTAATTTGCTAAGTTTAGGTTCCCTCGCATCAAGAGGCTTTCTTATATGAAGATCGTGACAGTTCCTATTAGGCGCTACCATGTCACGAATTTATTTGCACCAAGAGAAATGGGGCCACTACGTCAAGAGCAAATCGAACAGAGAGAGAAAGCACTTAGTGAAGCGACCTCGATGAGTTGAAGGTTTGTGACTCCTTCGCACACTAAACTAAGTTACTACATATAGATCACATGTAATCATAATAAAAAGTCAATAGGAGTGCAAGCATGTGATAGTCTTGAAGTGTCCAGTTTACACTCTGTTAAAATCTGACCAAGACATTGTCACCCAAAAAGGAAAAAAAAGCCGACCGAGACACGTAACATAGTGATGATCGCCATTGATGTCAAGAGAGACCCAACACAAATTGGTGGGGACAAACTGGAACCACTGGCTTCTGGGATCGTCCAAACAAGTAGGATCATCTAGTATACAGATGCATCTTCTTGTCCCAGTTAGAGCTGGTAATATAAATTGAACCCGCTTGGTAGGTTAAGTTGGCTAAAAGCCAACCCGCTAGTGAACAAAACTTTTTAACTCGTACTGTCAGGTCTGCAACCCGTCATGGGTTAACCCGCCAACCTGAGGGTTGTCCCGCATTTTTTTAATATTTTTTAAAAAAATTTCAAATTATATAATTATATATTATATCATATCTGAAAAATTAAAAAAAATGTCTATATAATTTATTTGGTGCTTTCAATCAAATATTTAAAAACAAAAACAAAAACCTCATTTTTTTTTTGGATATTGAATAAGAAAAAATATTAAAAATAGAAAATTTTCAACAAAAAAAAAGATAAAATAATTATTGGCGGGTTGGTAGGCAAATCCAACAACCCACCTTGACAGCCAACCCACCTTCAAACAACCTTTTCTAATCCAACCATGTGAGTCCAACCCGTCACTGGCCAACCCGCAATCCGTAGGGTGACTCATATTACCACCCTAATCACAATTGTTGAACAGTTCGCGTCCTGGTGCAAGCACAATTGCTTACCATGCTGGTCTATTTTATCATCGGGAGAGAGAGGTGGGTATAGGAAAGGAAGCGATTAGGTGGAATAATGTGGTGAGGTGGCACCAAATTTTGGTCAATTTTAACAGTCAATTTTAACACTTTAAAAAGACGGGGTAACATTGCTACATTTTTTGCATTTTCATAATAACATTGCTCCTTAAGAAACTTCCAAATATTCGCAAGTCCTGAGCAAAAACTTTTGAGAAAAAATTGAACCTTATTTCTATATTTAACATTCAATCCAATTATAACTATAGGCATATGAGAACACATTCAAATGGTATTTTAAAGAAACTGATAGCAGAGAAAAGATACCAAGGGGAGGGAAAGAGACAAGAGCCACACATAGAGGATTCCCAGGAGTGGGACCAGAGAGAGAAGATCATCCCAAATCATCCACAGTTCTCCCATAGCCAATTTTGTCCCAATTTTACTGCCTCGTAATATTCACGTTTTCCATCTCTTCCTCTTGCTGTACATGCGTATGTGATTTGGGCTTCCTTTTTGGGTCATTTTCTGAGCCCACTTCTTCTGGAATCATGACCCCATCCTTTCACATTATTCCATATTTCCATGTTCCTTCTTCATATGGTCCTCGATGAGCTCCCTCACCACCTCGTCTAGTTTTTCTCCTGTAAGACTCTCCAAGTCGCTTAATACCTTTCTTGCATGAGTCCAGCCGAACAAGTAACATTGACAGTGGTGGGAGAAGATGATAAGTGAATAATTTTTATCTACAATTTATCAAGACTTCTCCTATAAGTACTGACCTGTATGGATTGACGAACAAGTTTTTTTTTTTTTGTAATATTCATTCTATAAATTCTAATAATGTCTTTTATAAATATAATATTATTCTATAAATGATAATACTCTATGATAATTGTACCAATCTACTGGTTTAAAGGAAAGAACAGAAGATAATAACAGTTTAAAAATAACCAAAATAAGAAGAGTATAAAGATAAATTGCTTCTGATTTTGTTGCCGTAGTACAATTGCGTTTATCCACCTGTGTAAGTTTATTGACTTGCTAGCATTATACTACCTCCAATTCTTAATATAAGGGTTCATTTGACTTTTATTTTGATCCTAAATATAAGATTCTAATTCATTTTTCTCTCATACTTATTTATTTTTTTCCAAGATAGTCATCGTAATAATGATAATTCTAGCCAATATATTTGATTAGTAAAAATATTTTAAAAAAAATAACACTTATTTATTATAAATAACTAATTTAAATAATTTTTTTAATCTATTCAAATTAGTCAACTAATTCTTATATTAAGAATCAGATGTAGTATTACATACTCACACATGCGGGAGACGTTTAAGCCAGCCTAATTACATGCAGAATTTTTTTTTTTTGGCTTGTCTCGAGCCACTATCACCTTCCAACATATTAAAATCTATCGTAACAAGTGCTAAATAAAAAGTAAATGGCTAAACGCAAAACGGAAATGAATATATTAAACCGCACTTTATTACATCCAAGCACCATAAAATATTAAATTACGCGCACACTAAATTAAGTTACTGCATATATATCATACATAATCATAATAATAAGTCAACAAGATCGGCTTGAAATTGTCCAATTTCCACTGTTCAAATCAAGCCGAGGCATGCAACAAGTGATGAGGATCAGCTTGCCTGTACGTCTGGATGACCTTGCCCCGTTCCCTTTTCATTCCCTTCTTGTTGCTTTCCTGCTCCATGGCTTAAGAGAGTGATGATATGGTCTACTTTGTTGGCCAGAGTTTGCTGAGGATCGCCATTGACGTCAAGCAGCATGGGCCTGCCACTACTTTTGGGAACATGCTTAAAGGTAGCCCGCAGAAGATCAAAGTAGAGAGGAAATTGAGCCAAAACAAAAAGGGTTACAGGGAGGCAGGTCACCACATATATTGGAAGAGCAAGATAACGAAGTGTATCCTTGAGCACGAAGAAGTGTCCAGCACAGAATGACACCAACATGAAAGCAATCGACACGAACAAAGAAGTCAAACCTACCAGTAACTTCCCGGGCAAGTCTTTTTCAAAGTCTCTCTCTTGAAATCGAGAAGTGAGTATAGATAGGAACATCACGAGGGCCGTGACGGAGCAGCCCAGGGCTACGAGTGATGAGATGGCGAACAGTTGGAATTGTGACTCACCTTCAAGTGTTGGTTGGCCTGTTTCTTGGACAACTCCGCCGGGCACAGTGGCGTTTGTGGTAAAGGCCACCGTGGCAACTAGTGCGGCCACTACCGAGCATGATTCTGAGGTTTTGTTCATCCACTTAGCGGCCCTTTTTTGGAGGTTCCTGTGAGTTTTGGTAAAGACAACGTCTGGGGTTTCGTTCTTCCTGTTGTATCGGCCAATGAAATCAGATGGAGTATTCTCCTTCACAAACTGCGTAAGCCATCATATTTACATCGTCGAATTAAGGTATTACATTATATATATATATATATATATATATATAAACACGCGCGCACGCACGAATTAGAAGTTATATACTCTCTCCTATTTATAACATAAGTAATTTTAACTAATTTACTGAAATAAAAATCAGTGTTAATTCATTAAATTCGCCTCAAATTAATTTTTTTCAAATTTACTCATATTAAATAAGGTTGCAAAATGAGGGAGAAAAATATAATGAGTTATATTTAAGTATTAATTATAAAGACAAAATAATACTTTCCGAGAAACTTATATTATGGACCAAATCATTCTAGCTTCTAGAAGCGACTTTTATTGTGGACTTTTTGCTCCAAATATAAAAGCTTTTCTAGAAAAAATTTTTGATGCAAAATATGGGGCAAGATAATTAATAATAATTTTTTATTTTAGCCATTTTCATGAGGGGAGGAAATTTTAAATGCAGGAGTGAGAACAACATTTTTCATTCGCATTCTTTAATATGAGCAAAATAGATAAGTTATATCAATTTAAAAACACATTTAATGTTGTCACTAATTAACTTTCTAAAGCTTAACCAATGTTGAGGGAGTCACTTGCTATTACCTTGTACCACTTTTGTTCCCATTGCATTTGAAGAGCATCGCCAGGAATGAGCCAATGCTCGTCGTCGCGAAGTGTGGCTGCCAAGTGCAATGCGCTGTTTCCATCCTTATCCACCTGATGGAATAGGCTCTCTCTGTATATATTCTTCTCCCGCAAGAACTGATACACTTTAGGTTGGCTGTGTTCTGCTGCCAGTAACACTATGTTCTTCTTATCTTCATTTAGATCGTAAATAGCTACCGGAAAGACCTCCACAATTTCCTCTATCATTTCCACCACACCATTCTTTGCTGCCACTAATATTGGAGTCTCTGCTGTAGTCCCTTTAGGACGTTGTTTATCTTCTGCACAATTTAAATGCTTGTCAAACACGTAATTACCAGTTACAACTTATAATCAAATGCTTCTTGTGACAATGTTACCTTTGTCGTTGGTGCTGCTAGGTTTGACTGCTGATGCGTCGGAGGGGGCATCCTGCTGTGGCGACGTCGTATTATTATAGCCTTCTCCCTTAGGGTCTCCCCCGTCAGCCTCGTACTCATGCTGGGAAGTGGAGTGAAGAAGTTGTTTCACTATCTGAACAGACCATTTATGGGTCTGCTTTTTCTCATATATCCTCTTCCATTCCTTAGATCCTGTGGAAAATCCAAAATATATAATAAGCATATCTGAATTAAAAGTGTCATGTGCCATCATATATGTTAGTATTAAATGGGTCAAACATAAATAAGCATATGTACCTTTCACAAAAATTGTCACAATCACCAGAAAAAAGAACTTGATCAGATCGCAACAAGTTTGGTAATTAGCGGGAAATAACGGATTTGTCTGACCTCCGTCTTCTCGTGGTCCTAATTAAGCAATGGTACGAGAGTTCTCAGTTGTACTCACATATGCAATTTTAATTAGTGCCAAAATTCAAAAGACCTCTCACCTCCCGCTCCTGGATCTTCCGCGTCTCTTTCAACAGGTTTACCAATATTGCTCAATACTGGAAATTTATGATGTTCTTGATTTTCTAACTTAAGCTTCTCAACATAAATACCTTCAAGACAAATTAAACCCCAATGAATTGACCAAATAGGCCTTTTTTCCTATGCGTGAAGAATAATATAACGACCATAATTAAATGCATACATACAGTGATAAATGATGGTTTCCATCCGTCCAAGGTGGCTTCCGCTTTTGAAAGCACACGGCTTTGATGCTAGCAAATGCAGAGGAGAGCACCCTTCCTCGTTCACCCAATTCGCAAGGTCTTCATACAGATGAATTATCTGAAATGCAAGATCTATATAGCATAGCATTAATTAAATAATGTTATAGTAGATCAGAATAAAGAATACAACAGAGAAGCTAGCTCGTGGAAGGAGTTGGGGGGGTTGGGGGGGGAGAATGAATGAATTTATACGTACCAAAGTAGTTACCATGGATTGCAGCGTGAAGGATAGTGTCACCGTTGTTCCTTCTACAGTTAGCATAGAAGGGCACAGTATTGATGTTAGCACGGAGGGGCGTAGTGGTGGGACCGTTTCGGATGTGATGAAGGCAAAGAAAAGCTTGTTTCCTGCCATGGAGAGCGGCCAAGAAGAGGGGCGTCTCGCCGTCAACGTTGCGATCATCCACTAAGGCAGGGTCCTCGCTAGCAATGATGTAACACATTCGGGAATTGCCCATGGAAGCCGCCAAATGCAAGGCAGTGTTGTTTCTATTATTAGGAGTTCGCAGAGCCTTTATAAGACCCTCTTTACGAGGTTGTTTCTGGGACATGACGTGAAGCATCTGCTTAACCACATCCTCCTTCCCATCAGAGACAGCAATGTGCAGAGCAGTGTGTCCAGAGCGAGTGATTCTGGCATTGTGAAGCCTCGCATCTTGCCTGTACATATCAATGACCTCGCCCCATCTCCCTTTCATGGCCCATGAGAATAGTGTCTTCTTGTTGCTCTCCTGCTCCATGGCTACTTTAGGTAGTTTGTATTGCGGGCTAGTTTCTATGCAGTGAGAGCTCGTTTAAATACCGATCTGCTTAGGAGATTTTGATGATATGATTTACTTTCTTGGCCAGAGTTTGCTGGGTTATCAAGTTATTCCCCAAACAAGAAAGAAGGCAAAAAGAATATTTTACGAGCCAAGAAAAAAAAAAGGAAAGAAACTATGTAACGTCACTATTTGTGCGGTGGAAATTAAATTCCCAGAAAAGAGAATAATGAAGAGTGTAATTCACAAAAAACTATTGGGACACGCATTGACATGTTGACGCTTTTTTTGTTTTAGGTGCTTCGCGGTGGGGCGCAAATCGTGAAAAACATGAGTGAGATAAAGAAGTGAAAGAGCGGGGCAAAATAAAAAGAAAGAAGGAAGGACATATGAGTATATAAAAGTATGGCAACGGGCACGTGGCACCTGGAAACTGAAGCGTTCTTTTTGATTTTGGAACATGACATTACTTCACCCTGCGTTTGTTACGAGAGGATGAGAGGGAAGAAAAATTTTTAATAAACTCAATTTAAAAAATTGGAGAAGTGGGATTAGAAAATTTTGATAAAGAAAAAAAAATGTAAGATAAAAGAGGAAATAAAATTAATTTAAAGTTTTTAACCCTACTTTTTTAGTTTTTCAAATCGAGTTTACTGAAATTTTTCTTTTCCCCCCTTTCCCTCCATTTCCCTCATACCAAGTAGACCCTTAATGTTAGTTACTATCCTCATTTTTTAAGATCTAGTTTGTATAAGAAAAACTATAAATTAGATTTTATATGAAGAATTAGAGATAATATTAAACTGTGGTTAATCACATCTTAATCTGGTTCAGGTTTAAACTCGTGATCTTTCCAAATCAGAGGAAAAGGCAACCCTTGCAAGCTTAGGCTTTGGCCCACTGTGACATGCAAAAAGCAAAAGTCTCGGTTATTAACAATCGTGTCCCACGGCTCTCCTCAACGCCATGCTATCCTCCAACTTGAACTTCAATTGTACCATTAACTTTTCCGCCTTTTTTAATGATCTAATCATAAATTAACTTGGCCTGCAAAGTAACTCTTACTCATTAAGTTGCCGGTCACCAACTCAACAGCATTTTCATTTGCATCTGGTCTTTAATAGAAAAACTATTTAATTAATTTGGGTAAATGAGTTTATAAACACATTGTAAAATCACTTGAATTGAAAATACTATATTAAGGTGTTAACGTTTGATATTTCAGAACCAAAAACTGTAGCACCCACGGGGTTTTCCTTTATATGCCCTATTTTAAAACATTTTAGTTAACTTTCATATGGTTATGATCTGCTTTTTGTCAGAAATGCAAAAATTTCTGTACCTTAGAAAATAGGACGTTTATAAACAGTACACTTCCAAAAAACTGTTGAACTTCTTTCTGGAGGCGGATGACAATCGATCTTAACGATAACATTTGCCCACCATATGTGTGCCCTAATTCAATGAGTGAATTTATACTTACCAAAGTAGTTACCATTAATTGCAGCGTGAAGGATGGTATCAGCATTGTTCCTTCTACAGTTAGCATAGAAGGGAGAAGTATGGCTTTTTTATCCAGACACGACAAACAGTAAAAGTATTTACTCAGATGCTATAAGATCAAAAATATTTACTCAGATACTACACTTGAAATCGTTCAGACAGTGAACGAGTTTAAATTTGTACAGAAGTTGTTCAAGCCAAAAACGACTTCAGTGGGACCCACATCTAAAATATGAAAGTTGTTCTTGGTCTGAATAACTTCAGTGGGACCCACATCACAAAATGGAAGTTGTTCTTGGTCTGAACAACTTCAGTGGGACCCACTATTTGTCTTACACTCCATGCGTTTTCAGCTTTCGTATTCTAACCTAAAAACAGGATCAACATATTGCAAATGGTTAATGCCTACTTGTGAGCAAGCTGCAACAGCATGCATACATGGAAACTTTTCTGCTTGAAATTCTCCACAATCACATTTTCTATCAATCAAGTTAACCTTGCAACAACGACGAAATTGATGAAGTTGAATATTGTATGGCTCCATAACCTCAAATGATGTTGATATTCTATCAAACTCTCGAATAACACATCCAGATGCACCTTGTGTTACTATGTCTAACTTCTTTATTAGTGTCTCAGAAAACACTTGACCAGCTGCAATTTGCGCATGAACTTGTTGGGCACGCTTTACAAAACCATGTATAGAGTTAACAACTATTTTGTAAAGCGTGCCCAACAAGTTCATGCGCAAATTGCAGCTGGTCAAGTGTTTTCTGAGACACTAACAAAGAAGTTAGACATAGTAACACAAGGTGCATCTGGATGTGTTATTCGAGAGTTTGATAGAATATCAACATCATTTGAGGTTATGGAGCCATACAATATTCAACTTCGTCAATTTCGTCGTTGTTGCAAGGTTAACTTGATTGATAGAAAATGTGATTGTGGAGAATTTCAAGCAGAAAAGTTTCCATGTATGCATGCTGTTACAGCTTGCTCACAAGTAGGCATTAACCATTTGCAATATGTTGATCCTGTTTTTAGGTTAGAATACGAAAGCTGAAAACGCATGGAATGTAAGACAAATAGTGGGTCCCACTGAAGTTGTTCAGACCAAGAACAACTTCCATTTTGTGATGTGGGTCCCACTGAAGTTGTTCAGACCAAGAACAACTTTCATATTTTGGATGTGGGTCCCACTGAAGTCGTTTTTTGCCTGAACAACTTCTGTACAAATTTAAACTCGTTCACTGTCTGAACGATTTCAAGTGTAGTATCTGAGTAAATATTTTTGATCTTATAGCATCTGAGTAAATACTTTTACTATTTGTCGTGTCTGGATAAAAAAGCCGGAGAAGTATTGATGTTAGGGTTTCGGATGAAATGAAGGCAAAGAAAAGCTTGTTTCCTGCCATAGCGAGCGGCCAAGAAGGGAGGCGTCTCGCTGTCAACGTTACGATCATCCACTAAGGTACGCTCCACGCTGGCAATGATGTGACATATCCTGGCATTGCCCATGACAGACGCTACATGCAAGGCAGTGCTGTTTCTCTTATTAGGAGTTCGCAGAGCCTTTATAAGTTCCCTTTCATGAGGTTGGTTCAGGGACATGGCGTGGCCCATCTTCCTGACCACGTGCTCCTTCCCATCAGCGACTGATATGTGCAAAGCAGTGTGTCCAGTCCAGAGCGAGTAATTCTAGCCTTGTGAAGCCCCGCATCTTGCATGTACATTTCAATGACCTTCTCCCATTTCCCTTTCATGGCACATGAGAATAGTTCCTTCTTGTTATGCTCCCTTGCTCCACGGCTTTACGTAGTTTGTATTGTGTGCTCATTTCTATTCAGTGATAGCTCAAGCGGATCAATAAATAAAGCAAAAGAATTAATAATATTTTACTAGTCAAAAATAGAAAAAGCAATGTTTACGTAACTATGCATGTTTTTACATATTTGTGGTGTGGAAATTCTGAAAAAGAGAACAATGAGGAGTGTCACTCACAAACGGCTCAACATCCCTCTTGTTTGGGGTGCTTAGTGGTAGGGAACAAGTGTGAAAAACAAGAGTGAGTAAAGAAGAAGAAAGAGGGTATATAGAAGAAGCGACAGGACACGTGGCACTTACCCTTAATCAAAATATCAACAATGATTTGGGTTTTAAAGAAATAAAGTAACTCTAGCTTGTTTTGCAGGTCATCTATCGACTCAACTGCATCCTTTGTATAAAAATTACAAACCTCAATTGCATCTTCATTTTTGCATTTGGATTTTAATACTAACTAATTTGAGAAGATTAAAAAATTATATATGTTAGTTAATTATAATGAATTTGGCCTGATCTTTTTTTAAAAAAATATTTCTACATAACATTAGAATTAGATTATATATAAGTTCTTAAGTTGGTTTAATTAATCTGTGAAAAACTAATAACTAAAAAAAAAAAAATAGATTAACGGGATTTTATATGTAGAACTAAAATTCACAGCTAGCTCCTGCATTTAAAAGTTAAATTTGTGAGTGACTTTATTTTAAGAGTTAAAACAAATTAGTTTTTCCAAATATTAAGGACGTTGTAAAATCATTTGAATTGAAGGACCACATTAGCCGGATGATAACGTTTTTGAGATCCAAAATAAAAAAGCTAACACCCCGGCCTCCGAATTTTCCGTTTTTATGCCTTACATTAGATTTCTTTAAAAAAGATTTTGAAAATTATTTTATTTTAGGTTCTATATTTATTAAAATAAAAAATATAATAATAAAATTAAATTCTTTGATTAAGTATTATAAAAAATGATCATTTCGAGCCAATAAATCCGTCGTTTTTCCTTTGACAACAGAATGAAATGATCATTATTCATTTCATATCAAAGATACGGTTCAGCTAGCCGATAACGATAATAATATAAGCAGTCCAAAAAATTTCATACATTACAGCAAATTATTTATTCCACTTATACTTTGTAAAAATGCCTTTTGTGCATCAGATTTTTTTTCTTTGAAAAGGTAAGATTTCATTCTATCCAAATGGCTTCATAATATATAGAATCAACCATAGAATCAATGTACAAACAGGCAGGCATAAGAGAAGACAGCAGCATAAAGAGAACTTAGTTTCAAACAAAAGCCTGGACATTCTTATGCTCAATTACTTGAAAAACACTGGCACGTAACATATCAAAATAAAATTAAAGCTTAGTCACAGGCAAGAGCAAATCTGAGGAGATGTACCGCAGCTTCATCATCAACAGTTGAGAATCCACCGCTGAGTCATATCAGTCTTCACAAAGCTAGCTGGAGACACCAAGTTAACTTAGAAACTCGGGTACCTCATGGCTTGTTTTTGGGATGCACAGTGGTAGCAGGCCATCTTTATTCCGTCCAATTGAAAGTGTTAAAATCATATGTAAGAAATCAGAATCACCATTGAAGTTTGCTCGTGGCCTTTTATTGAAGCCATCAATAAGAGTTGTTGACCATAAAGATAGGAGGTGATCTGGGCTTTCCAAATGAGATAGTTCTCCTGAGTAAGCTTGGTGGTAATTTAGTGAGGGAAGGTGGATGGAGTAGCAGCAGAGTGGGAGACATTGGACGATGACGGTGTGAAAGGTGGAGTGGTGGTGGTACATATTTGGTGGGTGAGCCAGACATATTGCCGAGCTACAAAAGTAGCCCTAGCTCTGATGCCATAATAGAAGGAAGATGAAAACAGAGCAACATGATAAGAGAGGCACAGAGCAACAGAATTCAAAATGTGTTGTATTTCCTCATATATCGTGTGTACAGTGGCTAGCTCAATACATAGAGAACATTATCCAATACAATTGAGATACGTGTAAAGTAAAACACAAAGGATTGAAGAGCATTTCTTTCTAGTTTGCATTATGGCTTTGTTCTGATGTTGGGCTTCAATACCTTTTAACTAGGTTGCGAAGCATGAGCAAAGGTAGCCCTTTAATAATCAAAGTAGAGCGGAAACTGCGCCAACACATAAAAGATGACAGAGATGCAAGTTGCGGCATATAAAGCAAACGCAGCATGGTGAAGTTGATGTTTGAGCACGAAGAAATGTCCAGCACAGAATGACACCATCATGGAAGCAATCGACATGAGCAGCAATGTTAAACCTAGGAGTAACTTCATGGGCAGGTCTTTATGAAAATCTTGCTCTTGAAATCGAGAAGTAAGTAATGATAGGAATGTCAACACAGCCATGACGGAGCAGCACAGGGCTATGAGTGATGAAGCGGCAAACACTTTGAACACTATCTCAGTTTCCAGAGTCGGATAGCCGGACTCTTGATCGACGCCAACGGGAACGGTGGTTGCCGTGGCGAAGGCCACTGTAGCAATTAGTGCTGCCACAACTGAGCAGGATTCTAAGGTTTTTCTTAACCACTCGCCACCGCTTTTGACGAGGCCTTTGTGAGTATCGGTGAAGATTTCTTTTACGGTTTTGTGGTTATTGTTGTATGGACATATAAAACCAGCTGGCATTGAATATTTGACAAACTGCATCTCCAACATTACAGGTAGCTCAGAATTAAGATATTCTAGCAAAATAATTATGTAAGCAGTTTATTAATTACCTCGTACCACTTGAGTTCCCACTGCATTTGAAGAGCTTCCCCAGTAATGAGCCAGGGCATGTAGTCACCAAGTGTGGCCACCAAGTGCAATGCAGTGTTTCCATCCTTATCCACCTGACGGAATAGGCTTTCTTTATAAACATTCTCCTTCAGCAAGAACTCATACACGTGAGGTTGCCTGTGTTCTGCTGCTAATAACACTATGTTCTTCTTATCTTCATTCACCTCGTGAATGTTAGCCACAATACTAAACTAGCCCAATAAGCCCAACAAAATAAACCAATAAACCAAAGCCCAATTCAATACTCAGTACAGTTAGCCCTATATTCTAGATCATTCCATTGTAGTACGTTTTCCTTTTCTGTCTCTCAGGCTGTTGCCTATATAAGAAATGATGAATTACTGTTCACAATTAAGCAATATAGAATACAATGTTATCCTTAATATCTGTCTCTTATGCCGTTCTACTCTGAAAGTGAATAGCACCTGGATTCAACTCCAAAATTTTCTCTATCATTTCCAGCACTCCATCCTTTGCAGCCATTAACAAAAGAGTCTCCTTTCTCCTCTTTTTAGGACGTCGCGCTGCACAGTTTAAATGTCAAGCACATCATACACACACACACAGACACACACACACGTATAATTGATCACATTTAATCTGCATCAAGCGCTTCTAGGTTAGTCATTGCGTACGTTCGTCGACGTCCCGGACGGATCTTTCTGGAAATTCCAATGACGTGGCAGGGGTCATATAAACTTCATTAGGGTTCTCCCCGTCATTCTTGTCGTCATACAAGGAAGCAAAATGAAGAAGACGTTCGAATACTTGAACACACCATGTATGGGTCTCCTTTTTTCGATATATCTTCTGCACATCAAATGCAAATACTGGGGAAATTCAAAATATATCAATTATAAGAGTCGTAAGCCACGCATCATATTTAATACGAAATGAATATATCAAGCATAATAAGCATATATACCTATCCCCAGAATTATCCAAAGCATTAGATAAATGCCCTTGATCAAAGAGCAACAGGTTTTGTAATTAGGTGGAAATAACGAATTTTCCTGAGCTCCATCCACTGTTGGTCCTAATTAAACAATTTCATAAGACTCTTCTTTACTCACATGAAATTTTAAATAGCCTCAAAATTCAAAAGATCTCTCACCTTCCGCTCCGGAATCTTCCTCATATAGCTCAGTGGAAACAGAAAAGGTAGCAACTTCAGTCGAAATTATATATGGCTACAAGCTCTTGGCTAGGCCATTGGACAAAAAATTAAGATCAGAATGTTTATTTATACTATCTCCGGTATTTAATATAAAATTCATTTATTTAATAGCTAAAATATACATTTGATCCTTTAACTTTATACAAGATTTCAATTTAGTTCTTTGACTTTAAAAAGCATACATCTGGTCCTTTAACTCTAAAATCATTAAGTTTCAATGATTGTTTTTTTTATAACAATTATAGATGTTTTGAAAATTAAACTTAACATATTAGCATTTGAGAATATTTTATCAACATTTAAGATCTTAATGTCATCATTTTTTAAAAAAATTTTAAGGTTAAAGAATTAAAAGTATACTTTTTAAAATTAAAGGACTAAATTGAAATCTTGTACAAAGTTAAAAGATCAAATGTATACTTTAACCTTTATTTAATTACAGCATATATTACATATTTTTTTTGAAATATTTTTGTATCAGAAAAATTAGTTTAAAAAAACGATAAATATAAATACTTTAAAATAATCTTTTAGTTTTTTTAATCTTCTTAGATTAGTTAACTGGATCTTATACATTGAGGATTTGAGGTAAGATAATAAGAATGCCTGCTTTTCTTATTAATTGGAAAACATCCCAAAATAATGTAATATCACAGTACGCACGCTATCAAAACAATCATGCATTCGCGGATGTACCATTTTGTTTCCATATACATGTCATTTGTATTGTGATAAAATTTCCTTATTTTTTTAATTGTATTCACTAAGGATAAAATTGAAAAAATACTATTAATTATTTTACAAATGACTTATATTTATAACTGAACTTTTTTCTAACTTACATATATGAACAGAGAAGTAACATTATCAAGTTATATATACTTATTCCCCGAACAGATTCCGCCAGATAAAAAAAAAATGCAAAGCAAAAGAATGTACTCCTCCGGTCCTAAATGTAAGACCCTTATACTAGTATGTATAAGGGTACTAGTATAAGGGTCTTACATTTAAGACCGGAGGAGTATTACATATAGAAGGGATCGCAAAGGATGAGTAGGAGAAGTAATGTTACGCTACTACGTAACCGCAAAACGAATTAGATATGCACGTTTTCTCAAGTTCGGCTCTAGTTATTCGGTTTATGAAGGTGGCGTTCAAAAGCCATTTTACATTAAAATCATCAATTTTATGTTCGGACCCTAAAATATTAAACTTAAATGGGCAGTCCAATAGGCCCACCCATAATGCAGGCTCTACAGACCACACCTCCCCCCCCCCACGAAGCCCAATAATTATCGAAGTTACGACATCCAAAACCCACCCATATTGATTTTTTTTTTTTTAACCTGGTGGCAAAAAACTAAATAATTTTTCCTTTTTCCCCAGTTAGTAAGTATATTTATATATTTTTAATTTTAAAAATATGAAAAATTAATTTAAAGTCCCAAGCAAGGAAGCTAAATAAATAGACTCAAAATGCACAAGTAACTCCCAAGTCCCAAGCCCTTTATATGTGAAATAAATAACATTTTCATACTCAATTACCACAATACCCTTGTTTCTATTTTTGGAAAAAAGTTGTGGTTAGTAAATTTTGGAATCGCTTGGTCTTGGTGGGAGTAAAATCCAATGCCACTTGATTTTCAGAACGATTAATAAACATCGGGGAACTCAAACACGCTGTTATAATAATGCAAAATATAAATTATCTTTAAAGTTCAAATTTCAAATTTAAAATTAAATATTTTTTAATCCTCATTTTCATGATCCAAAGGTAAAATATTTGATCATGTAGAAGCAGGCCACATATCATAGAGAATGTTTAAAAAAAAAAACACCGAGGGAAAGGCTTACATGGGTTGCTGAGCCCATTATTAGGCTGAGCCGAGCCTAAAAGTTCTCAAATTTTAAGACCCATCCTTTGAAATTGGATTGAAAGGAGTAGCCAACGGGCCTAAACCAGTTATGCCACTTCACGCCGATACCGAAAAGCCTAATAAAAGTGTAACAAAAAACGAAGGCCTAGGAGTTGCGGCGTCAAAAAGCTTTACCACTAAGTTGTTTCTGTTATAAATAAAGAAGAAATTTAGAGAAGAATCATACAGAGAAAGAGAGGATCAACAAGAGAGAGTATTTCTCATTCAAGTGTGCTCAATACATTATACATGCCCTCTATTTATAGGCACAGCTTTACACCTTTGATAGAATCTACAGATTACATAATAATATGAGATAATTGTAGGATATAGAGATAATGGGAGATATTAGAGATTATAGGAGATATAGGAGATAATAAGAGATATATGGACATCCACAAAGATATTATTATATTCATAACACTCCTTCTTGGATGTCCAATATATATGAATGTGCCTCGTTAAAAAACTTCAACTAAGAAAAACCTTGTGGGACAAAAACCTAACGAAAGAAAAATAGTACATCATTCATTGATACCTATACAATGCTGCCTCATTAAAAACCTTGCTCGGAAAACCCAATGGGACAAAACCATAGACAAGGAAAAAAGAGCACAGCGTGTATCGACTCCCCCTTTTGGCAACATCAGTTGACATCTTCGAGCCTGCAAAGTCTAATATAATAAACAAGCCTTCCAAATATTATAGTGAGATAAAAACATCAAATATGAATTTCATAATCTTATGAAAATCATAAGACGAATAGTCCTTTTATGGTTTACCCACATGTGGATCATACTATGATCTCTTGACATGAGGATCAAACAAGAATACTTTATCTATATAGCCATTAAGATTAGTCTTGGGTACTTTCAAATCAAATATTACCTCCACGGTATCTTTAAAGTAACAAAGAATATTTTTAACTTCATTCCAACATTTTCATGTTGAAAAAGAATTATATCATGCGAATCAGCAAATGATAGCTCAGATTCTGTATAGCTAGATAGATATATAAATGCTTCAATGACACTAAGATATGGTACTTCTAGACCAAGTGTTTATTCATTACCTTCTGGAGGTTTAAATCGATTTTTAGTCCATATCTAAAGATCTTGCAACTACCAAAACATATAATGGATGTTACTGATCCACATAATAGATGTGACTTATCCATATGTATTCTTCTGAAAGCTTTCATTTCAAACTTTTTTTTTTAAGTAATTCGTAGCTTTTGAAAACTCATCAGGAGTTTTGATGCTATCATCATAAATAGTACTGATAACAAACTCATTTTGAATCTTTTCACAAATGGACAAGTTGGAATATGTTCACATCATTTCTTCAATTGATATTAACCATATATGGCTCGTATAGAGACTTAATTGAATAATGTTCTTGAGAACATAATTGTATACTTCTAGAAACTTAAATCTTTCAAGGATTTTCATACATTATGATCCAGATCTGTTCATGTATTGGATCGTTTGAATTTATACAAGGATTTGAATCCTTTTGGGATTTACATATAATTTCACTATAAAGTGAGTCATACATTATAGTTATATATTTCTAAGACACACATGAAAAAATTTCATTTATTACCAGACTGCTAGATTGATAAGGCATGTAATTTAATCCACCACAAGACTTTATTTCTCTTTATATTGTACAAATGCCTATTTACATAATACTAGCATTACACTTCAAGTGCATAGGCCATGGATACACAAATCCTTGCTACATTGCGTCTTTTCTTTTCTATTGGCCAACCATTTTTCTATATGTATCTCATGATAGATTTATATATAAGATCCTCATTTGATCAGATGATATCATCAATAAAATTATTGTCGACAATTTTATTCCTTTATCGGTCTCTTTTTCTTTTATGACATAAAATATCGAGATCTCTTTATTGCTTTCAGACACTTAAACCTTTTCAAGAGTCAAACAGTTGTGTCTTAATCTCTTTTGCAATTCATGCCTCTTTAGTATGATCATCATGATCATTTGCCCCTTTTTCTTTTCTTCCGATCATACTCTCATGCTTTTAGTATGTCTTAAAAATAGGAGCACTTTTAGCTAGAATATAAGAATTAAGAATTCTCATTTGGGTCAGTAATTGCATCTGGCAGATATTAGTAATGTTTTACGAATGCAATACTTTATGAACTTCTAGTTCATACTACTATATTTGAGGATCTACATTTGATAGTGAAAATGCATTCTATGTGTTTTCTTTTCCAACTATACATTTTCTCCCCCTCATATTGGGAACATGTAATGTAAGTCTCCCAAATCCATAAATCTCCTTTAGAAACATTATTTTGTTTCATTTAGAGACAAACAAGAATAAGGAGATTCTTATCTAACAATGATCCCAACTTATTTTTAATATCCATCTATGTGCATTATTGCTGTGGAATAATAGATCTTGCACATTCTAAGATAAAAAAAATGTCTGGCTCCTTACTAAAAGCCAATTATAATGGGAGAATTCACAATACATTATTGGCTTGATGCATTTATGTACAAAAATATATAAAATCAATCATCCCAACACTCAAATGGGAATTATGTTCTCATAAACTTTGATCTAGCTACTTATGGAGGCTTTTACTAAGCATATAATTATCAGCAACGTGAGGACTAATCACTAGCAATCTCAACGAGAATCATATTGATTTCATAATCAATTAAGAACTTATGTACTCAATGTAATTATCTAAACATATTTGCAAACTTCAGGTTGCAAGTTGATCATAAACACCTGTGACCATTTTATAGATGCATCTTTCACTTATAGAGTATTACTTTGGTCCACATGGTGTCTAAATGAGCCCATATATATAAAGTTGATACATTATAAATTTGCACGGATCCGATTTTGAGCATAGTTAGTGATGTTCTCTTATTTAGTTCTTTTGAGAACAAACAACACATAAAAATTCTTGAATCATATATCATTTTTAAAGAATCTTCTGGTTCTTTAATAAATGACAATGCACATTTTTCATGATATTTTGTATCATTATGATCCGGGATGATATGACCGGTCATGTCAAAGTATAAATGCATAAACTTATGGTTTATTGTAAAATTATTCTCAATTATTAGTAAACTTCCTGTTACCATGTCATACTATTCATTTTTCACCTTAATATTTCATAAGAAATATGCTATCAATTATGGATTTTATCTTCAGGATAATAAATCATGATATAGCTCTTCTAGAGTGTTATTTTTTATTTTTTACCCAATGGTAAAAACTTGTGCACTTATAGAAGGTTGAGCGCTATTGACTCTTCTGGAGCCTTTTTCAAAAGGAATATAAGATATAAGGAATGACATTAATATTAATAATAACAAATTTCATCCAACATAATTCACACTTGTATTTCAACAATCTCCCCCTCAAGTGTAAGTCATATAAATATATTTTTCTTATTTCTATATTTCAAATAGAGTGAATAGCATATAGTAAGCTAATAACATATCTTTAATTTAGAAATCCAAATGCTTCCTGATTCAGATATAATAATGAATTTCAATCTAATTGTGCTATCACCTTAAGACCCTTTGATAAACAAATATTCTAATATATATATAGTTGTTCAGGAACTAACATATATTGTTTTTTCACTATATGATATACTTTACTTCTTGTTATGCTTTTTCAAAGTATGAAGTATATATATATTTTTCAAAACATAAAATTTTCTAGATATTTCGTTATTCAAAAACTTCACTTCGTTGTATATATTATGTAATGCTTCAAAACTTATTCATAAATTTATAAATCTAACAAAAATTTGAAAAGATTTACAAGGATTAAAATCAAACTATATAGTTATGAAGATTTAAATCATAAGCCTTCAGGGCTATTTATAAGTCTTTAGTCTTCAAGACTCTATATAGTAAATATATATATTAAAAATCATTTGTGTCCCTTAATATTTGAACCATAAGCCTTCAGGGCTTTAAAAACATTATAAGTTATTATTTTCATGTCATTCAATAACATGAGTGTAATGGCTGCTGGCCATTTAGTAATAAGAAATTATAATATTAATAAATATCAAATTGAATGTCAAGAATATATGAGAATAAGATAAGAATAAAACTTAAATTTTAAATTAATTAAATGTAACATGAAATAAAGAGAAAAGGTAAACTCTTTTACCAACACATCCTTCACTATATAGTCATTAGTTTTCTGGGCTATATTATTTATAATTTTAATTGTCATAATTTTTCTTTTATAAACAAATCATATAATGATCCTTCTCATAATCAAAACTGTATGGTTTCAGGCCATTTAATAAAGAAAATAAAGATACATGGCATCTAGCTATTTAATTTCAAAATAAATAAAAAATTAAAGATATATGGTTTCTGATCATAAGATAAAAATTGGATGTTATATGGCTTCTAGCTAATTAATAAAATAACAAAAAAAATTAAATATTTATGACTTTTGGCCATAAGATAGAACATCAAAGTTATATGGATGCAAGCCATTTAAGAAGATATAGAAAAATTATATATATATATGGCTTCTGGCCATAAAATAGGAAATTCAACACGATATATATAAATAAAGATAAATTAAATATATATGTGGCTTCTGGCCATAAAATGGAAAGTACAAATTATATGGCTTCTAGCCTTTTAATGAGATAAAAAAAAATTCAAATATATATGGCTTTTGACTATAAGATAGAAAATCAAAGTTATATGGCAACTAGCCATTTAATAAGATAAAATATATATATATATATGACTTCTGGTCAAAAAATAGAAAATTCAAATTATATGGCTTCTAGCGATTTAATAAGATAACAATAATCAAATATATATGGCTTCTAGCCATAAGATGACAAATTTATATCTAAATACTTCTAGTTATTTAATAAGATAAAATATCAAATATATATGACTTCAAGCCATTTTTAAAAAAATAGAGAATTAGCCCCATATATATGGCTTCTAGCCATAAGATAAAAAATCAAAGTTGTATAGCTTCTGGCTATAATATAGAAAATCAAAATCATATGGCTTTTAGCCATTTAAATTGAAAAGAATGGAAAATCAGAGTTATATGGCTTCTGGCCATTTAATTACAATGAGATGAAAACGTAGAATTATATGGCTTCTGGCCATTTAACTTTAGGTGGTAACTCTTTAAGGATACTACTAGTATCTATTGGAACTTCGGGTTCCATCAAAATAGTGACGTCAAGTCAATAAGAAATAGATGGGGGGGAAAAAAATCTTCTCATCATAATTAGTTCAGAACAATGGAACCCGATGTTTAAAACAATGGTAGATAAAACAATGGTAGATAATCATTTTAATTACATATAATGGCTTAGATTATCCTAGATAAATTGAATAGGAATACGGATACTCTGAAACGCCATATATATGATGCTCAAGATATTTTTATTTGAACAGAGCAAAGGATACTCTCGAAAAATAATAAAGATGATGCTCTAAAATTATACTGGGGTAGAAAGGTATATCATACGCACCTTGGTTAGAGCTTCGTGATAACGTGTTATAAATAAAGAAGAAATTTAGAGAAGAATCATACAGAGGAAGAGAGGATCAACAAGAGAGAGTATTTCTCATTTCATTCAAGTGTGCTCAATACATTATACATGCCCTCTATTTATAGGCACATCTTTACACCTTTCATTGAATCTACAGATTACATAATAATATGAGATAATTGTAGGATATAGAGATAATGGGAGATATTAGAGATTATAGGAGATATAGGAGATAATAAGAGATATATGGACATCCACAAAGATATTATTATATTCATAACAGTTTCCTATTTTGCTGGCAAAAAATGCATGCTATTTTCCTGTTTTCCCCAATTGATAAATGTTTTTTTTATATATTTTAATTAAAAGGTAGGACAAATTAATTTAAAGTCTCAAGGAAGGAATCTAAATAATGAATGGCATGTACATAGGTGGTGTAGGATTCGAACGTAAACGTACATACCAACTGTGCCCGCTTTTTTTTCAGCCCACAAACGCTCCACAATGTTTTGAAGTGGGCAAAACAATGAGGACGGATATCACTGTAATCGGGTTCTCTTACAAGATAATGTTCTGCCTTAAGCTTCTCAACAGGTAAACCTTCAGGACAAATCAAATGCCGATGAATCAATCAAACCAAGCATGAAGAATACACACACACACACACACACACGACACAAATTAAATGCTTCTCCCATCCAGTGATAAATCATGGCTTCCATCCTTCCAAGGCGGCTGCCGCTTCTAAAAGCAGAAGGCTTTGACGCTACAAAATGCAGAGGAGACAACCCCTCCTCGTTCACACAATACGCAAGGTCTTTGTACAAATTAAGTATCTGAAAGGCGAGATCTACATATATATATATAGAGCATATATAGCAATGATTAAATAATGTTATATGTATAAATATATAGTTGATTAGAATAAACAATATAATTGATATGAGAATGAATGAATGAATTCGTTCATGCGTACCAAAGTGGTCACCATTGATTGCGCAGTGAAGGATAGTGTCTCCATTGTTCCTTCTACAGTTAACATAGTAGGGATTAGCGGCAGGAGGGTTTCGGATGTAATGAAGTGAAAGAAAAGCTTGTTTCCTGCCATGGAGGGCGGCCAAGAAGAGAGGCGTCTCGCCGTCAGCGTTACGATCATCCACTAAGGTAGGCTCCACCCAAGCAATGATGCGACACATTCTGGCATTGCCCATGACAGCTGCTACATGCAAAGCAGTGATTTTTCTATTATGAGGAGTTCGCAGGGCCTTTATAAGCTCCCCTTCATTAGGTTGTGTCAGGGACATGGCGTCGACCATCTGCTTCACCACGTGCTACTTCCCATCAGCGACTGCTGTGTGCAACGCAGTGTCTCCAGAGGGAGTATCTTTGGCCGTGTGAAGCACCGCATCTTGCATGTACATTTCAATGACCTTGTCCCAGTTCCCTCTCATGGCACACGAGAATAGTTCCTTCTCGTTATCGCTGTCCTGCCCCATGGCTCCTTTAGGTCGTTTGTATTGTGTGCTAGTTTCTATTCAGCGATAGCTTGTTTATATTCTGATATGCTTAGGAGATTTTGATGATATATGTACTTTCTTGGCCAGAGTTTGCTGGGTTATCAAGTTATTCCTCAAACAAGCAAAAAAACAAATAAAGCAAAAGAATTATTATTTTACAAGCCGAAAATAGAAAAGACAATGTTACGTAACTATGCATGTTTTTATATATTTGTGGTGTGGAAATTCTGAAAAACAGAACAATGAGGAGTGTGATTCACAAACGGATCAACATCCCTCTTGTTTTAGGTGCGTAGGGGTAGGGAACAAGTGTGAAAAACAAGAGTGAGTAAAGAAGAAGAAAGAGGGTATATAGAAACAGCGACAGGACACGTGGCACTTGGAAACCGAAGCCCACCTCCATTTTAATTACACAGTACGTAGTTACTGTGTAACTGCTGTTAGTCAGAAACTCGTAATCTTTCCTAAAGAGAAAGCTAAAGGAATTGAATATTGCAGCCAAAGATAAATTAATTAGTCAGAAACTCGTACTACCCGAACTTTAACTAATTTAAAAATATTAAAAAAATAAATTAAATTAGTTATTTATAATAAATATGTGTTATCTTTCCTAAAATATCCTTATTAATCTAGTGTATTGGTTAGAACTATTATTACTAGAAGAACTACCTTAAGAAAAAATATATAAATATGAGAGACAAAATAGATTGGAGTCTTATATTTAAAACAGAAACAAAAGTTAAATGAGGTTTTATATTAAGGATCGGAAATAGTACAGATAGTACTACAAAATTAAGAATATTTGACGATTATTTTAGTTCATATTTGACGGTTTAGAACCGTCAAATAAGAAGGCGTCAAATATTCTCAAAACAAATATTTGACTGTTATGAACTGTCAAATATTCTTATGAATATTTGACGGTTCTTTGTTAACAACTGTCAAATATTCTTCGAATATTTGACTGTTTTTTTTATTAACAACTGTCAAATAATGTGACCTTATTTGACAATTCCTTGCTAACAACTGTCAAATAAGATCACCTTATTTGACCCTTATTTGACAGTTCCTCGTTAACAACTATCAAATATTTCACCTTATATAATTATTTTTAATTATTTATTTCTTTTCATTTTTTTACTATTAATATTTATTATGATGTACAATATAATCATTTAATAATCACAAGAGAATAATATTAAATAAACAAATATATTTATAGAATTTAAAATCTAATACATTAGATGCAAACATCATAAAATTTGAAAATAATCAATCACTGAGCACTCCCTATACAAAAGAACATTCTCTTATAAATCTTTTGAATTCTAAAATTCTATCAATAAAAAATTCCTAAAAATTGGTTCTTGATCAAACACCATAGTACAAACTCTACTCTTTGCTTATGCACCCATAGCTGCAATATTCAATATAAAAGCAGTGAATGTGATGCCCAAAGAAATCTAACTTCTGTTGCCTCAAGCTGCTTGAAAAAGGTAAATTGGATGTATGAGAAAAGTATAATACTTGAAAAATAAGTTCTGTTGTACTAGATTTAAATTGGTCTTTTTTTAAACTATGCAAAACTCTTAATATTTGTCCAAATCTCTTACAATAAAAAAAGGATACAACCTAGAAAAAAAAAGATGAAGAGAGCCAAGAAGAAAAATTTAATGAATGACTAAAAAAATGCAACCTAAATTACATTTCCAATTAATTCAATTCCTGACAATTTAGGTTTCTTGGTTAAGGTAAACATCCTTTCTACATTGCCATCATCTCCAATAAATGAGAGACGAAGATAGCAGTATAAGACTCAAGTCCCCCTGTAAGCAGTTCAAGAAAGAACAATACCATATTAATGAACTTGACAGTAGTATGGTATAAGACTCAAGTTCCCCCGATAAATTCACATTGAATATAGCCTCTGATGTAAACTAGTAAAACTGCAATAAACATTAGCAAAACAGAATTTTCCGCCGTCAAGTTATTCAAGTGCAAAATATGGTCCAAAACATGAAAAAAAATATTTCTAGCCAAAGTTATGATCATGGATAAGTTTGGTTGGGAAGATATACTTCAATACAAGGTGTTTACAGAGAAAGAAGTTAAGAATGAAGCGGCACTATGTGCGACAGGGCTCCTGAAGTGTTTTCCCCCCTCATCAATGCAAGAGATTTGCATGATATGAATATCAAATTTGGGTTGAAAGACATGAAAGAAGCTTGTCAAAAGTTAAGAGAAGATTATCAAACACTTTGTTTGTCAACATTCAGCAAAGCAAGAAGGTTACATGCTCCGTTTGGATAGCCTATAAAGCAACTTTAATAAAAGGCAAAAATCTAAACAGGAACCACATTAATTGTTCAATAGGTTGAAAGAAAATATCTTCAAGAGAGAGAACTCTAGTACCAATAATAAATCTAATATCAAGGACATCAATAATAATAAAATTTCATATAGAAGAAGGAAACACGCCATAGGCTTCCTTAGCATAAGTTAGATTTGCGAGCATCATCTAAGAAAACTTTTACATAGAAAGAGTTCACTATTGCTCTTCTTCGTCAATCAATTATTTGCCATTTATTTCCACTTTATGCCCTTTTTTCCAATATTCTTCACCTCTGCTAAATCACTACAAAGTGAAGATTTTGATAAGGAAAATTATTGTTTTGTAATGGGACTTCCTATGTGTGCTTATTTTCCAATTTACATGCCAAAAAGATAGAAGGAAACCAAAATCATTCCAAATCTTCAGAAAGTAAACCTGTAACTAAATTCTGTTAAAACTAAATATGAAAACGAACTATTTTAGTAAGAAATGCTAGCATCTATATAACTACCCCTCGATCACTAGCCAGAAGACATATATCTATCTATATATCATATTTTTCTTGAAAAGAAAGGACAATTGAATCCAAACTCAAGCAAATCAAACAAAGGACATCAACACTAAGCTCGAATGCCTATAACAAAAGAACGCTACTAAGAAACAACCGACAGTCAATAAAAAGCTCACAGACAGCAAAACTATGAAGAATCGAGGCAGAATTATCATGTATTATTGGGAAATACAAAGTAACAAAAACAAGAAGCCGAAAAGCACAGATAATTGAAGCAGAGATAGCAATGATGAAGAACAAAGAGCAGCAGCAAGTAGTTGAGGACCGAAATCTAGCATTCTGGGTGAAAATTTTTGAGAAAAATGCAGAAAAGTGAAAAGGAGAGACATCGAGGAGCGAGAATAAGAAGTAGTCAAGTCTTCAGGCCGTCATGCTCATCATACGAGGGACACATTAGTCCTGGTAACCTATATCGGTGATTTAACGCGATAAAAATCTGTTCATTAGATCTGGGGTACCGCAACACAAGACGGAGAGAGTAAGAAACCAAGCGAGTAGCAGAAGAAACGTTATGTGACCTAGCACAAAACTTTCCTTTCTCAAATTCTTTGAAAAACATAATATATGAGCACGATCAACCAATCCCCTGTATAATCCATAGCGATAGCAACGGCCAACGCAGGTTCGATTTCGACCTCTTAAAGGAAGGGATGAAAAGAAGGATAAGGACGAGAGAGGGCTTTAGCATCAGTACTGGGATTGAGGGTGAGGAGTTTGATTTTGGCTTCTCTCCTCCATGAAGCGGTGTTAGACTCTTGAAGGAAATGGGAAGGGAAGATGGATGAGAGGGCGAAGCAGAGAGCTTCAGCGTGAGAAGAAGGGTGAGAACAAGCTTTAATGAGGGTGACCTAAAATCTCAACGAGTAAATTTGACGGTTATTTAATTTAACCGTCAAATAAATATTTTAAATTTAATAAACTTGAAGGTTTTAAAAAGAATCGTCAAATATTTGATGAATACTTTACCATTCTTTTTAGAACCGTCAAGTATTTTCAAAGAAAAATTCACGGTTCCTTTTAAAACGGTCAATTTTAGTTATGGTGAATTCCGCCTCACTTTATTTAACAGTTTTTATTATAACCGTCAAGTATATAGGGTCAAGTATTTATAATTATGTAGTAGTAAGAGTATCCAAATATTTAACACACACTAGAGTAGTAAATAGCAATGGACTTGGGTCTTGTATATGTATTATCATGGCCATCTTTGTGATGATCAACACACCAGACTCGCCAAACAAAACCGGATAACGTCCTGTAGACCTTCGAACGAAGATCCCTTTAGGTAGCCTCTTGCCCTTAATCAAAATATCAACAATAATTTGGTTTGTAAAGAATTAAAGTAACTCTAGCTCATTTTGCAGGTCATCTATCGACTCAACTGCATCCTTTGTCTAAAAATTACAAAACTCAATTGCATCTTCATTTTTGCATTTGGATTTCAATACCGACTTATTTGAGAAGATTAAAAAAATTATATACGTTAGTTAATTATAATGAATTTGGCCTGATCTTTTCTTTAAATATTTCTACATAACATTAGAATTAGATTATATATAAGTTAGTTTAATTAATCTGTGAAAAACTAATAACGATAAGAAAAAAATAGATTAATGGGGTTTTATATTTAAAACTAAAATTCCCAACTTGCTCATGCATTTAAAAGTTAAATTTGTGAGTGACTTTATTTTAAGAGTTAAAAAAAAAAGAGTTTTTCCGAATATTAAACACGTTGTAAAATCATTTGAATTGAAGTACCACATTAGCTAGATAATAACGTTCTTGAGATCCAAATAAAAAAGCTAACATCCCGGCCCCCGAATTTTCCGTTTTTATGCCTTACATTAGATTTATTTAAAAAAGATTTTGAATAACCAGAGAGAGAAGATCATCCAAAATCATCCACACCCCTCCCATAACCAATTTTGCCCTTATCTTATTGCCTCGTAATATTGGCGTTTTCCATCTCCTCCTCTGGCTGCACATACATATGTGATTTGGGCTTCCTCTTTGGGTCATTTTCTGAACCCACTTCTTTTGGAATCATGACACCATCCTTTCACATTATTCCATGTTCTTTCTTCATGAGCTCCCTCACCGCCTCGTCTAGTTTTTCTCTCGTAAGACTCTCCAAGTCACTTAATACCTTTCTTGCACGAGTCCAGCCGAACAAGTAACATGGACAGTAGTGGGAGAAGAGGATAAGTGAATAATTTTTATCTACAATTTATGAAGACTTCTCCTATAAGTACTAACCTGTCTGCATTGACAAACAAGATTTTTTTTATATTCATTCTATAAATTCTAATAATGTTTTTTTATAAATATAATATTATTCTATAAGTGATAATATTCTATAATTAATAAATTATTATAATAATTGTATCAATCTACTGGTTTAATGGAAAAGAACAAAGGTAATATCAGTTAAAAATAACCATAAATAAGAAGAGTATAGAGATAAATTGCTTCTGATTTTATTGCTGTAATACAATTGCAATATTCAGCTTAGTTACACTGATATTGACTGACGCAACGACAAATAAAAAAATCAACCAATAATAAATATTTATTTCAGATATTTTCTGCTACCCTTGATCGGCTAGATTATTAGGGTTGTTCTCGCTGGGTTATTGAAGTTATCTCTGTTATGCTGAATCAGATTCTGGATCATATCATATCTTCCAACAAATACAACCTGAATAAACGAAACATAAAATTATGTTGTCTTCACCAGAACACATACACAAAAGCTCGTGAAAAACGCTGTTGAGCGGCTGAATAAAACCTCAGAATCATGCTCAGCGAAAGGTGGTGGCCGCACTAAATATTACCGTGGTCTTTATACCGCAGAAGTGCCCGGCGGAGTTAAACAAGACACCGGCCACCTGACACTCAAATATGAGCCACCATTCCAACTGTACTGTTCGCCATCTCATTACTCATTACGGCCATGTTTATGTTCCTCTCTATAATGACTTCGATGGTGATCGATCCTGATATCTTTGGTCTGATTTGATTAGTTCAGATTCAATACTTGCGTTTATCCGCCTGTGTACGTTTATTGACTTGGTAGCATTATGTTACATACATAGCAATTTGTGTGCACGTGCGCGAGAAATTTAAGCAACGCTTAATTACATGCAGATTTTTTTTTTTTTTGGTTGCCTCGAGCCACTATTACCTTCAAACATATTAAAATCTACCGTAACAAGTGCTAAATAAAAAGTAAATGGCTAAACGCAAAAGCGAAATGAATATATATTAAACCACACTTTATTACATCCAAGCACCATAAAATATTAAATTACTTGCACACGAAGTTAAGTTACTACATATATATCATATATAATAGTAAGTCAACAAGATCGGCTTGAGAGTGTCCAGTTTCCACTGTTCAAATCAAGTGGAGGCATGTAACAAGTGATGAGGGTCAGCTTGCCGGTACATTTTGATGACCTTGCCCCATTCCTTTTTCATTCCCTTCTTGTTGCTTTCCTGCTCCATGGCTTAAGAGATTGATGATACGATCTACTTTGTTGGCCAGAGTTTGCTGAGGATCGCCATTGACGTCAAGCAGCATGGGCCTGCCACTACTTTTGGGAACATGCTTAAAGGTTGCCGATAAAAGGTCAATGTACAGTGGAAATTGTGCCAAAACAAAAAGCGTTACAGGGAGGCAGGTCACCCCATATAATGGAAGAGCAAGATAATGAAGTGTATCCTTGAGCACGAAGAAATGTCCAGCACAAAATGAAACCAACATAGAAGCAATCGACACGAACAAGGAAGTCAAACCTATCAGTAACTTCGTGGGCAAGACTTTGTCAAAGTCTTGCTCTTGAAATCGAGAAGTGAGTATAGATAGGAACATCACCAGGGCCGTGACAGAGGAGCCCAGGGCTATGAGTGATGAGATGGCGAACAGTTGGAATTGTGACTCGCCTTCAAGTGTTGGGTGGCCTGTTTCTTGAACGACTCCGCCGGGCACGGTGGCCGCGGTGGCAAAGGCGACCGTGGCAACTAGTGCTGCCACCAGCGAGCATGATTCTGAGGTTTTGTTGAGCCAGTCGGCGGCCCTTTTTTCGAGGTCCCTGTGAGTTTTGGCGAAGATAACATCTGGGGTTTCATTCTTCCTGTTGTATCGGCCAATGAAATCACATGGCGTTGTCTCTTTCACGAACTGCGCATCAGCCATTACATTTACATCATCAGAATTAAGGTATTACATTATACTCCTCCGGTCCTTATTATAAGACCCAATTTGACTTTTTATTTGGTCCTAATTATAAGACCCAATCCATTTTTTCTCTTATATTTATACATTTTTTTCCCAAAATAATCCTTCTAATAATGATAGTTTTAGCCAATATACTTAATTAGCAAGGATATTTTAGGAATAACAACACTTATTTATTATAAATAACCAACTTAACTTACTTCCTTAATCTCCTCAAATAAGTCAATTGGGTCTTATAATTAGGACCGGAGGAGTATATAAATATATATATAAACACCCACGCACGGACGAATTAGAAGCTATATACTTAATCTTATTCATAATGTAAGTCATTCTAACTAATTTATTAGAATAAAAAATAATGTTAATTCATTAAATTCGCCTCAAATTGAAATTTTTTTCAGATTTTACTCGTAAATGAAAGAGAAAAATAAAGGAGTTACTATTGAAGTATTAATTACAAAGACAAAATTGATAAATATATAGGTATTAATTACTCTCAAAATGACTTATATTATGGACCATATCATTCTTCTAGAAACGACCTATATTGTAGACTTTTTTTAATCTAAAATATATAAAAAATTTCTAAAAAAATTTTGATCCAAAATATAAGATTGACAGGATGATTAATGATAGTTTTTCATTTTTACCCATTTTTATGAGGCGAGAGACTTTTAAATGCAGGAGAGAGAATAAAATATTTCAGTCATATTCTTTAATATGAGTAAAATAGTAAATTTATATCAATTTAAAACACATTTAATGACGTCACTAATTAACATATCTAAAGCTTAACCAATGTTGAGGGAGTTAATTGTTATTACGTACCCTGTACCACTTGCGTTCCCATTGCATTTGAAGAGCCTCCCCAGGAATGAGCCAATGCTCGTCGTCACCAAGTGTGGCTGCCAAGTGCAGTGCGCTGTTTCCATCCTTATCCACCTGATGAAACAGGCTGTCTTTGTAAATATCCTTCTCCAGCAAGAACTCAAACACTTTAGGTTGGCTGTGTTCTGCTGCCAGTAACACTATGTTCTTCTTATCTTCATTTTGGTCGTATATAGCAACCGGAAAGAACTCCACTATTTCCTCTATCATTTCCACCACACCAGTCTTTGCTGCCGCTAATATGGGAGTCTCTGCTGTAGTCCTTTTAGGACTTTGTTTATCTTCTGCACGCATGTCAAACACATAATTATCAATTACAACTTATAATCAAATGCTTCTTGTGACAACACGTATTACCTTTGTCGTTGGTGCTGCTAGGTTTGACTTCTGATGGGTCGGAGGTGGCATCCTGTCGAGAAGTCGTATTATAGCCTTCTTGAGGTTTTCCCCCATCATCCTCGTACTCATGCAAGGAAGTGGAGTGAAGAAGTTGTTTCACTATCTGAACAGACCATGTATGGGTCCGCTTTTTCTCATATATCTTCCTCCATTCCTCAGATCCTGAGGAAAATCCAAAATATATAATAAGCATATCTAGTATTAGATGGGTCAAACATATATAAGCATATATACCTTTCCCGAACATTGTCACAATCACCAGATAAAAGAACTTGATCAAATCGCAACAAGCTTGGTAATTAGCAGGAAATAACGGATTTGCCCGACCTCCGTCTTCTCGTGATCCTAATTAAGCAATGGTATGAGAGTTTTCAGTAGTTCTCACATTCGCAATTTTAATTAGTACCAAAATTCAAAAGACCTCTCACCTCCCTCTCCTGGATCTTCCGCGTCTCTTTCAAAAGGTTTAGAAATATTGCCCGCTACTGGAAACAGAAAACACAGCAATTTTAAGTCGAAATTATATATACCGACAAATTCTTAGGTAGGGCATCGAGGGAGAAATTTATATAGATGGTGTAAGATTCGAATGTAAGCGCACGTACCAACTTTGACCGCTGTTTTTATTAGACTGTAGGCTTCCCACAGGATATTGTAGTTGTCAGGACAATCATGACAATCACTGTCCTCGGCTGCACCGGGGCATTTATGATGTTCTTGATTTTCTAACTTAAGCTTCTCAATATAAATACCTTCAAGACAAATCAAACGCCAATGAATCAGTCAAATGCGCTTTTTTCCCCCTATGCGTGAAGAATAATGCCCATAATTAAATGCATACATACAGTGATAAATGATGGTTTCCATCCATCCAAGGCAGCTTCCGCTTTTGAAAGCACACGGCTTTGATGCCAGCAAATGCAGAGGGGAGCACCCTTTCTCGTTCACCCAATTCGCAAGGTCTTCATGCAGATGAATTATCTGAAATGCGAGATCTATATAGCATAGCATTAATTAAATAATGTTATAGTTGATCAGGATAAACAATACAACATAGAAGCTAGATAGCTCGTGGAAGGAGTTTTGGGGGGGGGGGGGAATGAATGAATTTCTACGTACCAAAGTAGTTACCATGGATTGCAGCGTGAAGGATAGTGTCACCATTGTTCCTTCTGCAGTTAACATCGAAGGGAGGAGTAGTGATGTGAGGTTTTCGGATGAAATGAAGGCAAAGAAACGCTTGTTTCCTGCCATGGATAGCGGCCAAGAAGAGAGGCGTCTCACCGTCAACGTTACGATCATCCACTAAGGTAGGCTCCAAGCTAGCAATGATGTGACACATTCTGGAATTGCCTGTGTAAGCCGCTAAATGCAAGGCAGTGTTGTTTCTATTATTAGAAGTTTGCAGAGCCTTTTTGCGTTCCTCTCCATTCCGGGACATGGCGTCGACCATCTTCTCCACCACGTCCTCCTTCCCATGAGCGACTGCTATGTGCAAAGCAGTGTGTCCTGAGCGAGTAATTGTGGCCTTGTGAAGCCCCGCATCTTGCCTGTACATTCCAATGACCTTCTCCCATTTCCCTCTCATGGCACACGAGAATAGTTCCTTCTTGTTATTTCTCTCCTGCTCCATGGCTGCTTTAGGTAGTTTGTATTGTGTGCTCGTTTCTATTCAGCGATGGCTCGTTTAAATGCTGATCCGCTTGAGAGATTGATGATCTACTTCATTGGCCAGAGTTTGCTGCGTTATCAAGTTATTCCTCAAACGAGGCAAAAAAACAAATAAAGCAAAAGAATTAATATTTTACTAGACAAAAATAGGAAAAAAAACAATGTTTACGTCACTATGCATGTTTTTATATATTTGTGGTGTGGAAATTCTGAAAAAGAGAACAATGAGGAGTGTCATTCACAAGCGGATCAAACATCCTTTTTGTTTTAGGTGCTTAGCGGTAGGGAACAAGTGTGAAAAACAAGAGTGAGTAAAGAAGGAGAAAGAGGGTATATAGAAGCAGCGACAGGACACGTGGCACTTGGGAACTGAAGCCCACCTCCATTTTAATTACACAGTTAAACTGTTGCTAGTCAAGAAACTCGTAATCTTTGGCCAAGAAAAAGAAAAAGAAACTCGTAATCTTTCCTAAAGACAAAGCTAAATGAATTGAATATTGTGGCTCTCTCTCTCAACCAAAGATGCATTAGATTATTATATAGTAGTAGCACTGTAGCCCATACATGCGTACCAATCAGAGAATGCCAACGCACCCGTTCTGCAAGCATCGGCTTATTCAACGAGAAAGGAAGGGAACACGTGAACTGTATAATAAATAAGTATAGAATGGACTCGGGGCTTGCATTTGTATTATCAGAGCCTGTGAGTTGCTGATCTTTATTTGTTAATCTTCAAAATATCTGCCACCTGATTAACCCAAACATGGTTTCTTTGATGACCAAAATATTAACAATATCAAAATATCAGCAATAAATTTGATATCATATTTTGACCCAGTTCTTAAAATTTCGTACAAAAAACGACAGATTTTATTTTATCCGAATGGCTTCATATAATATACATAAAATCAACAGTGGACTTAATGCACAACAGGCAGGCGTAAGAGAATACAACAACACGAAGAGAAATTAATTTCAAATAAATTAAAGCATCGGCATTCTTATTCTTAATTACTTGAAAAATAACTCGAACGCAGCATCAGACCAAAGTAAAAGCTAAGCTTAACGAATAATGATTATTCCAATGGTGTGGCTCTGTCCCTATCAAAGAAGAGACCGGTGGGACCTGTAGAAGGCAGAAGAGCTAATCTCAGGAGATGTTCAGCAGCTTCATCAACAGTTGAGAATCCATAGTTCTGAGTCATATCAGTCTTCACAAATCCTGGAGACACCGAGTTAACTCGGAAACTCGGGTACTTCTTGGAGATTAATCTTGTGTACACATTAAGGGCTGTCTTGGCCACTGTATTGGCAGGCGTCATGGTTGGCCATCCTTTCTCATTCCATGTTCCTTCTTCATAGTCCTTGATGAACTCACTCACCACCCCATCAAGTTTTTCTCTTGTAAGACTCTCCAAGTCACTTAGTACCTTTCTGGCACGTTCATTTCTTATGAGCTGCACATCAACAAGAAGTCGTACAATTCATAAGTCATAAACAAAATATTAAAATTAAAACTGGAGAGTGCATTTAAGTACCTTGATGAGTCCAGCAAGAGAGGTGACATTGAGAATGGTGGGACAATTGGATAATTGAAGCAGAGGAAGGAGGGCTTCAGTCACTCCAACAGCACCAAAGTAATTAGTTTCAACACATTGCTTTGACATCTCCACATTGCATTTTACTATTTCATCCCAATCTATGTTCTCCCCACTAACCTGTAACACCTCATTCACATTACACTCCTAATCATTTCCATGTATCAATTACCAAAAAGGAAAGTTATTATCAAAGTATATTTTTCAAAGATTTACTCTTGAATCTTAAAGGAAAAGTTCCTGCAAAGTATTCCTAAAGGGCGGCATGTCTTGTAAATGACTGTAGGTTTGCGTTTTTATGTCAAGTGATGAGCTTACTTTTTTGAACAAAGCTTCGCCGTTCACTGTTCCTGGAGAGACACCTGCATTGTTTACCTGCACCAAAATATGCCAAGCATGGATTTATATAATAAATTAAATTATTCAAATATATTATCGGAACATAACATTAGACTATACCAAGATGTCAAGTTTGCCAAAGGTGGTGGTGATGAAATGAGTTAAGGAAGCAATGCTTGAAGGATCAGTGACATCAAGCTGATGAAACACCAGAGAGTCTGACGACACACCAAACTGTTTGAGCTTCTCAACTGCTCCCAGCCCTCTCTTCTCATCTCTTGCTGTGAGCACCACCGTCACCCCTCTTGCTGCCAACTTCTTGCATATTCCATACCCAAGCCCCTTGTTGGCTCCTGTCACAACGGCAAACCTAAAACAAAGCTCTACCTTCTGAGACATGATGTTGCACTTCATAATACATACTTGAATATATATGATTCAGTCATTTTGAATACCAAATGCTAAGTCATATTAAAGGCAGCTAATCAAGTACCTTTTTGCTTCTTCTCCCATAATTATGATCAGGCTTTTGGTTTCTAGCTTCTTCTTACAATGAGGCTACTGCTACAACTTGGCTTCCTTTTTACTTTCTTTGTGATTTGACGGTACATAAGCACACATATATACTTCATCTGCCCGTTTATATTTTACGTCCAATACGTACAATCATTGAATTTTCAATCATTATACTAGTGCCCCAATTGTCTTCATCATTCACAATTTGAGAAAATATTGAAGGTCATGAAGAAAACAAAAGCTGATTGCTACCCTTTGAATTATGCGTCAGATGAAGAATAAATTAGGCATATTATTGTACAGCTCTTGTTTCATCATTTCAAGGACCACACGAGTAGCTTCTTTTTAGACATATCGATCATTGATAAGATTCCTTTTTCTCTGTCTTAAAAAAATAAAAAAAATTCCCTTATCTTCCCTCTCATGTCAACAACCACTTCATTATATTATCTTTTTCGATGAATTTGGCGAATATCTGGCTATGCCATTTCATGAAAATAGACCATCAAATTTAATATAACTTGTCTTATCCCGTTATTTCTTTCTTATTCTTAATTTCTCTCTTTGGTCATAGTTTATAATCCAATTGAGTTTGGGACCACTCAGACCAATACAAACCCTTCACTTTCCATGTCTGTGAGTTGTCTCTTATGTGATAATAGATTAATAACTAATATCATTTGAAAGCAATTAGAAGTGAGCAGTAATTCATAGGCTGTAAAGTAATTTTAGTAACAATAATCCTAAGTTGTTTCTCTATTATATTCACTAAATTACTGTAAGCTTTTGCTCTTGTCGTCTATGTCATTCATATCAGGCGAGAAGTCTGACAATTTATACTGAATCAGATTTTGAACCAAATTCTCGTAAGAACACTTGGGGCTTTATTAGTCGCTACAACCTGAGAATTTTTGCTGAATACTCAATAGCTCTTCCTTGTTATAATTGGTAAATGGGAACATCCTCAATCCATTGCGGACTATGGATCTACAAGTCTGTAGTTCATAATTAAAAGCATTTCAAAAGTTGCGTGCAATTGACTTACAGCGTGTTCTTCCTCATTATATCGCCCCTAATCAAATTTCATTTCTACAAGCGAGAGAGCCAACACAAATTGTTAGGAACTACAAATTGGTGGGGACAAACTGGAACCACTGGCTTCTGGGATCGTCCAAACAAGTAGGATCATCTAGTATACAGATGCATCTTCTTGTCACAATTGTTGAAGAGTTTGCGTCCTGGTGCAGGCACAATTGCTTGCCATGCTGGTCCACCGTAGCCAAGTGAAGCTTTGAGAGTGACGCAGACTTCCAAGAACTACTCTGCTTGCTCTGGCAATTATTACCATCAGACACGACAACAGGAAGCCCTTCACCTGATGCAGTTAGGCATTTGTTCGTACCACTTAAGAGAATCTGAGATCCATCTTCATGAACCCATCTCTCGATCTTGTTCTCACAACTTCCCACTTCAAGCTCATTCTTCTGGTTAACGTGGACACACTGGCCACTCAGTGGGTAGTACAAGATATTTGCAATAGGGAATTTGGAAGTTGGATCTGCATTATAATTAAGTATAGAGACAGATTAAATTGAATAAAAGATGGACCTGCACATCATTTGAATCAACTACCAATATTGAATGGATGGTTAGTCCTACTTCCCTAAATCAAGAGGCATACCTTGATTCTTCCTTTGAAGGAGTTGGAAGAGTTGGGTGAAGTTTGGGAACCTCAGATTTTGCCAGGAGGCATCCATGACACCAAATGTCTCCTCAAGTTGAACCTGGTCTTCTCTCAGGTAATAGCCACCTTGCAAAGCCCAGAGGCCCCAATCCAGGTCTCTCCCAACAAGGTAGGTTTGAAGGCAAGTCAAGTACTTGTTGTCTGCTTCAGTAGAACCTTCTTGGTCGAACCCAAATTCTGTGAAAATCAAAGGAAAAGCATTGTCGCCACGAGTAAGGAACCCCGCTCTGTGGTCTATGCCGTTAATGGCTCTGGCACAAATTCTGTTCAATGGCTGCTTAGTCCAGATATCTTTCAGCTTTAGTGTTCCAATTCCAGACCATGAATACAAATGTGTCTCAAACACCAATTTCCTGCCCAAACCTAAGTGAAGAGGCCTTTTCTTTAGGAACTGAAGCTCAGTGTCGTAGTTGAGGCCTGAGACAACCACCAGCACATTTGGGTTCGCCTTGTGAACTGCTGTTGCTCCTTGGCTCATATAAATGTACCAATCACCCACGTATTGACGAGGACCATGGAGTTCATTCCTCAAGCTCATGGCCACCACCTGTTGGCCAATACCAATTTTAATACTTTTAACTAACATGCCTAGTTGATGTTATTAAGATAATGATATGCACTTTATGCATTTACCCGTACGTCAATTTAATTTCGAATATTTGGATAAAAAAATTTAATTTCGAATAATTGCTGATCAAAAAATAATAATTTCAAATAACTTTTGGGCTCACTTATTAGAATAGAAAAATAAAATGGAATAGAAAATCTAATTAGATAAAAAAAATTATCATCTTGTAGATTAAAATTATTTCTGTTAATTTTCTTATTTTAAAATTATTTAAATGAAAAATAAAATATAATTATAAGCCAAGACATATCAAATCATCGTTAACAGAAAATAATAATAATCCAAATGAAAATTAATATTTTATATTTGAAGGATCAGGATTTAATATTTATATATGAAAAAAAGAATTTAATATTTATTTCTTAAGTTACTTACTAGCATAACTATCTAGTATCCAATGTCTAATGGTACTGTTATATTGTTTTCAAATTTTTATGCAAAGTAATATAAAAATGTTTTTTTTTTTTTTGGAAAAAAAGGATTCAATTCATAGGAACAAGATACGTACGGCGGAATTCCCAGAAAAGCGTTGGGCTGCCAAAGTGAGGCCCTTCACCCACTCGTTGGGATCGAAGTGCCTGTCATTGAAGAAGCCATTCTCATCGTCATCGGCGCAGCACCATTTGGGATCGCTCACATGATTATCCAGCAACACCTTCACCTTCTGATTCCCAAGCTCCCGCACCACTTCTTCAAACGCCTCCACATGCGTCTTGTTCAGCGCCCACGGATTGTTCTTCTTAATCCCTTCCACCGTCTCCGGAATGTCCAATTCCTCTAGGGTTTTTCCCGCATTGCGATCCATGTAGCGAGTCCACATGTAGATCGCGTACGTCAGACGCACGCAATTGAACTTGTACTTCACTATTTGAGCCACCATCTCCTTCAATGGCCGCTTGTCCAGACCTTCTGGAAGCATCGGCTGAAGGTGTCCCGCCCAGTTGCCGCACACTAGTTTGGCTCGTTCGCCATTGAAGTCGTCCATGATCCATCGGCTTTGGGTTGAGAGGGGATAAGCATTGGAATGCTGAGATGTGAGGAGAGCAGAGAAAGCGACGAAGAAAAACAGAGCAGATCTTAATGTTCTTCCCACCATTGTTGCTCGATGACGATTCTCATGAAAGTAATGGTATGTGTGCTTTAAATAGAGATTTTGGAATCTGAAATAACAAATTTTCCAAGTTTGGTTGCAATTCTGATCGTAATCCACGTATGTTCCATGTAGGATATGTATAATTGGAGATAGTTAATTATTCTAGGGATTCATTCCTCATTGTCTATCCCAATACATGCAGACTTCAGTAGTTTGGTTCATGGACCAACTAATAAGGGGAAGGAATTATGTGAGGAATATTATTTGCAAACTGAGATTGCAATGAAATTAAATTTTGTCAGTATGCCTCTGTTTCCAACTGATTAACCATATCGATGACCTGGTCTTTTTCCCAACTGAAACTTCATTGTATTATGGGCTGTGGAACTCCTCATCTCGTGATCTCCGAATACGGCGACCAAGTATGCCTTATTTACACTTTGAAGCCCGTTTTCACTTGTTAACCAAATCATTGACCAAGTACTTCGTTCTGTTTATACAGTTTATTGGCAGAAAGAGATAGAATTTTTTTTTTAAATTCTTCTTAATATAAGTTATCTTATTAAACTTATTATATAAATGTTGAATTTTACCTTTAATTTTTTTTAAAAAAATATTAAATGAGAATAACATTGAAAAGTTATTAAATTTTAAAACAGAATTAATTTTCATGAAATATGTTCAAGGTGTCTTGTAAGACAAAAGGAGCATGCCTGATTATGTGAACTGATAAGTTGTCTCTTGATGCTGAGTTCTTCTCCAAACTCATGGTGGGTTAGCATTACTTTTTAGAAAATAAAATCACGACTCAAAACTTCGACAGTGATATGCCTCAGCAAACGCTGGCCCAAAAAAATAAAAAAATAAACTAAACAGTGAATGTAAATTGGTAAATAAAAAAAATTGAATAATTCATATCAAAGCATTTTTAAGTATAATGTTATACTATAGCTTATAGTAGTATTTGCTACCAGCTAATTCTGAATTTAATGTTTAGTATGCTCCCTTTTTCTAAATATTTTAAAATACATCTTTCAAATTCAAGAGATATTCGAGACTTTCTTTCATTATCCCCGCACGTCTCATTGTCGCCGAAAAGATTTTTAAAATTTGTCAACGTTGAATCTCTGAAAAGATTTTAAAATTTATCAACGTTGGCCCAAAGTGTTTTAGGTAAATAACAATAACAGTCAACAATGGTGATCTGAACTTTGAGATAATCTGATTAATGAAAGTTCAACTAATCTTTTCTAGTCATACATTAACCAACAAAAAGCAGAAGGGGACAAGTGTTGTGAGCACATCAAAGAGCAATTGCCAATGCTCATGACAGGTAATTTTGACATACTAAACAACCTTTCTATACATGTACGATGGAATGAAATAAAAAATAAAATAAGTGGAGTTTTGGATCATATTCTTTAACTACTATTGACAAATAACAATAAAGAGTTAATGCCATTTTTAATTCTTGAAATTTATTTCATTTTAGTTTTGATTCTTAAAATTTAATCTCATTTTGATTTTTGTCATTATTTCAAGGATAAAAAAGTCTTTAAACTGATCAAAATAAAATCAAATTTTAAATATTAAAATTAAAATGACGTCAAATTTTAAAAATTAAAACTAAAACGAGGTCAAATTTTAAAAATTAAAAGTAGTATCAACTATAAGATAAATACAAGCCAACTATTGTATACCTTATTTTTTTTCAATATATACATATATATAATATGGAAAGCTAATGTTTTCAGCTATTCTATTGGGCGCATTGTAATGTAGATAGTGATTTAAATTTAAACCCTTTTAATACTTAAAAAAAAAAAGGATAATGTCTAATGTCTTTCCCATTTAGGATTAAACTAATTCAGGCGATAAAAATGCAATGAATATGAGCAGCAACTCAGGGGTTCAAATTCCCTTTCTATATAAGGCAAAGATATAATTTTACTCCTGATTTTTTTAGTAGTGTAATTTTACCGATGGTCTTCTTTTATGCAATTTTACCTCTAGAATTTGGGTGCAATTTTAGGCACCCAGCAAAAAAATCACGAGAAAAATTGCATAACTAAAAAGAACTAGGATAAAATTACACCTGAAAAATAAAATTAGAAATAACATTGCACCTTTAGCCTTGTGTGTGTGTGTGTATATATATATTTTAAAAAAAGGACCATATCTTTCTACTTTCTTGTGATGTAACCAGTTGTGACAGAAAAATATGGGTAAAAAATGGCAGCATAGATCCATATTTTCAAAGTTTGATAAGAAAAACTGTGATGCTAATTAGTATGATTCAAAAGCTGGACACTTCATGGCGAGCAAAGAAGAGGCCAGAAGGTGAACCATTTGGGAGCAAAGCTAATCTTACAACACTAGCAGCACCATCTTCCACAGATAAGATACCACTGTTTCTGTTAATGTCTGTTTTTACGAATCCAGGACAGACACAGTTAATACACATGTTTGGGTACTTTCTCGCCAGAATCCTTGTGTAAGAATTCATGGCTGCTTTTGAAACCATATAAGCAGACAGAAAAGTTGGCCATCCTTTGGCTTCCACTGTTCCTTCTTTGAAGTCTTTGACAAACTCTCTTACTACCTCATCTAGTCTCTCCTCTGTAAGATCATCAACACCATCAAGCACCCCTGTCGCCCACTTGTTCGGTATGTTCTGAAACAATGGCATTAACCAAATTTGATGTTGCTCTAGTGGTTATCCAAAATCACAATTGAGAATAGAAAGGAGATTTGAGAGGTTTGGGGAATTAATATAAATGTATAGGAAAGTGTATTATTCACAAGTTTTGACCAATACAGCTCATTCTAAGTTTATTGCGAATCTACAAGGCTCACTCTGGTTTTAATAAAATAGAGAGGATATTTTGTATCAGTTTTGAAAATAGGGGGGAAAAGTCTGTAATTTCAGCAAAATTCAAAGCAAGTATATGCAATGTACCTTCAACAACCCTGCTTGGGAGGAAACATTAACAATCCTTGGAGAATTGGACAGCTGAAGAAGGGGAAGAAAAGCCTCCGTTGTTTCCTTAGCGCCATAGTAGTTTGTTTGCAGACATTTCTCAGCCAACTCATAAGTTTGAGTCAATGCCCTCCAATTGTAAGGTGGGCCCTCCCCCTGTACAATAATTAAAAACAAATCTTTTTTGGTGATTAATACAAATATACACGAATAACACAGTAGAGAAAACAAGCTCATTGACTGACCAACTCATCCAAATTTAATCCGCTGATCGCTGCATTGTTCACCTGCAAAACAATGATTCACATTCGTAAAAGGCAAAAAGGACAAACATTTTTTTAAAAATTATTGAGCCCTGAAAATATTAGACCCCCGCCTAAGCCACAACAGATTGACCAACTAGTTTGTATCAACATCAGCAAGGTCAGATACAGGTCATTCATTCATTTCGCAGATAAATAATAAAGCAAACAGTGGCTTTAGTTTGACCTGCCAAGGGGCATTTCACGTCTAAAGTGGTTGAGTGTTTCAAAGCTTCCAAGGTTGGTAACTAACTAAAAGGGGAAAAAAGGGACACAAGGTGTTCTTAAATAGTTTTCAGTTCTTTAACACAACACACACACACACACACAATCTATTCAGTCTCCAATGCACAGTGTTCTTATCATCTCAAACACATCTTACACGAAAGCTTGCGATGCTCGATGTGGGAATAAAGCGCAAAGCGTCATTTTCTGTACTAAAGTCTAATTTAGTTATAAAGGATGGGGATGGCAGAGATCTCACGTTTGACCACCAGTCACAGGGTTAATCCAACCAGAAAAATGCCCGCTAACTTTTATTCAACAATTTCTACCAATTTAGAACGATGAAAACTTCATTTATTCTAAGCTTTCTCCAAAGAGATATAGAGAAGGTTGTTTGTAACAAAATATATTCCAGACGTTTTATTTTATTTTATTTTTTGGTGAAGAATGTCAATTTTCGAAGTAACTTTCTAAGAACATAAACGCAAAAACATAATCAAACAGTAAACTGTCGCTGTCTTTAAAGATTTCATATTAACCAACTGAAGTACAAGAAGCATTTGAAAGTAAGAAAACTCAATTCCAAGCAGTCCTTTTATCTGTGAAGAGTCATAACAAGCTATAATTACCGATTAATCTCGCTAGGAAAAAAAATATTAGGGAGATTTATTCAAGGAATTGATGCTCATGAAAATAGTTCAGTGCATGCAAGATTCCAATTCGTCAATTCCCTTCCACTGAACGAAAAGAAGAATAAAAAGAGCGTTGAGAATATTCGCCGCTATGGACATTTCATTCTTACCAGAATATCAAGTCTCCCAAATTGGGTTTTAACAAAATCCACAAGAGAAGCAATACTAGCGGTGTCCATCACATCAAGCTGATGAAAAATTACAAGGTGGGAGATGCCAAAGGCTTTCAATTTCTCAAGGGCTTCGAGGCCCCTCTTCTCATCTCTTGCTGTGAGAACCACCTTGACTCCATTGGAGGCCAACATTTTCACAGTCTCCAACCCGATCCCTCTGTTCGCTCCTGTAACAACACCATACCTGAAACCACAGCCAATGCTACCAAATCAACATATGTACGCAGTGAACAAAATGAAAGGATCTTATAAACATGCGAATAGATTTGTTCAAATAGGGAGGAAGACAAAGATGCGATAGTGGTAGTACCTTTCTTTAGGTTCCGCCATTGATGCAGAAACTGCGCAGGATGGAGGATTATAAGCGGAAGCCAAAATATATAATTATCGCAAACTAGATTCAAACTTTGACCTTTGGGAAGAGAGATACGTAGGAATACGTGAGACCCGTTTGATACTCAGCAGCTTGAGAAGGAAAACATCAAAGCAAAGGACAAAGAATCCATTGAAAGTGTGTGAGCTAGAAAGAAAGCCGAAGCGAGTCATTGATCATGATGATTCAGATTCAGAATCAAAGAGAGCCTTCCACGGCCTACTTTTGTCGTGATTATCATCATCCTTGTTTTATAGATTAAAAGTGATGACTCCGGCAAAAAAATAAAATAAAAGTTGATGACATTATATTAGCAGTATTTTAGTAAGAAAACGATTGCTTATTCCTGTTGGCAAAAAAAACAAAATGTTATTTATAATTATATCTATTTGACAAGTAATGAATGTACTGGATATATATTTATATTTATAAATATTATTATTTTAAAATCAAAGCTAAGCTAATTCCTTCCTTGTCATAAAAATATTTTATTACGAGGGAAAAAAACTGTTCTTCGAAACGGTTGATTGTCACCTGATTTTATTATAAAAATTTTATGATATATATTATTAATTTAAAATCAGTTTTAAATAAGTAATAGTTCTTTTCGCAAAATTTTTCTATTCATAAATACGAGAACCAAAATTTTGCTTATAGACATTAATCCAATTGCCAACATCACGTAAATTTTTACCTTATGTCGTGTTTCATAGGATTATATAATTTTTTTTAACAATTTGAATATAAAAATAATAACATTTTTTTTTTTGGCCGAAAAAAAATAATAACATTTTAGTGTTAAATTTATTGCGTAGATTTTCATTAAGTAAAATATTTTGAGATTGGTCAATAACATAATGCTCTTGGTCAGAGGGATTAGGAGGGAGCCCTTTATTTATTGCTTTTTGCTCTGCCCGACTCTTCTAGATGACGATACATTAAAACTGAATGGACAGGCAGGGCACGTGCAAAGAAAACTGATCAATTTATTGAGAGTCTTTTTCGCTGTCAAGCAACTTTTTTAGTCTTATAATTCTTTTATTAACTAAATAATACTGTTTCCTCCAAGCCAATGACTCATTATGCTTGGAAAAAAGGGAAAGTTTACAGAGCCTTCAAATGTTGACTTCTTTTTCATTTGAGTCACGCTGTACAGTTGGCCAAACAAACAAACTACTATTTTCTAATCCATTCAAAGTAAAACATTTGCACAAATTTTATAATTATATAGTGTTTAACTAACATTACACATACACTTGTTTAACTAAAATTACATGTACACTTCTAGAAGAAAGAATTAAAAAAAATTAGGGAAAACCATATTGAAGGTACCTATACTTTTTTTTAATTTTCAATTTGGTACCTATGTGTTTTTTTGTTCTTAACTAAATCTTTATTTTTCCTCTATTAACATCATTAATTCTTATGTAGAGACTAAAAATATCAATAGAACAAAGTTATAAAAGCTAATGTTGCTAAAAAGATAAAATTAAATATTTAATTAAAGGGAAAAAACACATAGGTACCAAATTAAAAATTGAGAGAAAGTATAGGTACCTTCAATATGGTTTTCCCAAAAAATTAATCTCACCGAGATTAGTTATATACAAAGGCTGACAATTCGTTGAGACAACAGAAATAAACTACGAAGACTGAAAACAAAAACAGGATTAACACATGAAAACTGGGGTATTATTTTCCTTTCGTTCAATTAGGCAAACAGCGGAAACAGAGCACCCGGGAAGAAGCAGTCTTTTGAGCAATTCTTCTTCTGGCTTATCTCATTTGTCATCCCTTCTGTTTCATGTGATGAATCCCCCCATTCTTATTCGACCTTCCAATTTTCCTACATATTAAGCATTTAAGTTGATGTCACTTTATTTTATTAAATAGTTTAATGTCAAGTTTTCTACTTTCCAATGACGATTATTTGGTTTAATTTAAGTAATTTTGTATTATCCAAGATAACTGTGTATAAGATTGTCTCATAATGCGAAAGCGTAGAATGATTTTCGGGAGTGAATCTAAACCCACCGGTAATAATGCAATGCTAATAGAGATCCCATGGAGTTTAGTGTCATCAAGGATAGATGGGGGAACTAGTAATCTATCTCCAATATTATACACATCCATGGGAATTCGCCAAGATCAAATCAAGAACTACAACATTTTCACAGAAGCTTCCTAGTCCTGACTTAAAACATTATAAATCAATAACATAGAGGGCTTGATCGGAGCAACATTTTATGTGATCCCACTAGGCCTTCAAAAATATGTTGTGGAAAATTCAGGATGCTTATTTTTCACGAACAAGAGGGCTATATACAGGGTACCACATATTTTCTCTGACGTACTCCACGGTCTCTTCCTGCAACCAGTGCAGCAGCCGAGTGAGAAGCAGATGAATTCAGGTGAATCCAAGATAGCATTAGGTTGCGTTTAGGTGAGATAAATGAAACATTATTGGGGGGGGGGGGGGGGGGAAGGAACTAGAACTTAATAATAGTACTTGAAAGAAAAAAGACTCTCCATGTCATAATTTCACCATGAACCTGATAACATGAACCTAAAAGCTCCCCTTATTCTTTTCCTGATAGAAAAATAACAAGATAAAATTGATTTTGTATATTTGTAATGTTCAAATGTCAGCTAGAAGCATTTCCCCCATCTTTGGATCTCTCAGGGACTTGAGTAATCGTAAACCCTTTAGAATATGGAACTAATCATGTTTGGGATTCATAATCCCCCCCCCCCCCCACACCAAAAAAAAAAAAAAAAAACAAGCGCTTTCCAGCAGACTTGAACCCCCAACGTTGTGAGCGTCTTTCAACAGGTTCAAGCATGTCCTACCAATTAAGTCAATCTGTTTGCAACAAATCTTGCACATGCAGTTCTACTGAAAGAATGCAACATATAGGGGATCGACATACCCCAAAAAAATTGTAATATATCTAATATCTTAAAGTTTTATGAGCTATAAGTATTCCATACTTTTGACATGAGCGAGAGTTCTTTGAACCCTATCTCACCGCGCCCTTCTGCCAGCCCTTCTGCAACTGCTTCCCGCAGAACAGCAGCTCCAACCTCTGCTGTAACATTTCGGATACTGTAGCATGCAAACTGGAGTTGGTTAACCGTCAAAGGCCATTCAATTAACTGTCCCACTTCATATAAAATCACCAAGATTTTCTTTTTTTGCTTTTATTTCTTTTGAAAGATATCAGGCAGACATCTATTTTAGTGTACAACATAATATAATATGATTATAACTCTCTATAACCATTTTATTAGGATATGGATGAAATTTTTTTTTTTTTAGTCAGGGATGGTCAGAACAAAACTAGAAGTTTATCGCCAAACTTGGCATGCAAATCCTAAAATATACTCACTCCTTGATGTATTTGGAAAATTTTTGAAATTCTAATTCTGATATTCGATAAAAGAGTGACAGGAAAAAAGAAAAGTCGAGAGAAAACAAATATCACAAAATAACAAAGCAGAAATGGAATATTACCTATTAATGGACGGATACAAGATTCCTTTTAGAACTTCTTCTTCTGTCATGTAGGAAGCAAGGCTGCAAGAATGGAAGCATGTCAGCAATTTATTATAAAGGAAGGTATTGAGCCAAATCAGACATCCCAGCAAAGAATGAAGAACTTAAATGATGCAAAATAATAAAACCAACGCAATCAAAATTTCACCATAACACTCACTGAAGAAAGTTCATTGAATATTAAAACTAGAGTAGAGCCTAGGTGAGGTGCATACAATAGCCAGTTCGAAGTTACCACAAAGAGCAGGACCCAAGAAAAGCTAGTGAGCGATTAAATCTATATACAAATTTTAAGGCAAGAGATAAAGAAAATCAAGTAAAATTATTAGAGAATACATACAAGGGCAAACTACTCAAGGTATAATGAAAGACCTCTGGAAATCTATCAAGCTAGGATTTAGAAAAATCAGGCACGAATTTTCTCAAACTTCCGGTAATGCTAGCTCGGAAAGCTTGGGGTTGAGAAAGACCAAGCATAAAAGTTAAAATCTTCTGCAGCCTACCATTCAGAGGCTGCCTGCAACATTCCATCAGTTATAAGACGAGCACCTGACAGAAGAGCTCCCAAACCAATCCTGAAATGAAAGGTGACCATTGAAACTACATCAATATATTCACAGATATATATGATTCATGAAAGAACTTGAGTCCACAAGACATACCCTGGGAAAAGATACATGTTGTTTGCTTGATTTACATGGCCTACTTTTCCATTAGCTGCACACGGATTTTATTCAGAGGATCAAGGTAATTATACTATTTATTGTACAAGCAAATCCAGCAGAAATAACTGTATATAGCCTTATAGCCTCATAGATAAGGAAAATCTGATTCAGAAAAGATGATTCGAGGTTCAAAGGTAATCAATCACTTAAACGAGATTTTACCAAGGTCTACATTTTGGAACGGACTTCCACTAGCAAAAACTATATTTTCTCCAGCATGTTTAAAAGCATCAGCAGCAGTGCACTCAGCTGTTCAAATGGTTAAAAACAAAGAGTCAGAATTAAAACACGGACACCATTAAGGAATTATGAGTGCTTGATAAGCCTTGTACAAACAAACCATTCATGGTGGGATTAGACATGGCAAAGATAGCAGGTTTTGTCGAAACAGATTCTCTCATTGCCTTAAGCACCTGAGTCAAATCTCAACCATTAAAATTAAGAAATTCAATTGTAGTAAAATGCATATTGCTGAACCATAAGCTGCCAATATAAAACACATTTCAAATATGTCTATTACTTTTACATTTTAACATACATCACAGGAAATTAAGGCACCATAGGAGTGATATTTTATTTCTAGAAGGAATTCACCTCCTCATTGAAGATACCACCAACCCCTGACAATCCGACAAGCACATGTGGCTTAACCTTCTTAACCTAAAGATCAGTAGGATCAGCCATTAAAATATGTACTCGAATGAGTATGCATTATCTTGTAAAATAACATAACTGCAGGTCTGCAACCAGGCATCTGAGATCTGAGTCTTCTCATTTAATCTAAATTTTCCAAATATTGTAAAGCGAAGCCAATAAAGTTTTTCCAGATGAATCCTTTAATATTTACCACTTCAATTATACTAGCACCCTCACTAAGCCCCCCTATGTCTCTTGGACTTTTAGCAAAAGGTGCAGCGGCTGGATCTAGATTGCTCCTTTCAGTTGTTACAAGACCCTGCATCCAAACATGTTTACATTATACGAAACGACAGCCTCCAAAAAACGATGTCACAAAATAATCTGTTTTCTCATGACATCTAATATGAAAAACAAATACAGATATAGTATCGAGAACAAGATAATAAAAAATTAACAAGAAATGTTTAGATACGAAGTTCAGTAAAAAATAAAAATTACACGGGAAGTGATAAGTTGACCATCCATTCTGATGAAGAGCATGTTCATAGAATTGGAAAGCTGCAACTTAAAGGACTACCGTGTAAGTAAAAACTGCAGACGCTTACATCTTTATCAATTAAAAAGAACTGACTTTTGGCAGCTGTTTCACTGCAGCCCACCATCCTTGCAACTGCCTGGACAGCCATGTCAAGAACACCAAGCCCAGCACTGCATGCCAGACATTAAATTTACAGGTCAGAAAACAGCTATTGTAAGGAACACAATAAAACAACAAAGCACAATGGGCACCAAATATGGAAAGGAACATGTTAAACCAAGTCTTGCAAGTACCTCCCAGCTCCAGCCACAACTATCTTCTGCTTCACAAAATCAGACAATGGTCGACCTTGGGCTCTCACAGTTCCCAATAATCCAGCAAGTGCAACCCCAGCAGTTCCCTTTAGGACAAGAAGGAAGAGTAAATGTTTGGGGGGGAGAACCTTGGAGTCTATGCTTAGCAGAATATGATATCACTTTCTCACCTGTATATCATCATTAAACATGCAAAACTTTTTTCGATATCGTTGCAGGGTTTCAAAAGCCCACTTCATTTGGAAATCCTCAAACTGATAAAGTTAATCCAATCTTCAAGTTACAAAATTAATATAACGTAGATTGAACATTGGGAACAACGTTTAGGAACAATACGAACTTGTACAATAGCCTTAGGCCATCTAGCATGAACGGCTTCCATGAATTCATCCACTACTGATAAATATTCATCACCTTCCAACCTAGGCTGTCTAAGTCCTAAATCTGCAACAAGAAAACCATGTCAGAACATTATATCTTTCAAAACCCAATTGGAAGGAATTAGTATCTAGCTATAAGGTCTGCACACTCTGTGAAGAAAATTATAAAGCAAACAGAAAATGATAAATAACATGACAGAAATTAACCGAAAAAAATACAACATATCAGCAAGCATTCAAGTCTGTGCAATCAAGTTAGGATTTTAAACACAGTCGATATTCTCAATCACAAGAAAAAGCATTTCACTAATTCATTCAAAATTTCAACATAAATTGATTAGGAGCTAGAAAGATAGTCACTCAAACAACTATCAATGCCGCAACTGTTGAAGATCTAATTCAAGGATCCAAGAATCTAGAGAAGCAAAAAATTACAAGATACATACAATCCACAAGAGTCAGTAACCCCAAGGAAGTATCATTCAATAGCAACAACTTAAATGTAAGATAATGATCAATATGACACATCCCTCAGTTTTAGAAATAAAAACACATGACTTCAGTAAAATGAAAGAATGAGATGAAAGACAGCCGTAAAATAAGCTAACAAAGGATAAACAAGAACGCAGATTTACTCACAAAGGCGGTCTTCTAGTAGCTTTTGATTGTTTGTGCCAACATCCAACATGACTGGAAGAATCTGTCATGAATAGAAATACCATACAGTATAAGTTATAATAGAGATAATGCCCTTGTCAAGAAACAAAAGTTAAAGAAACATAGCTTCAGTGTAGAGCATTACCAAGAAATGTTACAACTTATGCAGTGAAAACATCATGTATATGCTGGCAGCACATGTGTTGGTTTGCATGCGCTTAAACTAGATTATATTCAAATAAATGCTAGCTAACAAACAAAAATAAAATTTGTAATGCCAAGCATCCAAACAAGGGTAGTCATCTCATGCATGATGATGTTAGGAATGCTTTTAAATTAAGATCAGCATGATAAAACCATGAAGTTAACTGCCACCAGACGCATGTTAACATTTGATATGCTACAAATTAAACCAAACATGCTGGCAAACACAGAGACGCCAATATACAGTACACAGTTTGAGATACAAAAGAATAGATTGACAGACAAACGGATAGACAAAGAAATAGAAGCATACTCTTTGTGGGTTGATGCCAGCAGCAGCAACGTACATATCAAGTTTTCCAATTGGTATTCCAATTCCCTGAACTCCAAGATCACCTAAGCCAAGGATACGACTGCCATCAGTCAATACGATCATGTCTACCTGCAACACAGATAAGGTTATATAAAAAATAATAATAATATAAAAATTTTAACAGCTTGGTCACTTTCAGAATAAAAAAGCTATGCCACATCGTAGCAAGGTATACAACTACAGGTAAGAATGCTAAAATATTGAATTTTATTTGCTTTAATGTGATACCTTCTGAGCTGGCCAGTTATAGATCATTGACATCATTTCTCCTTTATCTTTAGCGCTGAAATACATTCCCCGTGGCCGTCGAAATAACCCAGAATAATTTTGACACACTAATCCAACAGTAGGAGTATATATTATTGGAGCAAACTGTTCGATATTATCAATAAGAACCTGAACAAAAAGGAAGATAAAAATTTCAGATAATACTAGATTTTAAAGCATCTTCATATCAATAAATCAGTAACTTACTCTGTAGTATAAAGTCTCGTTCCTGTCATGTAGTCTGTTTAAGATCCTCCACTTGGATAGCGAAACAAATTTATCTGATTGGCCCTGAGTATTTTTCTCCAAAGATCGATAAGAATTCACTGAAAATAGAAGCAAATAAAGTTTATACCAATCATCCCCAAGTAGTTCAATTCAGAGAGGGAAAGATGACCAAGTCTAAACTATTAAAAGATACAATAATATCACAATATTAGGATTCCAACTTACTAAATCGTTCATATTGTTGCTCAAATGATATAACACGGGGAGGGAGAAGGCCTCGAAGGCCTAGTCTATCTCTTTCAGTCAAAGGAAACCCAGTATCCTGCATTAAGGGGATAAAAACACATTTTGAGGGGAAGAATCCGGAATGAAGACGTTGTGCAAGAGTTTGATCACCGATTCATCATCCTCCTCACATTTGCAAGACACAAAGCATGGAGAAACATGAGTCCAAAAAAAAAAAAAGCATGGAGAAACATTAATATCCAGAATAAGATAGCATATCTGTTACTGACAGCCGTTTTGATATGAAACCTAAATACTTCATCAACAATCTACACGCATACAAAATTAAGATGCGTCTCGCGGGAAGCATCTAAAGATAATTTTGCTCGGTTAGTAGGTGATATTTCCGCCAGTGGAGTGCAAACTCCCGGCAGTGAATTAGTGAGCTTCAACGTTAAACTTTGCGTTTATTGATACGAGCACAAGAACCAATTATGTAGCAATCAGACTTTTGCTGAATTATACACTCCGAACCGCTAGTATCATCAAAGAAACTCCAAATCACAAATTCATCGAGCGTCCAGTTCGGGTAACTACGAAAACAACTCACTCTTCATAACAGCCACTATCACGAAGCAAGATATTGGTAAGCATCCAGTAAAGTACGTTTCTTTTCATAAAAAACTACGATATTTGCAACGTCCAAATGCTAAGCCAAGTCCGATATGGTAAGCTAACAACGAGAAAAATGCAAAATAAAACCAATCTAAGCCGACAACATAGCAGAAAGATTGTGAACCTTATTGAACCACGGATCGTGGAGGATATCAGCACCACGCTTACGAACAATGCAAGGTCCAGGAATCGCCGTCGAGAACCGCCGGGATCGGCTCAAACTGGAAGCGGCGAATCGTGCAAGGTTCCACATTCTTCGCCGCTGGAAAGAAAAGAAAATCGAAACAGAGAAAAAGGAAACGAAAATTCAACCGGACGACACTTAGTAATAAGCTAAAATTCAAGACGAAGCGAACGGAGGTCTTTTGTGTTTACTGTGTTAGAGTCCTTTTCTCAGTGGTCGGAAGCACATTTTCTCAAGAGAAAATTTATTGCGGGATGAAGGCCTGACCCCCTGGACTACGACGCATTATATTTATAGGATTAAAAATTAAAATAGAGATACTCTTTTCGGTCATTCTCTTTTTGCATCGCTGTTGATTGCTGATTGCAAAATCTGGAGCAGGCTCAGCTGGAACTGTATTTTTGGAGCAGGGAGTTGCAGCTGCCCGGGATGTACGGGCAGAGAGAAAGCGGGAAGCTGAGTGAGATGAGTGGAGGGGAAGCTGCCCGGAAAAAACCGGGATTTGAGCGCAGAACGCGAACACATTGGTCAAAATGTTTTTTTTTTAATTTTTTATTTTTAAATAGTACTAATGTTTAATCTAAAATTAACAAAATAAAATACTACGAATCTTTTTGGAAAAAAATAATTTTTTTAATTTCTATATTTGAATTAAAAAATAATTATTACAAATGTTTATCCAATTTTCTGTGAAGGAGAAACGAGGCTTGTTTCCAATTCAATGTGGTTTGGATTTTTTTTCCTTTTGTTTATTCAACAACACAGGGTTGACTTGAGAGAGAATGAGGTGATGATGTGACTGTTTCTTAGCATCGTTTTATATTGGATTAATAAGTATGCATTTTCGCAAGTTTGTAAATACTTAGTTCAGTAATATTAAAAAAAACTCATCTGTAAATTAAGAGTCCACCCCATTTATAACTCTGCATAGTGTTTGATTTTCTAAATAAAAAATGAAAGAAAAAAATTTGATTATGCATTTGAAATATTCTCTCAGCACTTAAAACGATTGGAGAGCCTTCAATGTCATTCAATATAAAAACTCCACTTGCAACTTGTCTGTGCCAGTGCAAAAATGGGGTCACAAATGAGCCGGCATTTAGTAATTACAAAAATCATTTTTAAAAAGTTGTTTTTATATAAATTGAGAAAAAAAAATTTCACATACTCACTTTTAAAATCGTAGTTTGGTTTCCTTCTAAGTTAAATCACGTATAAAAAATATATATTTCTCCGATCCTAAATATAATACCTATTTACTATTTATACTAGTAAATAGGTCTTATATTTAGCTCGATAAGAGTATTTTAGTTTATACTATCTTCAGTTCTTAATATAAAACCCTGTTTAATTTTATTTATACTAGTAAATGAGTCTTATATTTAGCTCGATAAGAGTATTTTAGTTTATACTACCTCCAGTCCTTAATATAAGACTCTGTTTGAATTTTATTTTGGTCCTAAATATAAGACCTCAATCCACTTTCTCTCTCATATTTATACATTTTTTTTCCAAAACAGCATTTCTAACAATGATAGTTCTAGTCAATACACTTAATTAGCAAGGATGTTTTAGGAAAGACAACACCTATTTAAAACAAATAATTAACTCAACTTATTTTCTTAATCTCTTCAAATTAATCAACTGGCTCTTATAATTATTACCGGATATAATAGTATATAGACCGAGTTGTTAGTATTTATAAAACATGTTATTTTGATACCTATATATATATATATATATATATATATATAACGGAATATTGCCAATTTCACCTATGCAATGCTATTGTCGCGCGCGAAATTTAATTTTGTAAAATTGGTCTCTTGTTGCATGAAATTCAAAGTAATTATCAAATTGATCTTATAGTTGGCTATCTCATGAAGGCCATGTATAATCTACTTTAGTAAACTATAATCTTTTATTAATCCATATACAATAGCACATAATCAGTCTTTCGTTAATTTGAATCATACTCCTCCGGTCCTTAATATAAGACCCATTTAACTAATTTGATTAGATTAAGGAAGTTAAGTAAATTAGTTAATTATAAAAAATGTGACACGTTTTTCCTAAAACACCATAATCATCTTTCTTAATACCCCTCTCCCTCTTTTATTTGATTATGGTTAAGAGAGTATCTACAAGGGTAATCTAGGGAAAATTGATAAATATGAGAAATGGGTCTTATATTTAGGACCAAAACCAACTCAATAATTGAGTCCTATATTAAGGACCAGAAGAGTAAAATGAACTTTTATGACGATATTAAAACAATCTCATCAATATGTTAATTTATAATGTACCAATCAACAAGAATTTATTCAATTGGTAAGGAATAGACTCATAACTCACAAGATTAACAATTTGAATTCCATTGTTAATACAAAAATTTTGTTGGTGAATGATCTATAAATATGTATTATGTTTAGGTGTAAACCAAATTATATTTTTAAAAATAATTTTATAGCATATGAAATAAATATGTAAAAAAAATGTCTCAACTTATGTGAAAAATACTTTTTAAAAATATTTTTGGAGAAAACTGAATACCCCTAATTAAAAACACGGATGAAACACGAAAAACTTTTTAAATAGTTCATCCATTCACGTAGGAATTATTCTGTGACATAAACACACATAACCAAAAATTCTATTGAAATTTGATGCTGATATGGTCCAACTCTAACTTTTTATCTTTAAAATATTTTAAAGAAGCCACCAGATTGTTAAACCGATCAATACTTAATGTATTTTAAATTCAGCAGTCCAAAGTAACACAATACATAAAAGCTGAAAAATATCATGAATTGGTTTTGCAACTTAATGGCATGAAAATTCTCCCGTAACTCTGAGATGCTTAATTTTGTTTATATAGTAATTAAAAAGAATTAATATTAGACATTCTTTAGGAATAGAATCGGATTTGTTCATCATGAACATGTGTTTTCCTGTTTTCACTTTACCATCTTTCCCCTTGGAATGCTAAGAATTGTGTGACGTCGAGGCGACGAAGGCAATGGAATATACGGAGTTCACATTTGATGGCGCCTTCAAACTCAGCCTCTTCTCCAACGTGTCGCTGCGTGCAACATCCAAACGAGGCTCTGAAATTCCCACACAAAAGTAATGCTCTTCACATACACACCACAATTTGCCCTTCTTTTTTTTTTTTTTTCCTTTTTGGACAAGGGCTGAAGGGAAAACCATTAACGTAGGCGGTATCCAAACACCACAATTTGCTCATTGTTTTTAGTATTTGATATTAACGCGATTCTAAATATAAAATTTTTTATCTTTAATATAAGAGTTAGTTTAAAATTTAATTTATTTTAAATATAAAATTTTAATCACTTTATTTCTAATATTTATCTATTCTATCTCCAAATAATCTTTATAATTATTACACATATTAAGAAGTTTTTACGAAAAGAGTCATTTCAATGCAAGATTGATGGGAATATTTTATAGAGGAGGACATTCATTTATTATAAAAAAAACTAATCTAACTTATTTTATTGATTTTCACAAGTTAATTATTTAGTTTTTATACTAAAGATTGAGTTTGTAATGCAACTTATACTATAAATTAGATCTCATATTTAAAAACAAACGTAGCATTACAGTTTAAACTTGTTCAAAATTATTATTGATTCTTGACTACAAAGATTGAGTGTTTAATCTACTAACAGCCGGAAAATGTTGTGAAATTATTCAAACTATAAATTCAATAATGATTAAAATTGTCTAATATTAAATGTTTTGAAGTTATTCTTTTCCTGTGCACTTAACTTAAATGGCAAGAGAATACATTCGGGTATCCGACAGGACCGGCACACGCGGGTTTCAAGATGGAGCCACAATTCAGAGAATAGAATGAGAGAATTTTCCTTATTCATTGTAAAGAGGAGGATGGCATTCCCGCATAGGATAGGTCTTAGGTCACAATTTTCTAGCACAGAGAGTTGCAGGAATTGAATTCCATAATTGCAATAGAAGCTGCTAATCCTTCACCTCCACATTTGGTTTGATGACTTTTCCGGAGGGATATCATTAATAAAAGGAAAATATTCTAATCTCTTTTATGTTTTGGCTTTATTACAGTAACCTTTTTTCTATTTTAAAAATATACAGCCAAATTCAAACAGTAAAATTTGTTACAAATATTTCAAAAAGATGCCTTTTAATTAAAATTTGTATTTAAAAAGTGATTTACTATTTTACCCTTCATCATACTAAACTCCTAATTTTGACTAAAATTATTCTGAAGAATATTTCAAAAAAAAAAATTTCCTTCTCTTAATTTTAGTTTTTTTCTTAAAAATATTTATTTATTTATTTGGGACAAAAACTTAAATAACTTAATTAATGTAGACCTGACAAATTTGATTAATTCTTTAACTAAATTTATGATTAACTAAATATGTTTATAAATGTTTGTAAGAAAATTTTGTTTAAATATTTTAAATATTAAATATAAATTATTTATATAATTCTTTAAGCTTGCATCATTTATATTATATGATAAAAAATGCATCTGGAATTTTTTAACCATTTAAAAGAAACCTAAATAAATAGATTTGAATTGGTGCGATGAAAAATTAAAATTATAAAAGTTTATAATATAATCAAAATTAATGAATTTTATGACATATAAGAAGGGGTGAAAATATATGTATTAACATAATTATTGATTGTGTAAAAAAGTAGTTTTTTAGCACATATAATTACTTAGCATAAAAACAAATATAAATGTTCAAATAATTCTTATGTTAAGAGGGATATTTTAGTCAAAATAAAAGTTTAATAGTCAAATTTACTAGTTAACTAACGTCTAAATGAATGAAAATAAAATCCTAAATATATAAACAAAATTAGTGTAATACATATTTTAATTTTAAGAAAGATCTATATAATTTAGGCAAAACATGAGTAGTTAGTATATTTTACTCTATTAATTAATTATATTTTTATATTATTATTTATAATATTTAAGTTTTCTTTTTATTTGTTATTATTAATAATATTCTGTGTGCTAAGTATTGTTTTCCCTTTCAATCTCTCCCGCTCAAACCTGTACGCCTCCTTTAACTAAAACTACGTTCTTGACCACCTACCTGACAAGGGGAAAAAAATATTCTGCGGCATATGGCTGACAGTTCAATGCCACTTTAACTTTTCATACATCTAAGCTTTTTTTTTTTTTTTTTAGTACTGAAAAATTTAGAAGAGTTAGATTCTAAGAGTTTTCTAAAATCAACACAAGCCTCTAAACTCAAAAAACACTCACAGAAATAATTACAATCACACCTACTAATAAGATCGTCACATCTTTGCATAGCGACATAGGCAAATAATGTCATCTTACAACTTTAAATGAACTGAATTTGTCTATCAATTCACTCAGAATTTATAATATTACTTTATATACTGATTCAGCAACTTACGAGACAAAATTATTCCCATATTATTTTGGTCAAAACCAAGTTTTGACTAAATTCAACAAGCACACTTATCATTCTATCAAATTTAATGACATAGACGCCCATTTACGAGAAGATCCGAGACACAAGTCTCATACGACATTGACATCAAAACAGCGACTGTTCAAAGCTGCTCATACTTTCTTGAAATCAACAGGTAAATACCAAGTTGTTCGACAGGTTGCGAAACTAACGGCAGTAATCCAGAAGATTATTTGTAGTCTTTGGTCCCAAAGTTCTTGCACCAGAGCTGGGACGGGATTGGGCGAACAGGATGGTGTGGCCGTTGCTGAAAGAAAAATACATCATAATTAGCCAACATCCCCAAGTCACGGTATACGCAAAACGCAATACTCCCGTGTAACTGTTTGATCATAAGCATTGTCACGAGTCACAAGCAAGTCTACAGCATAGCATCACATAAGAACACGGGAAAATTAAATCTAAAGGCTGAGATGGTTAACCGTTAATTTAAAACTCAAAAGAATTCTAAAAATCATTATTATTTTCAATTTTCAATAGCTGATGAATTATTTAGGTTAAAATCAAATGGCATCATACAATCTATATAGCCAACCCAGCCTAGTAAGACAAGACTTTGTTGCTGATGCTGTTCCTGTATGCATATAGAGTGTTTAAAATTATAACCGTCCTGAAACTTGAACATATTTTAAAAGTCCTTTGACTTTACTATTTTAACATTTTGGTCCTTGGGTGTAATTTTCCCAAAGAATAAAGGACGACATGAAAATCTAAACGAGCCTTTTCCACCAGTGGCAAATTTCAGCAATCGAACAAAAGCATGCCAACCACCAATTAAATCAAAGCCGACCAAGGGGAATTTATCTAACATGCAGAAAAGCTAAACCAACATATCGCTTTGCATGCATTGGATTCTAAAATGTAGGGCACATAAAATTAGAATGGGGCTGAAACGGGAATATGCACCCTGCCAACAGCTTTTATGCATTATCTTAATCCCCAGTAATTGTAGGGTGATAAAGAGTTCTGTGAAGAAGCTACTTCTCTCCAATTTGGAAAAGAAATATCTGATGTCCAAAAGGCATCAAATAAATAAATTAAAAAAGCACTGAAAACATTTTATTACATAAAGGAAGGCATATGCTCGAAGCTAATTGCCAACCACACAGACTGTCACCGTAGCTTCCAACTCAAGCATAAGCTAAGACATGCGATGCCACCAATGCCAAGAGTGTATCCACTAACAGCAAAAACAAAAGAAATAAAATTAAAATAAATAATTGGAGAGAGAATTAATGATCAAGCAAAATTCTCTATCCGAGGGTGAGTGAAGGAATTTCACAACTTAAAAGTTGTCACTTCTGTCTCGAAACAGATTGCTGCAGAAGAGCTGCGGGAATGATATTCAGTGTAAGCCTGAGGAAGACTATTGTTTGTAGTAGAGACACAGAAATTGCATACTACATAGTCTTATTGAACTGTTTTAAAATACTATTAGTAATAAGTTAGTTAATTACATCAATGTTAGGGTTAAAATGGTATAGGTGTTCTTATCCAAAGATATTTCACAGTCCAAGAAATTTGCATAATAGCAAGCAGAACAGCAGAAACCTTTAATTGACAAAATGACATGTTCTTGTTTTTAAAAAGGGAATTTTGTCTTTTCTTTTTTGCTTTCTTCTCTTTTCTCGGATAGGAGAGTCATATAAAATTCCAGCATTCCACTAATTTGGAAGTGTATCTTCTGAGCTTTATCATTTTCCATGTATAAAGTTTGTCACATAAGAACTGATAAAACAATCCACTTGCACCGAATTTTTGCACCAAAATCCTCACAAGTTACAACCCAATCCATCTTGGTAATAGTGCTGGACTTTTCGGAAGGGGAACAAGAAGTTCAGGGTGAGAAGATCTACGGATCAAGACAAAATTGGCAGGGTGTGTAGAAAGAATTAGATTGGTGTGACATTTTTGTCAATTTATGATTTCCCTCAATTAAGCAAGGGGATAAAAGCTATGAAATGGAAATTATTCTAACAACTTAGCTAGTAGCCTAGTAAATTATACCCCATCACTTCAGACACTGAGTCAAATTAGCTTTCCACCGTCATAACCAGCACTTTCATGTTGGTGTCAACTATAATTTTCAAACACTCTTTGATCTTCATCAACGCACATTGCGGCAACCATAGAAAGCAACGACAATCTTATGACCTTTATGTCACTATTTGCCAATTTGGCCACCAACCCTGCCGAGCAAAGTCAGTCACTTCATCACCCACTATGAACACAATCTTAGGTCCATTGATTTACCCACACCTTCACAACTTCCATTGTTACGAAAACCATTTCTGCTACTTTCATCCCTTACCAATATGATAATAAATCAAACACAAAAATAGCCTACTGCCTGCATGATTTCACGGTCACCATCCATTCCCACAAGGATTATCAATGTAATTAAAGCCACTGAAGTCACAGATGCAAAGTGAATTCTTGAGGCAAGGCAATAAAAAGTCCTCTCTACTTCAACTTACTCAGTCAAAAGCCACTAGAAATCTTTTCCTTAATGGCTGTGCCATTAAGGAATGAGCCACTAAATTTTTTTTTTTGGGGGGTGGGGGGATGATATATAAACAAACAAACAACAAGCCTTATCCTACTAGGTGGGGTCGGCTACATGAATCACACGACGCCATCGTACTCTGTCAACAACTCAATCCTTAGATATGTTGTTGATTAGGAGGTCTCGTTCAATGACCTCATTCAGCGTTCTTCTCGGTCTTCCCCTGCCTCTTTTTATGGGACTCCATCTTGTTTGATCCACCCTCCTCACCGGGGCCTCCAAAGGCCTTCTCTGCACATGTCCAAACCATTTTAAGCGATTTTCAACCATTTTCTCTTGGATAGGTGCCACACCGACTCTTGTTCTGATCTTTTCATTTCGAATCCTATCTTTTCTTGTATGACCACACATCCATCTCAACATCCTCATTTCTGCTACTCTGACTGTGCTCTTGTTTTCCCTTTATTGCCCAACATTCACTACCATACATCATAGCTGGTCTTATAGCAGTCCGATAAAATTTTCTTTAAGTTTCTCAGGTACCTTCTTATCGCAAATAACTCCAGTAGCTTTCCTCCATTTTAACCAGCCAGCTTGTATTTTATGAGAAATGTCTCCATCAATTTTCCCATCCTCCTGTATAATGGATCCTAGGTATTTAAACTTTGATACTTGAGGGATTTTGCTCTCCCATCCTCACCTCCAAATCCCTATTACCTTGCCTCCCTCCAAAATCACAATGCATATATTCTGTTTTGTTCCTGCTCAAACAGAAACCTTTCGACTCCAAAGTCCTTCTCCATAACTCCAAACTAGTGTTAATCTCTTTTTTTGATTCCGCCATAAGAACTATATCATCCGCGAAGAGCATGGACTTAGGGATTCTTTCTTGAACAGGTTTAGTTAGAACATCCAAAACAATGTTGAACAAGTACGGGCTCAGAGAGGATCTCTGATGTAGGCCAATCTTAATAGGGAAGTCCTTTGTCTCTCCCCCAGGCGTCCTTACACTGGTAGTTGCCGCCTTATACATATCTTGTATGACTTTGATATACGCAACCCGTACACCTTTCGTTTTCAAAGCCTTCCATAATACTTCTCTTGGCACACATGATATATAAATAAGGAGTATGTAAATTTTAAATGTTGAATTACATAATTATGCAATTATCAAGTAACTTCGTATACGTCTAAAATTTATCAAAACAGTAAACTTTCAATATCAATATTAGAATAATCCGTGAGTAATTCAAGCTCATAACCAAAAGCGATATTGCTGCACTTTCCGACATCCTTTGCATTTGTGACACATAGATAAATGGGTTTTCATCACGGTTTATTTTAGGTTCTCACTTTTGGTTTGAAGCTTCCATTGTGCTAATTAAATTATAGTTTGAATGAACAAAAGTTACTGCATGCATCATTACTATTTTGATCAGTATGAACCTGACTTCCCTTAACTAATAGTAAAAGAATCATTAATCCAAAACTCTGACCGTTCCGTGAAATGCAGAAAATTTCTTCTCCAGATGATATTTTAAAAAATAAGTAAGGCTGCAAAATTTGTTATATATGTGGTTCGTAACACGATGTCGACAAGGAGGCACATAATCAAACAATTACCCGAACTAATATTAAACGAAAGAAAAATAAACAGGGCAGACCTCAAGCTCCGCAGATTTCATGGCGATGGGGATACAAATGAGGAAGACACCAAACATTGCAATGGCGGTATTGCGCTTCCAGTGCTTGGGGCGACAATAAGGGCCACCAGGCATACTCCAAACCTTGCTCCTGAAATCCCCATGCACCTCTCCGTGCCCGTGCCCGTGATCAGCTCCGCCTCCCATCGTCTCTGATTATCTTTCCTCTTTTCTTCGTCGAAAGGATCAGGAAAACGAAACAAACGAAACCCTAGTTAGCTACATACGCATTCATCAAATGTATCCACAATGTGATTCAATTAAAAAGTCGATGAGGAGTTAGGTTAATTAAAACTCGTACCAGGAGTGAATCACGCACAACTCGTAAAGGACGAGGCTTGGCACCCAGCTAAACGGGTAGAACCGCAGAAGGCAGATCGTGAGCAGGAGCTCAGTGAGCGGACAAATAGGAGAGGCAGACCTTTTTATTTTTCCTTTTTTTCTCCCTCCACGGCTCCAAGCGTCTTGTACAAAATTAAATCCTCAATATGGCATTCATCTTTATTTTTGGTTTTAATCTTATTCTTCCATTGCCCCTTTTTAATGCCTTCGTTGCCTAAAAAAGTATTAAAAATAATTGTAGAATGGGATTAAAAAGGTACTGAAAGATCGGATTTTTCCAAGGAAAAAAAAGGACAGATTCCCATGGTTTTGGAATATATATATATATATATATATATTCTTTTTAAGATTGGACTGAGTACTATTTTTTTCCATCTTAAATTGATTAATTAAGAGGGTATTTGGATAAAACTAAATCATAGTTTGAAAAATAAATTTTTGAAAAAAAAAATTATTTTTAAAAATTAATTTTCAGAAAATAAATTTTATAAAAAAATAATTATGATAAAGTATAGTATTTTGATAGTTGTTAATAGAAACACTTTTATCTCTACAAATTATTAAAAAGGACATAAGTTAATAGGATAATTATATAAAAGATAGATTATATAATACTACTTCTGGTCCTGATTATAAGAGCTAGTTGACTAATTTGAGAATATTAAGAAAATAATTTAAGTTAGTTATTTGTAATAAATAAGTGTCATCTTTCCTAAAATATCATTACTAATTAAGTGTATTGGTTAAAACTATCATTATTAGAATGACTATCTTAGAAAAAAAATACATAAATGTAAGAGACAAAGTGGATTGGGGTTTTATATTTAGAACCAAAATAAAAGTCAAACAAGGTCTTATATTAAGGACCAGAGGTAGTATATTTTTATTTGAAGCAATAAATTTGTTAATAATATATTTTTCGCCAACATAATAAATAATATATAAAAATATAATTAATAAATAATTAATATGTATATATGTATTTATAAAATATAAAATTAAATATGTTTTTAGAAAAATGGTTATTTATTTAACCAATAGAAAAATATTATTTTATCTCAAAGATTTTATACATAAAATCTCATGATACTTTTTCTTGAAGAGAAAAAACGAAGCTTTAAAATGTGATGGATACTTTTGTCCAAATATCATTGGCCAACTTGTGACAAGAGATAATTATTGCTCCACTAACCATGTTTTCACCCTCAAAAGTGAAAAATGTTAGCTTAACTATAATTTAGGAGGTCAAAACTATGGTTTTGAGTCAAACAAAAAGTTTTGTGAAAAATTAGAGTGTTTGGATGATTTTTGGATCAAATCATGATTTAGGACCCACTTCTTATCAGTTTGCCAAATACTCCTTAAGTTTTGAGGATAAGAAAAAATTCAGTTAGTTTTGGTTTTAAAAACAAGCTCACCCACCATCAAACACAACCTCACAGGTGACAAAATCTAAAGAAAGATCCTTAGTTTGTGCTGACTGCCTCGTGTACTCAAAGAAAGAGCTACATAGTTGACCAAAAAACAAAGAATAAGAGTTAAATAATTAATTTAAGAATACTATAAAAATTGATTAAGTTAGTTATTTGTGATAAATATGCCTTAATTTCACTAAATCACCACCTTTCATCATGTCATGTGTATTAGATCTATCTATTGATTGGGAGACCCCTTAATATGTAAAATTATTAAGTATACTTTAGGTAAAAATTTATAAATTTGAGAAGTAAAGCAGATAAAAATCTTATATTACTTCTTATCTTTGATATAAGAACTCATTTAGCTTTTATTTTGATTATAAATATAAGATTCTAATATATTTTGTCTCTTATATTTATCTTTTTTTTTTTAAGGTAGTTCTTGTGATAATGGTAGTTCTAATCAATACATTTGATTAATAATGATATTTTAGGAATAACAACATATATTTATTACAAATAACTAACTTAACTAGTTTTTTTTAATCTACTCAAATTAGTCAACTGGCTCTTATATTAAGAATCGAAGGTAGTATTTTAGAACCAAAATAAATAATAGGGTAAAGTATATGTTTAGTCATTTATATTTGTCTCAAATTTTATTTTATTTAACCCCTTAAATTTATAAAGTTTACTTTTAATCCTTCAACCTTATAATTTCATCTCATGAAAAATGTTGACTAATCAAATTTAAATGATGAATGTGTAAGTAAATACTTACAAAGCATTCTTAAAAACAGAGTTGTATTCATTTTTTTTTTAATTTACACGATTCAAAATATAAAAATATTGTATTAAAAAAAATTAAAAGCAAGCATATTATGTTAGTGTTTAATTGTCCATGTCCTGGCACCTATACCCACCTCTTGAATTTAATGAGTTACTGTGATCCTAGTTATAAAATCTTGTTTATAGTCTACATATAAAGTCTTATAATTAGGACTGGAAGTAGTATTATTTTTCGTTAGATAAAACTGTATTAATATTGAAGGACTAAAAATACACTTTATAAACTTAAGAGATTAAAATAAGACTAAAGCCTAATAATACTGCCTTTCAATTTTGCCTGATCGAAATCATGAGAGAGATATCATAAAAAACGGCCCGCTCAAAATTTATTTTGTAATTTAATAATTGATATCAGCATTTTTTTTTCCCCTTACAGATCCACAAATGATACGAATAATAGATAGATTAGCCTTTGTTCATTTCTATAGAAGGGTAACGCCCCACTCATGCTAACCATGTAGCAACATTTGACACCTCTTTTGCTTCCCTATTTAGCTTCAGACGCAAGTGTCAATCTAACCCCTTCTTCGAACGGAATTGGATGAATTTTCAGGGTCTGGACCAATCTACTTATATCCATGGATATGTCAGCTGGGGACCTGACTCCACGATCAACCTGAAAAATAAGGGGAACAACATATAAACATGAAATCTCAAGAAAGCGCATTCCAGAAAGTCTCACAGAATAAAGAATAGAACTCAGGTACAAGTTGACCGCTTGCAATCAGCCTTCATAAAAATATGACCAGCAGGCAGTAGATACGTTTATTAGGGAAAAAAATTATTGTTGCCGCATTTCAGAAAACAATGGCGAATTCCTATAGAATTTCACATAAATCTGTTTCTAATAAATAAAGATGCAACTTTGATACATCCCCTTCACCCATATAAGAATTTTTCTCTTCCACTTTCTGACCTTGACAAGAAAGTCGAGAGAAGAAAATTCATGACGGGCAAAAATGTTCTCAAATGCCTAACGAAGGAAGTGGACACCTTCTTGATATGAAGACATGGAATGAGGACAGAATTATGATCAAGGCATAAGAAAAGGAGAGGTCAATGATAAGCACACCGGTAATGCAAATAAACAAAGATATTTAATTTAACAATTCTGCATCACATGTACGCCATAGTCGTTCCATCAAATAAATACAATACATACCGACGATGCAGACACTGGTTGGAGTAATGAGGTGTCATATCCCCTAAATTGTGCGACAGCCTCAGCCATTTGAACACGTGATACCCTATCAGGCCCACCAGCATTAAGTACCAGTTGCATTTGCTTGCCCTCTGCAGCAAGAATCAGAAATGCCACATTCATGAACACAGATAAGAGATGCCTCGCCTCCTAAAACTAGAATAAACTACACGAGAAAGTGGAAGAGTAAGAAACAGAAACGTGACAGAATCTGAAAGAGCTTAAGGAAAGGGCAAAAGTGCGAACAGATGTTACGCAGTGAGTTTTACAAAATACTATAAAATGTCAGACCTGAGTTTCAGCCATGTAGGGGAAAAAAATTCACGAAAAACAAAAACATTATGTCGAAAATTAGGTTGTTATATGCCAAATGACGGGAAAAAAACTCTGCAATATACTGTATGTCAAATCAATAAGGCATAAATACTAAAGTTCTACCTGATATCCATTGGTTTGTCAGAGCTAGAACAATAGCCACGAGATCCTTAACATAGATGGGACAACGGAACTCATCATGAAAGAAATTCACTTTCTCTCCTTTGGACAGGACACCATCCATCCACTACATCAGTTAAATATGATGTATAAATAACACATCAAGGCATCATAAATTTCCTCATAGACATGTCATTCATAGGAACATGCACCCATGGCTCCAGCAATTTCAAGTACCAGCATAACGCCGAAACCTTGAGCTCTGTAATCTTCCATAGAGAAAAAATGCCACAGGAAAACCAAAAAAGGCCAGAAATTGACAAGCATTCGGTTTTTCATATTTTTCATCCGTTAGCCAGAGGCCGGAAGCAATAGTCAGCCAACACAGAATAGAATAGAAAGTCCATACACAGTGCATGCACCTGAATAGGAAGAGATTTTGGAACTGGTGAGATCGTCTGTGGCCCATAGATGATACTGCTTCTCAAAATAGCAAAGTTGGAACACTGTTCTATGATGAATTTTTCTGCTTCCACTTTAGTTTTTCCATAAACATTTACTGGAACAGCAACGTCATCCTCCTTGTAAAAGGACTTCTCCCCTTCATAAACTGACAAGGAGAAACATCAATCACGATCTAGTAAAAAAGCAAAGTGTAAACGGATTACAGGAACAATATGTGAATTATGTACAAAAGCCTAGCAATGAAGATGATCTTTTATCCTAATATAACAAACAGATAGAAACAAACCATATGCACATGTTATTATTAAAATTTCCCCCACAGAAATGACAATAAAAGCTAAGAACAATAAACCTTAACAACAGAAGAGAGAACTGAGCGGAGGCGGGAGGCGGGAACATTAATATTCTATCTATTTCCTTTATTCACTCCCATTTCTTAGCATATGCAGCTGATGAAATGAGAATCATTTGCAGAAATGCAACCCCACTCTTCAAAAGTAATTTTGGTAGGAATTATTATTCCTAGGAGCATTAGCAACACTTGTGGTAGAAATCCCACTTGCTTCTACAAGCTTGGTTAGTTGACAAGCATACAGAAAACAGGTTCAACAGATTTAAGCAATACGATCTAAAAGAATCCCTAGTAAAACAATTCAAAGACATGAGAGCTTTTGCCAGGAACTCTAGCACTGTCCAAGCAGAATTTATTCTGTAATGGGAGCACTCACTTCATTCGTATTGACATTTGCAGAATATAAATCAGAACAAAGATATTACTTTAGCAAATTCTAGGAAAGTCCATTGTTGTTCAGTGAGTTTCAATTGAGCTAAAACTTCCATATGTTTATTATTTAACAGATTTCCACATCTGACGTCACCTTTCAGCTTACTCAGCCATGTTAAAGTTTGCTTACCTTGATCGGTGGACAAATGAATGAGAAGTGTACTTTTCTCGTTAAAGCGCTGCAACCATTTAACAAGAGATGATGGCACGTTGATGGCAAGAGCAGCATCAGCATCATGTTCACATGCACGAGGCACTGAGATGGCAGCACAGTTGACAACCACATCAGGCTGCCATTAGGGAAACAATTAGAGAAACAAATTGTGAGTAGTGGAAAGAAACAGAATTGTACATACCATAAGAATAACGCATGAATAGTCATCCTTGTTTATTTCCCTATTTGTTTTTATACAAAGCATGCATCACCCTTGAGAGATATATATAGTGGGATGAAAGATTGATGGTTGTGTGATTGGTTGTATAATACTCAATATTTTACGAGTATTCATAATCCACTCGATGAAACAACTATCCAGATGAGAACATGCTCCTCAAAGCCAGGATGACAAAGGGAAGAGACTAATTGTTAATCCAGGACTGATGCTACTACGGCCCCACCCAAAAAAAAGAAAATTGCACCTGAGAACATGTAAGCAATATAGAGAAAGTACATTAATTAGACCACTTAAATTAAACAGAACACGAGACCAAGCACAAGGACACAGAAAGGAACCACTTTCAGCTGTTGAGTGGGTGTTGACAACTAAACCTGACCAAATGTCTTTGAAATGGCTTCGAATCCGCTTCCCGATTTCAAATCTACAGGGAAAGCAAGTGAACCAGAAATGGCGTCCAACAAAACTTGAGGTGGTGGAGAGGAGCGGTGGGTGAATGCCAGATCATATGGTCTTCCAGTGATATCTGCATAGCCCTGTAATAGATGCTGACCCAAATATCCAGTGCCTCCGACTATGAGGACCTTCTTCTTACTCATCTTCCTCGAATCTCAATCACTGAAAATTTTGTTGGGGGAAATTTCTTTACATAACGGAGAGCTTTCAATCATTATTACAAGTTTGTCCAATGTTTCCCACGAGTCATGGGGATTGCTGTCAGAAAAGGTCCAACAGGGATCAATTTTCGAATAACTGTCCTGAAATAAAAGAAAAAATAATACGAAATAGTATTAAAATTACAAAATTAGATAAATAAATAATAATTAATTAATATAGAGACCAGTACAATAATTTTTTTTATAAATAATAAATAACTTGAATAATAAGCCAACAGTAAATATTAAATAAGCATCTAATAATAAAAAGTCGCCGATATATTTTATATGCTTACAAAAAATTTTAGCTTAATTTGATTTTGATTAATAAGAAAATCACGGATATTACAAACTTAATAAAAGTTATATACTTTTTATTCTTGAAATATATATGATATGATTGAAATAGTAAGAAGTCTCATTCCGATAAAGAGAAGAACACAAGCTAATACTTCCGATTTGATAAAGATTAGTTTTAAATCCAAAATGATTTGAGAATACTCTAAATTATATCAAAAACAAATCTCTTGATATAAATCAAAATATTATTTTTATTTTTTGGCCAAAATTTTAAAATTTTTATTGAATGTAGTATTTATAACTCATTTATATAAATCATTACCATGGGAACCACCACAGGCTGATTTTTAAGGCGTGAATTATCACCCAGCGACTGCATCTCCTTATCCCACTTGTAGTTCAGCTGCTCATAATCTAGCTCAAGACATTTAGATTCTTTTTTTTTTTTTGGACTGACAAGACATTTAGATTCTGATCCTACCACCAATGCTACCAGTCGCATCTGCTAATGGAACGTGTTTTTTTTTTTTTAAAAAAACATAAGCGTGCTTGCTTTTGTTTATCGTTCGAAGGACGTGCAATAGACCTATAAATTAAATCCTATAATTCATTTGTTGTGGTAGATAGTCGAGTTTAACGTGACTTTCGGAAACTGAATGGTTGAAGAAAATACCGGGGGCAAAAAAAAAAAACACTCATCGGATTCCAGGTTCAAAGAAGGTCCTGATGGATCATGCTGCAACTGTATCAGAACATAAGTTTATAACTATGATTTCATATTTGGTTAATGCATCTCATCCATCATCCACAATCCAGTTCAGCCACCGTTTTGTAAAGGGCATCATCATTTGAAGATCGAACTTTCGACCAGAGTCAAACCAATCATATACATGCCTACAGATATAAGACACGATCTATACAGAAATGTCAAAGGTAGTAGCAAATAAAGTACAAATAATTTGAAATTCCAGCCCAACGAACCAATGGAATCTTGATTCAGCTGCTGTCCGGGGGAGCATATGACTTCTCAAAATGCTGCTCAAGTCTCTGTTCATGAACATAGAAGGAAGAAAAGGCAGTTAAAGTATAAACGATAATACTAAAGTATCGGACATAGATGCCACCAGTTATGCAGCAGCTCGGGTGGGATTATAAAAATATCGGGTGCATGTTACTAATGCCATGATTAATAGCGTTGGACTGACCTACTGATTAATTCGTCCACCAAAATAAGTATGAATGAGTCAATCCTAATTTGGTTCGTCGCTAATGGGGTCATTCTCAGGTTGTTTCTTGAGAAAGTAAAAGTAAAATAAAATAAATCAGTCTTCCAAGCATAAGTTTCTGGTCTAGCGTCCTACAGTCCATGTGCTTCTCCCAAACATTGATGGAGATCACGAAAATATACGAGATGCCAACTCTCCATTCAATAGTATGAGCCAGTCTATGAGGTATTTAGGTGGATTGCTTCTCTCACCATAGTAATTAGCTTTTGAGAGTAAGTTCCCCATCTCACTTCGGCATCCCTCATTATCAATTTGTACTAAAGCTGGTGATTAGCAATTCTGGAGAAGTCTCCATATGGAGGGTTTTGACCAGCACGGGAGCCAAATGAAATGTTACAAAATGTAGTCGATGGTCAAATGCTATTAGCATTAATGATACTGGTCACTCATTTGATCGATTTTGGTAGCAGCATATTAACTAGGACTAGAAGGGAGACAATATCTTGTGAGGAATACCGGTTAGTTTGTTTTCCTTCAGAGGATCAACTTGAGAAAGACCATTCAAATGAGGAACCAAAATAGAAATTTATTCTTGTAAGCATACTCAAACAAAAACATAATTAATCCACGAGAGAGAGAAGATTAATCCATCGACCACATCGTGAAATTTGAGTCAATGATTGATCATAAAATAGAATTATGAAAACTTCCAAGGAAATAAAATTTCCAAAATGAAACTAATAAAATCTGTTTTCCTTATGTTGAAATATGGTATCTGCAATGAAAGGTATTGGGGAAGAAATAAGCATATAATGACTTAAATATAAATCCCCATGCCCAAGTAAAATAACATACAGACCTTTACTGTTCTATTGATTTCTTCAAGTCTATTAAGCACCAATCTACTGGGTGCCCTTCGCTCTCGAGAAGCAGACTGCGGTGGGCTCATCATCTGTATTACGTGGAAGGGTACAAATCAATTGGATTTTCCATTAATATAAGCAATGCATGTGATATTAGTTCAATCTGAAAATAATTTAAATATAAAAAATATCATAATTTAAAAAGAAAAGAAAACAAATTCTGAGCTATCATCTAATCATGAAGTCACAAACTTCATAAGCTGCTTCGACAATTTAACTAAATAATAGGAAAAATAATCTATTGTCTTCCAATACTTTGCTTCCAAGTTTTGAGTTGTTTGACACCGTAATAGTGCCTCAAGATCTGTTGTGTCCCAGCTCTTGTTCTCCTAATAATCTGGATTTCTCCCCAGGAAATAGATCTAGATATGCTTTACATTTCAACATTTTATTAATACAATAATCCAACTATTTCCCAATTCAGTCAATCTATCCAGGCATGAAAGTGATGATAATTCGATTAGGGAAGAGAATGCCTTGTGGTAAGGTGTACGGTGACGGATTGCCCTCCATCTGGACTATTTTCAGTAATAAGTGATAACCTTTCTGCGTCGCAAGAACCAAAGCAGGGACAGGTTTGTCCATGAATTGGCAAGAGAAAGTAATGATCAATACTATTGGATCATAGGTCATGGGCCACAATAATAAAAGTAGTCTCCCCACAAAGCCAGACAACTTTACCCAAATATTAGTCAAACATACACAACAATAAAGCCGCTTTCTTTTAACACACTAATAGTCTAATATAGATTCTTGTTGCGAAAGTATAATAGACCACGGTTTATTCTATTCAAGCTCATCAATTTTAAGCTTAGAATGGTTCTGAATCAATAAATTCAAAATAGGATACAATGTATCTATGTATTAGATCATCTAGAGCAAAATTCCCAATTTGCATTGTCTAATCTGAACTCTCAAAACAGGTTGTGCATCTTCTTCTAATTAGACTTCTTTAACTCAAACAACTTGCAAAAGACTTCAACTTTGCTTCCTTAAAGGGCCACTTAATGATTACAAAGCCAGTACATCTCTAAGGGGATGATATGGACAACAACAAACTGGTCAGCCAAAACGGAGGTTGGGGGGGGGGGGGGAATATAAGAAGTTACAAAATACTGGAGCTTTACTTTTTCACAAGATTTTTACCGTTTTGGTGATAACACCATTCTTTCAAAATCATTTCTTGTATGACTCTTTGAACAAAAAGTTGTATCATTTTCTCATTTATTTCCTTCCGTGTCTTTAGTTATATTGCTGGGATTTTATTTTTCCAGGGTTCTAGGATCCTGGGTGATACATCAGTAGAACAAGTTTGTCAAACAGGTGAATTAGGCATGCAAGTAGGTCTGCCATTACCTTCAGAGATTTAGATGGTGATCTCAAAACAACTGATCCCTCAGTCAATGTTTCCACATCTACGCTCTGAACAGTTGCTTTCCAACTTGTTCTTCCATCTTGTGAGTTATTTGAAGCTGCTGTTATGATCACCTGCAAGTTAACTGCAATATTTTGAGAAGATGATCTTGTTCATCCTCTGGTTGAAGTATGATGCCACATAATGTAATAATAATCAATACAACATAATGTGATAGGCCCTATTTAGCAAAGACAATGAATATAACTAAGTCAGTCATAAACATATTATATATATTAAAAGAGAAATCATATTGAGAAACATATCTTAATTAACCTTCTTCAATATATCAGGGTCAGAAACCCCTTGAACCAGAAGTTCATCAACAGGTGCAGCTTTTCCATGTGCTATACTTTCAACTCGAAAAGTATGAACTCCATACTTAGACTGCAGGCAACCTGGTATAAGCAGAGAGGTGTTCCGGTTAAAGGAAGTATATCAGTAGACACCACAGAACAGCAAATAGGTGATGTTAGAAGCACATGCTTCATTATCTCTTTTCACTCGACTTTTGTGTTCTTTGGCCAATAAAACCTCTCTTCTTCTGAAAGGTTTTCAAAAGAAAATTTTATATAGGTAAACCATTGACATAAATTTTGAAGCAACTATAGGACAACCTTATGAATTGTTAATCTGAGTTAGATTTCAAATATATAATTGAGAAAAGCATTTATAAAGTCCTTCCAATCAGACCACAAAGACAAAAAGCTTGTGCATAACGAGCTCCATAGGATTCTTTGCAGTATGGAAGATGATGAAAATTATAAACAAATGTCTCAAATAACAAAACCAGAATATAAATGCAAATTATTTTGTGTATGAAAACATCATCTTTCATCCATTTGAAATAGGATGCAATAAGTCCTGTATCAGTACCTTGCTCAATAATAATATCGATCACCAAAGCAAGAGGCACGTGCTTCTCAATTGTAACAATACCCCAAAAGGGTATGAAGGAAGGCCTTGACACCTTGATCAAGGAAGAAAAGGAAAAGCAAATCACTTCACTGTCGCTCTTCAGTCTAGGAAATCATATAAAGCATCATGATCATACAGAAGTTCTGATATACCTTGTAAACTATTTCAGTAGGGGTAACATACAATTCACGAGAAGATAAATCCTTTTGAAGCACATATCTCCTAAAGGGCAGGTAAAGCAACATAATAAGTCCCACACCCCAAGCTAAAATCAGCAACAGCGATACAGAGAGCCATATGACAGTGTCATATTGAACGCTATTTCCCGCAAGTTCTTGAAAGGAAGCTGTATAAATGATTTGTTCCACAGAGTCTTCGTCTTCATCATCACTTAGTTCAGAGGTTGGATCTACAACTATCTGATCTTTCAATGACTTCATTTCTGATAGAGCATCAGCGTGACCTATGAACATCCTTTCAAATGCTAACCAGTTGAGACAGGTAAAAACTTAAGAAGGTTAACAAATTGGAATCAACTGGGACTTCAATGCTTGGCAACACATGAACATGCACATATAAAACCAGACACTCAGCAGTATTTCCAAATGTTTTACATATTTGGAGGGGGGGAAAAAGCAATAAGTTATTCCGCCCATTGAATTCCAATTAACAACTTAAAATAGCAAAACAGGAAAATTTCTTGTGCAGCCTCACCTTCCCACATCTATGGATCCTTCTGACGCTTAAAAAAAAAAAATTGTGATAATGAGCAATTAAAAAAAAAAAAACTTGCAGTATGAAGAGCGGACACTGACTTGTGAGTACAGATAAACTGAGCCTACAGAAGAATGCCTGTGCTATGACGGAATAGAGATCAGTTTGGCACGCGAGAAAACTTGACGACAGACGAAACAAGCCTCAAAATCATACATTAATTAAGAACTAGCACTTTGTCGCATGCTCTGCCTCCCAAATACAATTGAATTAATGAAATTTTTCTTGCCAAAAAAGAGCAGCAATGACAGTACACTTTCGAGAACATCCCATAGAAAATATAAGGAAAAGAGAACAAAACCTGAAAGAAAGTGGTAATATCTACCTCGTAATTCTCAGAATACGCGAAGCTGAGGTCGATGGCGCAATGAATATGGATGGCAGTTAGGGAAGCAAAACTAGCAAAGTCGTTTCAGTGGGTTTCGTTCTTCTCTTCTCTTTTGAAATAGTGGACTATAGAGAAATGCCTAGTTCCATGTGAAGACGAAAGAGGCCGAGATGAATTGACACCAAACATTCAAAGGTACATCGAACTTCACTCTGAAATTTTTGGTCAGATTACACTGCAGCTTGAGAATTATATAATTATATATCTAAGATTACACACCTCCGGACTCGTGTCCTAGCCTCCTAGGTTGGGCCAAGCGTGTTTTTTAATTACTTTTTGTAACTAGTGGAGTCTAAAAAGGTTTTTTGGGCAATACTAAGGTTTAAGGTTAAAATCTTTATAATGACTCTTAAAATCAGGTCCAAAAAAAAAAGACTCCTGAACAACTTCAAAAGAAAATAATAAAAAACTGAATAAAACAAGGGGAAACCCTATTTTAAGTAGACTTTTAAAAAATTTTAGTTTTCCTCCCCCCAAAGATTGCAGCTGGATAAAGGAATTCAAAAACACCCGGGAGTAACTTTGCTTGTAAAACATTTTAAATAAATTATGGCATGAATTTAAAGTTCTCACCTCTTAAAGCTGTTTTTTCTTTCTTTCTTTTTCTTTTTTCTTTTTTTAGAAATACAGAACGTTCTCGCTCTGGATTTATTTCATGATCAGGAGAATAGATTAGTGCACTTAAAATCTGCCCCATAAAGTAAATTACTTCAATTCATAAATTTTTAAGAGGAACTCATTCCTCACTTTACTTTTCATATATCCATTTCTTCCTAACTTAATTTACTTTGCTTTAGTACACCTCCAACATGCATCTTTCTAAGAATATATCTCCCCTTCAAATCAATGAGCCTATGCCTTCATGTGTTCCCATCGTTTAATTTTAGGAAACATTTGAACTAAACCTTAATATGGAGAAAAGTAAAAGAAGGTTTAAAAAAAAACAAAGAAAAGAAAAGAAAAGAGCCACCTATCATCAATTGCTGCAACAACATGAACTGCTGGGTTATCATTACTCAAGTAATGGAATACGGGTCTATAATATCATGGATAAATCATATAAAGATTATATATATATATATATATATATATGAGCCCTTTTTGGGAGAAAATCATACAAAGAAATAGATAAACTCATCGCAAGGTTTGATTGAGATTTTGTAGCACTCTTAAAAAGAATGTTAATGTCGCATTGGAATCTGTTAAATGCCAAGAAAACTTTAGATATTATCAACAGGACTAATTTAGAAAAAGCTAATAAATATGAAAAATAAGTATTATATTTAGTATTAAAATCAACTCAACAATTTATATATTAAGAATCAAAGGAGTATTAAAAGAAAATATAGGTAAAAGTTTCGCATGAAATAATATTTTGACCAGCTCATTTAGACTTTAAGTTGGCGAAGGCGACGAGTTATTTGCTAGATGATATTAATTAATAGTTTTATACTTGAAACTCGCGTAGCTATATACGCCTCTAATTCATTTCCATTTCTGTGTAGTTTTCAGACCCCCGTGCATTGCATAAAAACACTTTTTTAAACCCAGATCAAGACTCGTACAAGAAAAAGCTCTCTCCCTCTATCTATATATATAGCACTTTCAGAAGTTATGTAAAATAAGATGTATTGTCGAAGGTGGTTTCTCGTCCTGAATTAATGAAAGCATGTTACGTACGTTTGAGCAACAAAACACTGGAATATACATACTTTGAAGAATTGAATGAAGTTTGAACTCGAACGGCCCACTGGTAATAATTGAGGATCATCGCTCAGCTTCTAATTGTAGAGAGTCAAGTTTCTGACTTCTGAGATCTAACACAACCTTCGATTCCTTCAAACAAATATGAAACCATGAGACAACATAAAGAACTTCCAATCCATTAATTAATGAACGAAACATGAAGCTAATGTATCCTTTGATGTTGCTAACGAATAAACATAAGCGGATGTATTCTTGGCTTTAATTTCATTTATAAATACATGTGAAGTAGACGTATTTTTTTATTTTATTAATGAATGAACATTGAATTATTGGATATATTAACAACTTAAATTTATTTATTTATTTGTAATACAATTTAATTGTTAGTCAAAGAATGAAGATGTTATGTGGACAAGAAAAAGAGACAAGCGGTCAGGAAATTGGAACCAAATAATACTTTCGGACAAGTCTCATGTCCTATGTCCTTGTTTAGATCTCTTAAGGATCATCTTACATAATTTTTTTTGTCATTATATATCACATAAATTGGACTTTTATTTTATACGAATATACTCTAAAGATGGATATTTATTTGATAATACTCCCTTCGTCCTTTATTACAAAATTCAAATTTTTGAATAGGTTTGTTCTTTTTTATAAAATCTCTCTTGAGTTTGTTTGAATATTTAATGTATTATTATCTATTTTACTCATAGTTTAATACATTTAATATATTCTCTTTTTTTATTTTTCTCACTATTACTCCATCATATCTATCCATTTATATATAGGGGTATATTTGTAAAAAAAATATTTATTACATATTAATTGTTTTAAATTAATTTTAACTGTTTTTTTAAACCGTGTAATTTAATTTAAGGATCTTATAATAAAAAACGTAGTATGTGATAAATTGAAAATTTTGAAGTTCAATTCATATTTATGCGCGCCAATCCCGAAAAGGACATAGCGTGCAAGACATTAATTATGATTTTATGTTTCTGTTTTAATATGAGACTGGTGTTAATTACATAGTCAGGGATTTGCATTAACATCAAATGAGATCTGAACTTTTTAATAAGCATATGACGTAGTTTTTTTATGGAAATTTCATTTCGATATTATTACATGTTTGGTCTACAATTCACTTTATGATTGAAATTTTATAACGCTAGAAGATATTTTTCACTCTCACGTGTTAAAATATTTATATGCTAAAAGAAAGCTAAAACACAAACTCTTCGTTTTTTTAATTAAATCACATTCAATCGGTACGACGAAAATTATAGATATAATAAAAATAATATAGACGAAAGTTGTTTGCAGGAAATAGCCAGCTCATTCATATATTGCTAGGCATACATAAGATTCCCCCCCCCCCCCCGATTTCCCTACCTGGTCTTATTTAATTGCTTCTAGCTAGTTAAACTCGAAGAGTTAATATCTCATCTTCGCGCCAAATTTGCTCCTCGGGGTTCTCCCATTCATTTGCCATATTCCAAAACAACACATCCTCGCACATATTACAGAAGAGTCCACAGCTTATTATCCTCGGCATTCTCAGCACCTCACCCACCAGAATGTCTGGCACTTGATGTTGAGAGAATACTGTGATGTTTTCTGGCCGATCGCCTCCAACAATGAAACTGTGCGACACATTCAGATCTTCCAGTTCTCCCAACTGAGCCACCGCGAAAACCAGAGCATCTTTGTTCACTCTTGTGGACTGAAGACTCAGTCTCTTAAGTTTGGGCACATACTTTATCAGTTTGAGCGCAATCTTCAACGAGAAATGGCAGGTTATCTTTAATTCACGAAAGCTTCTCCGGCAATATCTGCCTATGGCCTCAATAATGCTGCAAGCAATTTCGCTGTCTGTGATTGTGAACGACTCTAGCCCTTCCCAATTCTGCATCGCTTCTTTTATTCCTGCATCTGTGAGCTGCAGATGGCGTCCTGGTAGCACAAGTCGCCTCAGATTACCACTCCTACAACAAAAGACAGTATTTATATTATATCATTATAACACTTCCATAGTATATGTACGAGCTGCTCGGTCGAAGTGTTATCCATGAGAATCAAAGGAAGAATATGGGGGCGAGACGATCCACACGACAGATTTTGTAAGAATCTGTCATAGAAGTATCATTATTGTCAAGTGTAACATAGATATTTTGTTAAATAAGTTATATTGTTAAGAGTTAGTTACAGTTTGTTATGTAGATAGTCTCCGGCTCTCTAGCTCACTTTTGTATATATATTCTTTCCGATCAATAATAATATTAGCTCATTCATTTCCAATATCCAGTTTCATGGTATCTTGAGCCAAACACAAACCCTTTCTTGTCTTTTCCTATTCTCTCTCTCTCCTTCCTTTCGGTTTTCCCCTTCCTTGTTTCCTCCGCCCTTCCTTTTTTTTCGGTCGCTCTCCTCTCCTCCGATCGTCCATGGCGACCAACTCTGATCCATCAACCGATCAATCAAGCCCCTATTACATCCATCCAAGCGAAAATCCCGCTCTTGTCCTAGTCTCCCCGCCGCTTGACGGCTCCAATTACCACGGCTGGTCCCGTGCCATGACGATGGCTTTATTGTCGAAGAACAAGTTGAAATTTGTCGATGGTTCGATTTCTCGCCCCTCAGCTTCTAACAAGATTTTTCCAGCATGGGAACGGTGCAATAACTTGGTTCAAGGATGGTTAACTAAGTCACTCTCTCCCACGATTGCTCGAAGCACTCTCTGGTTTGACACGGCAACCGAAATCTGGAATGATCTCAAGTCGAGGTACTCTCAGTCTGATATATTCAGAATCGCCGAGCTTCAGGAAGAAATCTTTAGTCTCAAACAGGGGCCTCTCACTGTAAGTGAATACTACACTCGTCTCAAAATACTCTGGGATGAGCTCTCGAATATACGACCGATAAAATCCTGCACCTGTGGCTCCAATGAGAATGCTCAAACTCATCGCGAACAGGACTATGTCATCCGCTTCTTGAAGGGCCTAAACGAGCAATACGGTGGAGTCAAGTCACAAATTATGCTTCTGGATCCACTTCCGTCTATTAATCGGGTTTTCTTTAATTCTGCAACAAGAGAGAGAACTTCATCCCCCTCTATCAGTACCTGTCGATTCCAAAATTTTACTGGCTAAGGGACCACAGCGTCCCCCCGCTAAGTCCTCTGGCGGATCCACCAAACAATGTTCTTATTGTGGCAGACCGCGTCATACAGAGGAAACATGTTACAGGAAACATGGTTTCCCTCCAGGCTTTAAATTTCGATCCGGCTCTCCTACCGTGGTGAACAATCTTTCATCTCAAGAATCTGGTAATGTTCAAGATGCCAACTCTGCTAAGCCTCCCCTGCTGCCCACTCCTAATACTGCTTCCGTCTTGCCACATTTGTCCTCTGAGCAATATCAACGACTTCTGGCCTTGCTTGCTTCTCCTCAGCCTGCCTCCGTAAATCACCTCTCCACTTCCCCTCTCCCACTGGCTACAGGTAAATGCAATTCCTTTTCCTCCACTGCCATAGTTACTTGGATTATTGATTCAGGAGCTACTGACCATGTTTGTTCTTCTTTAGAATTTTTCACATCCTATCATTCTATTCCCCCTATTCAAGTTAGTTTACCCACCGGTTCTCATGCCACTTCCACCATATCTGGCACTGTTACAATTTCTTCATCTTTGGTTCTACATAATGTTCTGTTTCTCCCTAATTTTTCGTTTAACATACTCTCTGTTTCCCAGTTAACCACCTCCACTAATTGTTTCTTCTTCTTTTCATCTTCTTGGTGCCAGATACTCTTACTCAATCCTTTTCTGATGATTGGTTCAGCTAAACAAATTGAAGGGTTATACTTACTACATGCAGATATGTCTCATTCCCACTCTCGTTTTTCACCTCAGATTCATGCAACCACTACTTCCTCTGTTTCAGATAGTACTCTTTGGCATTTACGTCTAGGACATATTTCTCATTCTGCTCTTTCCATTTTACATAAACAATATAAGGATATTTCCTGTATTCCCCACCCCCTTCCATGTGATACTTGTCATTATGCCAAACAGAAACGTCTTTCATTTCCTGTACGCACAAGTTCTACTAATAATATTTTTGATTTGGTCCATGCGGATATTTGGGGACCATTTTCCATTCCTTCTGTTCATGGTCATAAATATTTTCTGACCCTTGTAGATGATTTTTCCCGTTATACTTGGACATTTTTGATGAAAACCAAATCTGAAACTCGCACCCACATCATTAATTTCTTTGCTTTGATTCAGAATCAATTTTCCACTTCCATTAAAATCCTTCGGTCTGACAATGGTACTGAATTTTGTATGACTGATTTTTATACATCAAAGGGTGTCATTCACCAGACTTCTTGTGTTTACACACCACAACAAAATGGCATTGTTGAACGAAAACATCAGCACATCTTAAATGTTGCTAGGGCTTTAATTTTTCAGTCCAACATTCCTTTATCATACTGGTCTTTTGCTGTTTCACATGCTACCTACATCATTAATCGTCTTCCTTCCCCTGTCCTTCATAACTTCACACCCTTTGATAAGCTTTTCAATGTACCTCCTTCCTATTCTCATTTCAAAGTGTTTGGATCACTTTGTTTTGCCTCCACAGTATCTCCTCATCGTTTGAAGTTTGATTCCAGAGCACACAAATGTATTTTTCTTGGATTCCCATCAACCTCCAAGGCCTTCATTTTACTAGACTTACACACCAACCAAATCTTTCAATCTAGGGATGTCATTTTTCATGAGCTTGTCTTCCCTTTCAAACCAGATTCTGTCACTTCTCCCCTCTCTCAACCTATTTTACCTTCTATCCAACCCTCTTCATCTCCTCCAGTTGATGATTGCTCCATTCCATCAACTTCTATCTCACTTCCAGCCCCTCACATGTCATCCTCCACCATGCCTTCGCAAGACACTCCATCCTTCTCTCAGCATCATTCTCCTCCTTCTCCTTCCCCTCCTTTTGACATGACATCATCTCATACTTCTGTTTCTCCACCAGTAAGAAGGTCCACTCGTTCCCATCACCCACCTACATATCTGCATGACTATCACTGTGCCCTTATTACTTCTAATCAATCATCAGAAAAGACTTCCATTCGTTATCCTTTATCATCTGTTTTATCATATTCTTGTCTTGCTCCTACCTATACACGTTTTGTCTTGGCTGTCTCCACCACATCTGATCCAACCACCTATAATCAAGCAGTAAAACATTCTCAGTGGAGGGATGCCATGAATGCAGAAATCTAAGCACTTGAACAGAACCACACTTGGGTTCTCACCTCTCTACCACCCGGTAAGAAGTCCATCGGTTGTAAATGGGTCTTTAAAACCAAGTATAAAGCCAATGGTGATATAGAACGACATAAGGCTCGTCTTGTTGCAAAGGGTTACACACAAACTGAAGGTTTAGACTATTTTGATACCTTTTCCCCAGTTGCAAAAATGACTACTTTACGTATGTTACTTGCCATTGCTTCTGCCAAAAATTGGTTTCTTCACCAGCTAGATGTGAATAATGCATTTCTTCATGGTGATCTCCATGAAGAGGTGTACATGGATCTTCCAAAAGGATTCATAGCCCCTAGATCTGATATGGTTTGTAAGTTGCAAAAATCATTATATGGCCTAAAACAAGCAAGTCGCCAGTGGTATTCAAAACTCTCTTCTGCCTTATTGTCTTATGGTTATCATCAATCCTCTTCTGATCATTCTCTCTTTTACAAAGCTACCAATGCTTCATCATTTACAGTTATCTTAGTCTATGTTGATGATCTTATTTTAGCTGGAAATGATATGAATGAGATCAACTCCATTAAGCTGCAACTTGATCAGGCTTTCACCATAAAAGACCTTGGTGAGCTTTGTTACTTCCTTGGAATTGAGCTGGCACGTTCCAAGCAGGGCATTTTTCTCTCACAAAGGAAATTTGCTCTGGAACTTCTTCAAGATACAGGATACTTGGCATCCAAACCAGCTTCAACTCCAATGGACCCTCATCTCAAGCTGTCCAAAGATAAAGGAGTACCACTGGAAAACTCTCAAGTCTACAGGAAGCTGATTGGGCGTTTGCAATACCTCACCACCACACGTCCCGACCTTAGCTTTGTTACTCAACAACTCAGCCAATACATGTCTGATCCAAGAGACATTCATCTTCAAGCTGCTCACAGGGTCCTACGATACATAAAAGCCTCTCCTGGTGCTGGTTTATTCCTTCCTTCAGATTCTGATTTAAAACTGAAAGGTTTCAGTGACTCTGATTGGGCTAGCTGCATCGATTCTAGGAGATCTGTGACTGGCTTTGCTATATTTCTGGGTTCATCTCTTATCTCCTGGAAAGCTAAAAAGCAAATGACAGTATCTCGCTCCTCCTCTGAGGCAGAGTACCGTGCTCTAGCTTCTACTACATGTGAACTTCAGTGGTTATTGTATCTTCTGAATGATTTCCATGTTTCACATCTTGCTGCTGCTCCATTATACTGTGACAATCAATCTGCTCTCCAGATTGCAGCTAATCCTACATTCCATGAGAGAACCAAGCATATTGAACTTGATTGTCACCTTGTTAGAGAAAAACTACAGGCTAAAGTCATCCATCTTCTTCCAGTCAAGTCTGCTGATCAACTGGCTGATGTCTTTACCAAGCCACTGCATCCCACACGCTTCCATGAACTCATTTCCAAGCTTGGCATGAAAAATATCCATGCTCAAGCTTGCGGGGGGGTGTCAAGTGTAACATAGATATTTTGTTAAATAAGTTATATTGTTAAGAGTTAGTTACAGTTTGTTATGTAGATAGTCTCCGGCTCTCTAGCTCACTTTTGTATATATATTCTTTCCGATCAATAATAATATTAGCTCATTCATTTCCAATATCCAGTTTCAATTATGAAGACTTAAGTATCATCACTATTGAAGTTCCCATACAACCAAGCAAGAATCTTACGAGAAAATAATGACATTTAGAGCATATCATCTTGTCACACTGCTGTCAACATGTACGGTTTACTGTTCTTCTATGCAGGTTAACTTTGCAGGAATGCAATATACAAGCGCGGCTTCAAAATAATGTCACACTAGAACCTGTTCGTGGCTTTTGAAATCTAAAGCTCTAAGCAGTTTGAAGAAAGTTATGAGAACATTACCTTCTAGCAATGTTAATGAAGATCCCATCGGTTAAAGGTAGACGAAAGTCGAATATCAGATAACCTAATTTGCCGCCACTGAGATATAAAACGTACATCAAGAACTGAATCATCCTGGGACTTGATTGGGTGAGTTGCAAAGGCAACTTGCTAAGATCTAACACTTTCCCATTCCAAAACACTTGGTCTTGGCAAACTTTTCGCCAGGAGCTGCACACCCAAGAAACAGCAACGAAATCCACCATATTGAGAGTCATGAAGATTCTCAACAACACTTCATAGTCCATTTCTTTCCAATCTCTCGAAGGTGATTTGTTGTTCTTCCCCATATTCAAATGCTGTCTGCAATCTTAAAAACAAAAAAATTGTTTCATCTACACATTCTCCATGGTCTTATTGGTTATACATTAATATATGGCTAATGAGTAAAAGCAAATAAAACCACATCGAAAATTTACTTAATGATATATAAAAGCAAACGAGACAGAAAAAGTAGCTATATAGTTGATCAATCATTGCCTCCAGGAAACTTCGCAACTCGAAATTATTGACGACATTACTTAAAATAATTTCTCAGCGAAGTTGATCGTCTTTGTTTTCTTGAAGTCTTTGTCCTAGTTTGAATTTCTAGCAGGAGAAACAAAAGAAATTATAGTAAAGCACTGATTTCGCAATTGCTTGTTTAGGGTTTTGGTATAAGTTGTTTCAAGTTATAACCTTTACCAAACACTGCGCGCGCGCGCGCGCGCGCGTGTGTAAGATGAGTGGAATTGATCTATCCCATCATCCCTTAGGTTTACTGCCAGAGATTAAGCAAAAGGAAAAAGGGTTAGGGCAAAGGATACCAATTAATAAGCTCCAAGAAATTAAAAAGCAATGGGTTCGGAAAAACTACGATTAGAGAACCCGTGAAGAGGGAACTGAACAAGAGTTTGATTAGCCAACTATAATTAAATCAGTTAATTCAATCAAATTTTATGGAATTCTTCACAGGGAAGAAATACATGGGGGGGAAAAGGCAGAACAGAAAATTCTTCAGAATTTATAAACTGACCTCACTACTATAAGAATTTCGGATTGATGGTCTCTTGTCTCCCTTGGATATGAAGATGCTGCAGAGAGAAAAACTGTGAAGCACCAATGAAGCAGATGTACTCTTATAAACTTCACAATAACCTCTACTCTGTTTGTAAAGTTCATGGATCTGTGACAATAAAGTAGCCGATTGGGCAAGTCATGCCCTGCTGTACTTTGTTTTTTTCTGAGGGAGGTTTATTGGGTCTACCACAGTGAGAATACAAATCTGGGAAATGATTCTCTCCGGTAAGAGATACTCAATCGTAACCTAAATGTGGATAAGAACGTAGCAAATTATTAAATATATAATATAATGAAACCCTTAAAAAGAGGTTATTGGCGTATTTTAACTCGCCTGGAGGAAACTGGAGAGAAACAAATTGGATAGAACCAAAAAAAAAAAAATCTTACAAACCATTTAACCCCTCTCTTAGTTTAAGATGAGATGTATATATTATTTATGACATATAAATTGGATTTGTTTATACATTTGAGATTATATATACATATATATATCATTTTGTCTTTTATAAAAAATACACACACACACACATATGATATATCTAGCTACGTTTTACCAGGAATCCATTTTTTTTAAAAAAAAAAATATATATATTGTGTTGAAATTCTATGAGTGAAAAAAATATATTAATGGTTAGGCCTTTGTTCTGCTTAAAGGTTTATCTGACTTGACAGCAATTAATCGGTATAGAATGCTATGGTAGTACCTTAGAAAATTGTAAACGTTTGTTGGCAAGAAAAGAAAGAAAATAGTAAGATTTAATAAAACGTTATACATCTATAAATTATAATATTAATATAAATTTCGCATTTATTATTACATATACCTTAATGGTGGGTATTACAGTAAGTTTTTGAGCTGGCCTGCTTGAGGATTAAAAAAAAAAAGGAAAATTTGTACACTTATTTAAAACAATGGAGAAGTACTGATTTCATCACCTTGTAAATTTAGGGTTTTGGTTTTAAGTTAATCAGTGCAATTATAGCTTTACTAAGCACATTATATATATTAATAAGACAAGATGAATTCCAACCCATTATCCTTGGACGATTTTGGAAACCCCCCCCCCGGGGGCGCCGGGGGGAACACTGGCTAGGAATTAGAAATCCAATAAGCTACGAATGGGTTTGCGGAAAAGAAGAGAACTCTCATGTTTGGAGAATTCATGAGGGAACAAGAAATAATTAACTACTCAACCCACAATAAGCTAAGAGAGTTCCAAGCTAGAACATTAATAAATTATGGAGTTCACCTTAATTAGCTTTTCTGATCCGTCTTGCTCTTGCGATTACTCGAAACTTGCCTGGACAAAACTTCAAGAGGGAATATAAGTTAACAAATGAAAAAAAAAGGGGTAAAGAAAACTCTAGAGAAGCAATAAGCATATTATAAGCATATATACCTCACTTCTGATCAGAACCAATTAGCTGTCTTTTCCTATTTCTGCTAGAAATGAAGGAGTCCCAGAGACAAAATCTGAAGCATATGTCAACGACATAGATGGAATACGAAACTGGTCTCCATTTATAACGTTCGTCAAGTGGGGACTTGAGTTAGTAGTATTTGTCTACTTCCACCTTATTCAAGCTTTTGCGTACATATAAATGCATCATAAATTGACACAGCTGAGCATTTAACAAAATAAATGTTGAGTAGACATACGTTATAGTATTACACACTTCGCTTTTGACATGTAAATTCCACAAAAGTAGAGCGGTCAGTAATTTTTTTTAATTTTTCCGTGAGATGAAATCGCTTTAATAATCTTCATTTCATGTTAAAATTCAAATACAAATTTTAAAAGCGCACTTATAGAAAAATATGAAAACTATTTGCGTTCTAAGTCTTAAAAAAAAAAGAAAGTAGTCTTAAATCCAAAGTGAGTTGAAAATATCCTTAATGATAGAAGATCCAATATATTTTGGATGTGATAATACAAAAATCTAGATGACTCAGCATTACTACATATGAAATAGTTTGCAAACCAAACAAAAAATAAGTAGATTTTTCTTTGGAAGCAATTGATGACAGCTGCGATAATTAAGGTTTAATTCGGGGTTTATCATCTACAGATATGTTCTGAAGGAAAAATTGTAACTGTTTGTTAAACAAAAAAAAAATATGCTACTTATTTTGCCATCTAACTTAATTGATAATGATACTACTTCATTTTATTACCATAACTCATAAGATGTGATAAATCTCAAAATTTGAATTTTTGGTCATGGAGCCATTGAACCTAACCTAAACCTTTCCCCATGAAGACGTGGTGGGATAGATTCATTTCAATTATATGTAGCTGTTTTGACTAGAATTTATTTGCATTGTCAGAGGCTCTGCATTAAAAATGAAGCATACACGGATTTAAATAAGTATTTTATTCTAATTATAGTGAGTGATTAACATAATTTACAAAATAGTTTCAACTTAAGTACATTGTCTCCTTGACTAAACAATAAGAACGCAATGAGATATCTATGACGCCGCATTTGAAAATATCAGAGATATATATATATATATATATATATATCAGATGTGGATTTATTTTGACACTATTACCTCTAATTGACTTGATTATTTGTTAGGTCCAAATTAATAGCCACTGAAGAGTAACTGAAGTGGTAAATTCAAGGACGAGGTATGAATGGAAATATACAATTTGAATTATCCTGATATAATTAAAAAAAAACCGGCAAAAAGGATAGAAGACTATAAATATTAGTAAAATTTCACTCAAACCGAAATGCTTGGGGTTGGTCTAAATAATTATTGAAGCTTTGTACCGCTAATAACGATATATCAATGAGTCTATCTCATCACATTTGACAATTTTTATCTTAAAAGTTGGTGAAGGTGCATGACGGGTTATTTGTTAGAGATATAACAATACACAAAATAATTTTTTTCCCCTTCGAATCGAAGAGTAGAGTATTGTGACAACATATATATTGATTTTTTTTTTGGAAATCTATTTTTATTGACTAGATATATAGTTGGGCCTTGGACATTGCACAAATACGATAAATAAGCTGCATAATATTATTGATGATTTGTTAACAGTGCAACTTTATACATAGTTCATAGTTTATAAGACCTAATTCTGAAGATTGTTACATGAAATTAAGTAAGCAGCTTGCTAGACATATGAATATAACGATATAAGATTTGATTTTGCCACTTCAAGCTCGAAATGTAGGGATCACATCGTTGCGCCAAATAAGCTCTTTGGGTTCCCTCCATTTGTTCATCATATTCCAAATAAACACTTCTTGACACTTGAGACAGTGGCCTTTACAGTTCATTAACGTCGGCTTTCTCGGAATGTTCTGCAGCAATATTGGAACCGCATGTTGTGGGTGTACTATGGTATTGTCTGGTCGATTCCCAGAAATGATGAAACCGTGAGTCACATTAAGCACCTGCAACTCCTTCAACTGCCTCACCAAGTAAACCAAAGCATTCTTGTTCATCCTCACCGATTGAAGACTCAATACCTTAAGCTTTGGCACGTGCTTCGTCAGTGTTCTGGCGATCTTTAAGGTCAAATGGCAAGTTAGCTTTAGTTCTGAGAAATTGCGACAGTATTTGCCTATGGCTTCCAGAAAAAAAGGAGCTGTGAAAGTGTTAGTAATTGTTATCGACTCTAGCGCTTCCCACTGCTCCATTGCTTGATTGATTCCCTTTTTTGTGAGATCTGTAAACCACCCAGGCAGAACTAGCCGTTTCAGATTACGGCTCCTACGAAGAAGAAAAGGAGAGTTTAATTCAGAGCGAGAGGGAGACCTCTTTGGTCCACATGGTTTTTGTTCTATATATACTCTGCAGGAAGGTTGTTTATACAGATAATAATAATGCATCAAAGGTTATTCATATGGTTGCATATAATCACAAGGCATCCGGAATCATAACTTTTTAAGTCAACAGGAGTGTGGAGAAAAACATGAAACATTACCTTTTAGCAACATTATTGAAGTCGCGATCGTCAAAATACTGTTGAAACTTGAATATGAGACAATGTGCTCGGCCGCAGCTGAGATTTAAAAGAGACGTCAAGAGCGAAATAGTCCTTGAACTTAAGTTGCAAATTCGTGGATCTTTCCAGGTGCCCAGATCTAACTCTTTTCCGTCCCAAAACGAAGGGTCTTGGCAAACATCCCGCCAGGAGGTGCACACCATGGAAACAACAGCGAAATCCACCACATCCAGGGTCATGAAGATTCTCAGCAACAC